CACAGAAACGGTAGTTCGAAAACGGAAAGAGGGAGGTCTGAAAAACTATGCTTGTACGTAACCTTTCAAAACATAGTAATCGGTGTCAAATACGGAATCTCTGGGATGATAGAAGGGTTCTACCTCCGACTGCAACGCGTTGAGCGTTGCAACGCTCAAATTTGCCTTAAATTCTTCTCGCGTTATGAGCTTTGCCTAGACATTAATTCCGAAAAGTTTTAGCTGCCGCTTTGAAGGGGCAATCAAGATTTTCAACGATCTTTGCTCTAGAGTGCGCGGTATGTGGAGAGCGGTGAGAAAAAATTTAAAAAAATTGATTTTTTGTAGGTCGTTGCGCTATGCGGCCAAAATAGCCATGAAAATTTGCGAGCTAAAACACGCTAAACAGAGTCGCTTTTTATCAACTTGCCACCTCAAAGTCTCTGTCTTTCTGCAAAGCGCTGGAGCCTCGCAAATTCCTTACAATTAGAAAAAACTATTCTAAATCTGATCCAAGTTTCACCAAAATCTCAGCGTCACCCTCAGTTTCCCCTTGTAAGATCCATTAAAATGTAATCACAATAAATTCCCCAAAAGGTCGTACTACTTCCGCCCATTGCCTAAATTATTATGCGAACCCAAGGAGTCGAAATCGTAGTGGCAACTTCCTGCTTCAGCGTCTATGAATGTTAATAACGTGTAGATTCCGCAGGATGTTTGGGTCGCAAGGACGAGGAGGAGGATTTATCTCTTCGCCTCAAGCATTGGGCAGGAAGTTGACAAGAGAAATTTGGTGAATTAATTTGTACAATTCAGGTGTTCAAGAGGTATAAAGCGCAAAGTATTTGCGAATGCAGGCTACAGTAACCACTCAAAAAAATCTAAATGAACATATGGCTATTACTGAAAGTAACTGTTTTATTCCACCAGGGCTTCATTACGCACTCCATTTTTAACCAAAACAATAATCTTTTTTTTCTAAACGTAGATGAACACGGGAATTGCGTAATTTAATCCGAACACTATTAGATGTAACACATAGACGTCACGGAAGAGGTTTATCAAAAATTGAACACAGTGGCATCACAGAGACCCCATAATCCTCCTCTCTATACATCTACGGATTCTATTTTCCTTGATAATGAGCTCTAATGAGAGCGCCTATGTAAATTGGTGGGGATGAAAATAGGATAGGATTCGTAGTTATTTTTGATGGCCGACGTTGAGTGCAAATGACTAAAATGTTTGGCATTTGCATTGGAGGTGCTCGAAGAGACGAAGTATTATATCAAAGATAACTTTCTACTTCATGGCATACTGGAAGAGTTTTGTGGCTGTTTCTACTGTAGAGGGTGGCCGTGGCAACCGCACCGGGCCAAGCCGATTTTCGCGGGCCGAAATCACTAGCCCGGCGCGGGGCTTTTTCAAATTTGCTCAGGTCCGGCCCGATTGCCATCTCTAGTAAAGAGTAATTTCTCAATAAAATTCAATTTTTTCTACGGGGAATTGGCTGAGATATGAATAGAAAAACCGTTTTCTCTCTGACCGCTCTCACCGTCTTGCGTATATACTCTCTCGTCTACAAACTGCGTTGAAAGTCTACGCTGCCCTGGAATGCACAAGCAAAAACTTCACAAAGAAGCCCAAGGTGTGTCAAAAAATCAAAAGAAAATCCAACAACGAAACATCATAGAAAATTTGGGTTATATAAAAAATTTGACCGTAACCACTGAGATCTTTAATTTCCACTCAAATCCCAAGCACAACCGGAAATCACAGCCGCTATCGTAGACTTCACACTCTAAGGCTTCACTCCGCTTCCACAATGAAACCACGAGAGAGCCTATTTTTTCCGAACGAACATACGAACCCCCGGATTAGACGGCAAATTAGTTGTAAGCGACAAAATTTAGTTTGACGGTAAGTGAATGGGGGGATTTGGCAGGATAAGCCACAAAGCAGAAGATTAACAGGGGAACGTCACATAAAAGGGCTACAGGACATATCTATTATGAATTTTAATGAGATAAAATTAAGATTTTTTTAAATCTAACGCTTTGTGGAAGCGTTGAATTCTGTTACGCTCAAAAAGGAAGCACCCCAAGTCCGACGCTCAGATTCTGATGAAACATGGCTCAAATTTAACTTCATTTTTTTATAAGAATATGCGGGATTCCTAGCCCGCGCTATGCAGAAATGACAGAGATTTTTAAATAGAAAGTTGAAAAAAATGTGACACCCTTTGGCGAGCTTTGGTATGAAAATTTTTATACATATTTCTACTGATGAGTGTAATATTTCCGCAAAAAAATAAATTTTTCCCGCGCCAAACTACGAAGATACGGACAAAAAGTTTTTCATCTCGGATCGGTCATTTTGCGTACTCTATAGGCCGCAGAGATCATTGAATACCTTGGCTGCTTGCGTACAAAATTTCAAGAAAATCTGAGGGTCACACTTGGAGTACTTCCCCCAAAATACAACGCCAATTTCCTAGCACAAAATTAATGAAAACCCCGGCCCTTGTGACCACCGTAGCGCACAGATTGCCCTAATACACAACAACAAGTCAAAGACTCACTTGCTTCATATATGAAGATCCGGAAATTTCTGATTCATTCTACGATTTTCTTTGTTGTTTTATCTTCTGACACGAAAAAACGAACTTTGAAGTCAAAAAATAAAAGGCTGAATTTAAAGCAAAGAAGATTCAAATTTTCGGGACGTTTCGAGCGTTCCGAAAAACAATCTTTCAGTGTCCAACCGGATCGCCGGATGGATCCGGTCTTGTTTTGGCGGGCCCCTTTTTTATTTGATTCAGAATGAGGAAAAAGAAAATAGAAGAAACGGGAAGTGTAAGGGCATCCATACGGCGTCAAAAACACAATAAAAAATTGGACGTGTGCACCATGGTGGATGGACTAATCAGGAACAAGATCAAGTGGGCTGCAGATCCTGCACAGAGTTCTCTTGCCAAAGTTTTTAAGCAAGACAATTTGCTTTATGCACTCAAATTTTCTTACAAGGAAAGTACCTTTATGGGGGCTGCTATGGGTACTTTCCTTGCCAAAGTTTTTTAGCGGTCTCTGAATTAGCCGCTCACCAATCCCTGGAAGTTTTGGCTTGCGTTTACCAGCAACGGCCGAGAAATCTCAATTTTTTGTCATTGAGATAACACCCGAAAGAAGGACGGGACAAGACAAGAGTTTTGCCCATATCAGACTGTCGGGAAAATAATGGGAATTGGTCGCCGCAATATGTTTCGTCTCGTCACAGTCGCGCACCAAATCTCCAGCCACGGATAGCCGTCGAGAAGTGATGATGGGCGATTTCAAGACGCATTATTTTCCCAACAAACTGACGCCTTTCCCATTCCACACGGAACTTTGTAATTTTTTGTGAAAATTATTTGTGTTTGATCCCGATATTTTGAACACGTATGGAAAAAGCTGCAATATAATCTCAAAAGCGCAAGCTAGAAACCTCGGATGTGTTGGGTATTCTTACAATAAGAGAATTCCACTTTACTCTAGATTTAAGCCAAATTTCATCTACTTTTTGTTTGTCACTTGTCAAAAGACAGTTAAATCCGAGGTCTTTCTTTTTTACTATAACTTGTTACACTTGTGGACCGGTTGCGCTTTCTGCCTTGTTGATGTTTTTCAAAATGATTGAAGCTTTACGTAAGAGCAGATCTTTCGATTTGCTTATATCCCAGGGTAAATTTACCACCAGGGTTATGTGTTTTGTGGCATGGACAAACTCGGTCCATCACCCTAATATGTATTCGCATCTTCAAAACCGAGGAAGTATTATGGTCATCCAATTTGCACGAGCCAAGTGCAGATCATTATAAATATCAGGGTATCCTTGGCCGACTGTGTGTCGTATTAGCTTCCCTATGTAAATGTGCCCACAAAATCGTGTGTTCTGTGACCTAAACGAGATCATAGCGCAATCGTCGGCTGCGTAATAAATCACAGGTAATTCGACTATAAATGGCATAGCCATCATAGCTTATTTAATTGAGCTTATGTGCTGTCTCCTTCTAATCTCGTATCGCCTCGCACATTCATTTTGGCACTACGGCGTTTTGGGTCAGCGACAGTGGGTCTATGATACTTTATTTTGAATAGCCCCATCGTTGTATGCACGGGGAGGTGATGAGAATACTGCAGATAGAAATAAGTATTATAAAAAAACGGTTTAGCTTCTGGAATTGTGCATATATTGAGGTATCTTACCCATGGATTTTCTTTTACGGGAAACTTTAGATCTTTTTCGTAGCACATACAGTAGGCCGGCGCCCGTAAAGCACAGGCTAACTCTAGCTAAAGTTAAAACAAGTGGTTATGTTGCAAGCCTTCTCCAAGTCTCCCTTGAGCTTTCACCGAGGGTCTGCAAAGCTTCTAATGGCCTTGCTAAAGCACGTATAGACACCTCTACAACCCTTTGTTTGACCCGAACTGTCGTCGACCCGAAAAGTCGGGTTCAATTCGTTTCTATGTACGTTGCAAGAATTCCTTTCTTCTATAATTTAATTGCTGTATTTTCTGCCTGATCACTGATATTTCCTCCAGTTTAATTCCTTCAAATTTCCAACTGACCTCCGACCCTAACCGTGCTAATTTTTATTTTATCAGCGCCCTCAGTATGTATGCCCCCTTATTTATGCATTACGGATTAGCGGTTGATAAAACGTGGTTCCATTAATACCACGGAGTTATTATTATTTGATAAAGGAGCGTAGCATTTCTAGTTTAATTAGAGGACCGATTGCAAACTCTTTCAGTGATTTCTGACCGAGTTTTATAAACAAAGTTTAGCAGTGGAGTCAGAAAACAAATCGATTGTTTTCCGGGGCTGTTTTGGCAAAAAAACTTTGTTGTTTTCAGTGATGTTGCAGGCCTCATGTTCCAATTTTCGGAAATGTTCTTTTTTTGTCATACTGTAATATAATGTCGCGAAAAAAATTCGTGAATTCCAGAGATTAATTTCATGACCACATTCTCGTTTCTAGGATGGACCTGCTGCAAATATCGCTAATAGCCTGTCTTTTTGCTGCTGTATCTTCTGCAAACGCGCAGCCATGCGCCCAAAAGATTGGCCGTGCACCGAGCTACATAGCCTGTGCTTGCAACACGACTTATTGCGATCAAATCCCCAATGTAACAACGCTGAAAAACGGGCAATTCGCGGTCCTAGAAACAGACGAAGATGGTAAACGGGGAGAGCTGAAACTTGGAAACATTGGGGAAAAATTGACCGTCAAAACAGGAAATGGTAAGACACGCTTCTCATTTTTTTCCCATTTATGCCTCAATAATACGACATTGATAAAATGACATTTTTAGAAAAGATCATTATTCGGCTGGATCCGAAAACAACTTATCAAGAGATCCTCGGCTTTGGTGCAGCCTTTACGGATTCGGTTGGCGTGAATTTGAGATCCTTGTCAAATGAACTGCAACAAAGCATCTTGGAACAATATTTTGGCAAAAACGGTGAGTTAAAATCCAAACTAACAGGGGAAGTACTCCAAGTGCGACGCTCAGATTTTGATGAAACTTGGCACAGATTTAGAATAATGTTTTCTAAGATATATGCGAGAATCCTAGCTCGCGCTTTGCAGAAACAACCGAGATTTTTAGATCGAAAGTCGGCCAAAATTTAGGACTTTTTGCCGAATTTCGGCACGAAAAGTTTTATGACTATTTCAACCGTAAAGGATAATGTTTCTAAAAAAATCAAATTTTTCCGGGCGAAACTGTCAAAGTTATGGGCTAAAAGCGTTTTTCTCTCTGACCGCTCTCCACGTTTAGCGTGCTCTCTCGGCGGCAAAAATCGTTCGATATCTCGGCGACGCCCGCAAAGCGCGAGCTAAAACTTTCAGGAATTGATATTTAATCCCTACCCGACGTGTGTGCAAAATGTAAAGAAAATCTGAGCGTCGCACTTGGAGTACTTCCCCTGGAAATAAAATACATGGTTCACTAGAAGATCCCATAAAATTTATTACAAAGGAAGGACTTAAAACGCAGCCCTCATATTTTGAAGAACCTTGGCACCACTTTTGGTGATTTTGCTTACCATATGCGTGATTCCTCGCCCGTGCTTTGCACAAACGGCCAAAATTTTTTCGGTCGACGGCTGGCGAAAGAATAAATGGCTGTCGCGAATCTTGCCATTAAAATTTCCATTCTTGTTCCTACTTTTTTCAAATATTCCTCATCTAACCGTATTTTTATAAACCTAAAGAAATTTTCCCACCAAATCCCGCAAAAGAAACTTTGTAACTCTCGGATCGCTTTTCCATTTTCTTTGTTTTCAAATTCCTGGCAAACGCAGAGCAAACATTACTGGAATGGTACGGTCGTTCCATCTCTAAACTTTGATCTTGCTCACATTGAACTCTTGAGGAAGTCGAACTGTGCTGTGAAGAGGGATTAGGGTTTGCGGTTTTTGTCGTGTGAAGAGATCCGAACGGGTAGTCGCGTGAAAATGATATTGAGCTCAAGAGATTGGAAGATTTTACAAAAGACTTACAAGTGCCCCAGGTTTCTTTTCTTTGTTTTTTTGAAGTTGATCACAAACCTCAGGCATAAGCCACAAGTCTCATCCTGAAAGGATTAGCTTGCAGTTTGTCGAGATATTCAACGGTCTTACGGCCGAGAGAGCACCGCATATGTCTGTCAGAAAAAGTGATATAAATTTAGGCCAAGTTTCATCAAAATCGCAGCGTCCACTTGTGCTGCCTTCTCTGTTTGATGGAAAAAAGAAAAAGATTGTAATGTACATATTTACATACTTTTTTGCGGCAATTGTTACACAGCCATAAAGGACGAAACAACAGGAAGACGATAATCTATACCAAGCTTTTTGAATAGTCTTATCCAAAATTGCAGACAAATCATTTTCTCGATGGCTGTAGAACTCAGCAACCTCAGCCTGTCAACCTTAGAAATATTACATCCAATATTCTAGGCATTGGCTACACTCTCGGCAGAGTTCCAATAGCTTCAACCGACTTTTCGTGGGGTGAATATTCCTATCTTGACAAAGAGGATGATTTTGACCTCAGGACGTTTAATCTGACAAAAGAAGATTTCGATTTGAAGATTTCGTTCATCAAAAGAGCCGAGCAATTGCTTGGCCGTCCACTGAACTTGGTGGCGTCGCCATGGTCAGCTCCCGCGTGGATGAAGACGAATGGGAAGATGATTCATGGAGGACGTTTGAGTGGGAGATGCCCAGGGAAGTATTACGAAACTTGGGGGAAATATTACATACGGTAAGTGGATTTGTTGCAGTTGTCTTACATATAGTGTTTTATTGTAGATTCTTCGAAGAGTACCATAAAAATGGCCTTGATTTTTGGGGACTAACGACTCTGAACGAACCCTCAAGCGGCAGGATTCCATTCTATCCATGGCAAAGCATGTACATGTCACCAGAGGATCTTCGGTAACACAGTTGTCAATTTTTCTCATTTGTTTTGCATATTTCAGCTCATTCATCAACGTATACCTCGGGCCGAACATGAAAGCCAACCAGGTCACGAAAGATGTCAAGATCATGGTAAACGACGACAATGTGCATAATTTGCCAGACTATGTGCAAAATGTCTTCGATGACTCGGAGACGGCCAAATATGTCGATGGAATCGCAATTCACTGGTATCACAATGACTTCTCGAACTTGGAGCGTTTGCGTGAGACCAATAAAAGATGGCCAAACAAATTTGTCTTGTCAACAGAGGTAGGAAAAATACAAGCCATAGGGGTTTAGCCTATGTACGATAAATTTCGACGTATTTGCAAAACTTTAAGCTATGTTTTCAAAGACAAATGTGAAATGTCGCCATATCCCTAGCTCGCGCATTGCTGAAACCACCAAGATTTTTTTGGTCAAAAGTTGGAAAAAAGTGAAACATTGCTTTGCGAGATTTGAAAGGAAAATTTTCGTTTCTATTTCTGCCGTCGAATATAATGTTTCCACAAAAAATGATTTTTTTCATGGCGAAACTGCAAAAATACGTTCAAAAAGTGTTTTTCTCCCTGATCCCACTCCACTTTTCGCCTACTCTCTCGGCCGCAAAGAGCTAATTTTTCAGGAATTGATTTGTACTCTATGCCCAAAGTCCGCGCAAAATTAAAAGAAAATCTGAGCGTCTCAGTTGAGGTACTTCCCATTCTAGCACACAGTCTGAGGACCACTTTAGCCCAATCCAAAAAAAGAAGTTTTGTCACAAAAATTTGAGAAAATCAGAGCACCCTAATCTAAATGCCGTCCCCTGTATAATAGTGTAAAATCTCTCCTTTTTAGGCCTGTGCCGGCGCAGAGCTCTTCGACAAAGGCCCAGTACTGGGAATGTGGCAACGAGGAGTCAGATACGTGAGGGATATTATCGACACTTTGTCGAGGAACGCCATCGGATGGATCGATTGGAACTTGTGCCTGAACATGGAGGGAGGACCAACCTTTGTTGACAACCGCGTCGACTCGCCAATTCTCGTTGACGCAGAGAAGGGAGAGTATTACAAGCAGCCAATGTTCTATGCAATGGCCCATTTTAGGTGAGAAATTGAAAGGGCCAAGAGTTTTTTGATCATTTCTTTTTTTATAAAGCCGTTTCTTTCAGTAAATTTGTAACCCCCGGATCTCATCGTACCCATCATGACGTCGCTGGTCTGCCCGAAAAAAGCAAGCTTGGCTCCATCGCATTTACAACCCCGGAGGGCAAGCGAGTCTTAGTCTTGAACAATGAAAACGATTTCAAAGCCTTTGACATCCAAATCAAAGATCCGGCTGGCTCAGAAAGTATTTATTACACCATCGAGAGGAACAGTTTTGTTACGATTGTGTGGAACAAGCATTAAATAATCATTTTTTAATCGGATAAATTATTCATTATTTTATTTGAAAGATTTTTATTCTGTATTGCACAGCCCTTTCAACGGCTAGCAGCCGCAATAACAGGGGTATTTGGGTGCTCCTTGTCTTTGTACGCATGGTGAAGGCTTGGAGACGACTTAGGTAATAGACAAAATCATATTTACCAAGTCCTATTAGAATGGTTTATCATCAATTTTGAGGTATTTTGCATGTATTACTGCATTAATAAAACTCACGGATCGGCGTTCTTGGAGTAAGTTTTGGTCTTCTCCAGGCAACAATGACCCAAGATAAAGAAAATTAGAGTTAGAATAGCTAAAATTACAGAACGGGGCCATATTCTAAGTTTCCGCCAAATCTACGCCGAGTCTTCGCTGAACGCACACCGCGAAGTGGTCGATCCGAAAAGTCGGGAGGCGAAACGTTTCCTTCCAAATCTGCAAAGCAAAACTACACGATCAATGCTAAAAAAAATACTAAATTATTCGCTGCTCTCTCCTTTTTTTCACATAAACAGTTTTTAAAATTGTATGATTTTAAATGTCCCCCCTTTTGAAACCATGGTTTCAGTGCATTTATTCTTTTCCACAGACATTCGCGGCCAAAAATGAAGCCGTTTTTTTGGAAATAGTCATGATAGTTTCTTTCTGCAAAGTCTCAGAGGTAAAAAGCGTAAGAGTGGGTGTATTGTCTTGCTCGGTTAAAGGGCGTTTCAATTTTTGCGGGCACTTCGCGGGTAGCCGACATTTACCGATGTAAATTACGATTTTTCTACCGTAATCTACATAGTATAATACAAATTTTGCATTGGCAACTCTCTCCTGCAGGTAAGTACCCGAATCTACTAAATTCATCCACCGCTTTCAAAGCAGGGGGGTTTTTTTTTTGAAAAAAATTGTGTTTGAACCTTTAAAGATGCCAGGTTAAGCTAATTAACATATTCAAGCCACTTTTGCACCTGGAATCTTAACTCGCAACATATAGTTGCCAAATACATCGTTAGAATTTACTGTTGTAAGTAAATGTTGGCTGATTCCCGAACATGCCCGCAAAGTCTCCGTGCTTCTTCTAGCTGCCCGGAAAATGGTCGCCTGCAAGTGCAGGCCCCCTTTTTTAAGACTACAAAAGGGGGTTTGATGTCAATGACCTGTCCAAGAATCGCAACTGTCGCCTGACTAGGTGGGCCCACACTTGCGGGCAAACACTTTGCGGACAGTTAGAAGAAACATGGAGGTTCTGCGGGCATGTTCGGAAATCAGCCAACATTTGCTTACAACAAGAAATTCAAAGGATCGATTTGGCAGTTAGGTGTCGCGAATTAAGTTTCCAGATGTATCAGTGGCTTGGATAGTTACCATAAGGCAAACCAGGCTTTTTTAAGGTTCAAAAACCATTTTTTGAAAACAAACCCCCATAACTTTAAAAGCGGTGGATGAATCTAATAGATTCGTAAACTTATCATCACCAGGGAGTTGTCGCTGCAAGATTTCTGTCATACTACGTAGGTTACGGGAGGAAAATCAAAATTCTAATCGGAAAATTTCAGCTGTCTGCAAAGTGGTTGTCCGCAAGCGTAGGCGCATCGTTTTAAGACTAGAAGGCTTTTTTTATCAACAGCCTCGTCCGAGAATCCCAACTGTCGCTCGACTAGACTATGCTTAGCGGCTTACAGTTCTGTTAATCCCCCAAAAGTTCATTGTCCTTTGGGTGTAATTTCCGAATTGGAATGCCTTGATTTCGTTGATTCCGTCAGAGTCCCTACAAATGAAATCATGCTATTGATCATCAGATGATTTGCATACCATTATCTGCATCTCATTCCCCTTTGCGATTCGAAAACATTTAAAAACCCTGAATTTGGCGGATCAAATGTCCGACTCTCACTGCGAAAGCCGGAATCGACACAAGTAAGTGAGTTATCAAGATGGTGAGGTTTTCGGAAAACTCGTTCCTTTTCCGGTTGATTTTAGATAATTTCGAGGCGGATAAACATCACTTTTCGAAACACGTCCCGTTGTATTTAAGCCAATGATTTTAGTTGAGATTGGATGTAAATGAAACGTCATTCACGAGTTTTACTAGGTTTTAACTAAGTTTACATTTTGATATTGGTTTCACATTACTTTTGGCTATAAAAGTTTGATGATTTGTAGCGAAAATGTGTTGTTTGTACTGTTGAAAAAGAATTTTTAGACCACTTTCCGCTTTCTCAAGGAAAACTTTTATCCTTTGTCATGAATCATATGAAACATCGAATTCCCTGACTATCTCTTCTTTTCTGGGAAGCACTTACAATAGGGCCCACATATCTTGATGACAATTGGGGTTAAATCCTTCAAGAAACTCGAGATTTTTTGACCGCAGGTTGCCAAAAAGCCTGCGGGCAACCACTTCTTGGGCAGCCAGAATAGCTACGGAGATTATGCGGGCATGTTTGGAAATTAGCTAATATTTGCTTACAACGGGAAATTTAGACGGCAGATTTGGCAGTTAGAGGATGTGAATTAAGTTTTCTAGTGCATAAGTGGCTGGAATAGTTACCACAAGAATAACCGGGCATTTTAAACATGTTTTTGTTAACAAGGAAAGTACTTCTGTGGGGTATGGAGTTACAGGTCGACATTATCAAAAAATTTTTCGGATTCAGAACATATATAAACTAGCTGCCTAATTTTTGTTTGTAAGGGTAAAAAATCCTTTAAACTTTTCCCGCAACGCCATGCAAATGCGCCTTTTTTACCTTGCAACTACTAATTAAGGTGTAGTACAAATTAAACTCGATATTCTAAGGCTTGTCAAGATACCAGAGTTACTTTTAGCTCAAAAAAAAGCGTTTGGTTTGGTAAAAACTTGGTCAAAAATAGCGGTACTTTCAATGTAAAATACAGCCCATTTTTGGAACTTCAAAAAGCACTACATGCGCAAATCCAATAAATTTAATCCTCCCTTCCAAAGATCCTTCAATCCCTCCTCCCTACCTACATTACTTGATACATCATGCACTTTCATCCCGTCGTCATCGGGTTGGTTCAGAAAGCATAATCTCTGTTTTTTATTTCGTTTCAAACCCAACCTTTTTTTTATCCGCGACTCCTGACGTTGCTTATGCTAATCTGGAAAGCGGAGTCGCTCCAAATTTGGGAGATGCTGTTATCGGAAATGGGAGTGATATTTGTTTTTGGCGAACCCGCTTGATCATATTGCGTGGCTTGTGCTCTGTTATGCAAACACTTTTCAGTCCATGAGCGAAAAAGAGGTGTAAAATCTGAATTTTAATTTTTATGGGGGTGAGAGTGTGGCTTTTTGTTTGCTTCTTTTGGATCTTTTCATGGTTAAATATTGGGTGAAAATACTATATTTTTTGTTAATTTAATGAAAGTTTTCAAAGAAAACACGATATTTTCACGTCCAGACTTTTGCGGGTCGACGACAGTTCGGGTCAACACAAAACCGATCGATCCGGTATGTAGGGCATGCCGATACACAAAAAAAAGCTTGTAGAAAGTGCATAAGAGGCCTGGCAAAGCCGTTAGACCGCCGGCGGAAATTCGGCGGAGACTGAGCGAGGGCTTGCGATATGTCCACGTTTTCTAATTTTAAATGTTACCAACGCTAGCTCTCCTTATCCTGAGTTATTGTAAAATATGTATAGAAGGCCAAAATTTGAAGTGAAAAAAAGAAACTTCCGTAACTTTTACCTTGATAATCTTGATGTGAATACATGTAAAATACCTCAAAATAGATGGCAAGCTATCCTAGAACCCGATCAATCTTGTTATTTTTTACCAACTACGCCTTTTCCTAGCCTTCCCCATGCGTCTGCGAACTCCATAGTATCGTTATTTCTACGAACGACCCAAAAAGTACATTATTCTTTCATAAAATCACTGAAGTGAATTTTGCATGTCGCGACAAATTTTTCTCGTGCGGTTGTTTGCTTACGATTCTTCATTTATAGGCGCTACTCTCCAGGTGATGATCTCTTAAACTCAAAGGATGCCTCGAGAACCATCCGACCCCGACAAGGAGCCATTGATAAACGCGGCATTAACAAATGAGAAGCATGTATTTGTAAGCCACTTATTTTTTTTTTTGCATTTTTAAATCAATTCGGTTTTACAAATTTGATATTTTGATCAGAAAATAACTTGGCATTAAATATTTTCTTTATATTTCAAAGAGATTGTTTCAAAAAAATTTTGTTTCATTTTTACAATGCTTCAGATACCCGTCCACCTTCCAGCCCCGAAAAAGTCGAAATACAGATTCTCAATACTGTTGTGGCTCAGCTTCCAGACCACCTTCCATTCACTGCTTCTGATCTACTCAAGAAGTCGACCCAATGTGGACATTTACCTACCCTCCGTGGCCGTTCTATTCACCGAGATTATCAAGGCCATTGCTTGTATGTGCATAATCAAGGTGACGGAGAAAGAACATGGGTAAGATGGAGGATGATTTTGCGGTTTTCGGAAAGTTTTTACAGAGTCATTGTCAAAGGCGAGACGCTCCAAATTTTCTTTAAATTTTTTGCACATTACGTACCTGCCAATTTTTTATACCCCTCAAATTTTAGCCGCAGCATGCTGACCGACGATTTAGGGAATATTTGAAGGTGAGAGAGTTCGAAAAATGAGGAGACGGTCAGAAGAAAAAAACTTTTTTTTGCGATATTGTGCAAAAAGAGGGATTTTCAGAATACCAAATATCCATTCGTAAATCGAAAAAATCATGTATTTTTCAACAAGATGCGAGCAAAAAATCGCTGGATTTTCTCCGAACTGGGAAAATCTTCCGTATTCTGGCACACTAATTTTTTGATTTTTTTCGCAGGCCGCAAGTTGGGACAAAAAGATAGAGCGATAACGTCTAACATAGCAAAAATTGCGGTTCAATGGTATCCTCCATATGTTTTTTTCTACCTTCCATGATCACTATGGTCTACTTCAAGTAAAATCGCCGCTAATATCAGCAAAGATTGTTACTTCAAAGCTGAGGGCGGCTCGGAAAAATTATTTTTTTTGGAGTGGGCCAAAGTTTTACCCGAAACTATAAACTAAAAATACTCGGCGTAAATTTGGCACATACTCTCTCACCATTAGCTATGTCTAAATCTGAACTCCTCCATAAAATACTTAATTTTTTTCCAGTCTCCGGGCATCCCTCGTAAAACACGTCATAAATGCACCAACTCAAGTCCTCAAAATGGCTGTGCCAGCAGTTTTATACACATTCCAAACCAACCTCCTATACCTGGCGGCAACATACATTGATCCTGCTACTTTTATGGTAAAATTTTTTTATATTCATTACCCCAGTATTTTATTTTGAGATTATTATTTTTTTCCTTTTAGGTCCTGCAACAACTGAAAATATTCTCGTCCGCTGTTTCGTCCGTCTTCCTGCTGAATCGAAGGATAGCAGCGGGCCAATGGGGAGCGCTATTTCTCCTGTTTCTTGGGGTCTGCACGGTTCAGCTCAGTCGGACATCGACGGGGAAAAAGACAAGTGAAGACAATTTTATAGGTAAGATACGACAACATATTCTATCGATGAGTAAAAAAAGTCAACTTTTTTGATGATCAAAACGTGAACTCAAAAAAGTGTGAACTTTTTCCGACTTTTGACCTAAGCTTTTCGGTGGTTTCTTCCAGACGCGGGCTAGATGTCTCGAAGATGTTTCAGAAAAAATATATAGTTTTATGCCTTTACAGTGGGGGGCGTGATCCAGTGGCAAACAACGTACCATTTTGTATCCGAGACGTATCAGAAATGTGGCAAAATGCTTCCTTCTCCAAGTGAAAAAACTTTGTTTTGAAGGACGCGCCCTTTTTCCTCACAAAAAGAGCGGTCGCGTTTTTGAAATCTGATAGGAGGTATTTTGCCACATTTTTGATACTTCCCGGATGCAAGATGGTACGTTTTTTATCATAGTAAGCCGAAATTGCAACAAAAATCATTCTTGGTAACTTTTACAAACATTTTTGAAGTCTTTCTTTGCCGCTGCCCAGGAAAAACTTTACGAGTCCGTCGGGAAAATAACGTGCATTTGTCGCATCGAAATGTCTCGTCTCGTCGCAGCCGCACACCAAATCTCCAGCTGCCTAGTCGTCGCATGCGATAATGAACAATTTCAAAGCCTGACGAATCAACATTATTTTCCCGACCTAATGATATATTAGTCTTTTCCAGGTGTTCTCTGTGTCACAATGGCTGCCGCGACCTCCGGATTCGCTGGCGTTTACATGGAGCGCCAACTCAAAAGCATAGAGCCGGTGTCGATTTGGATGCGGAACATTCAAATGGGAACCATGGCTATTCCCGCCTCATTCTTCACCATCATCGCTCAAGATGGCCAATCGGTCCTGAGTGGGCAAATCAGTCTCACCAGGGGATTTGATTTCGTCGCTTGGTGCACTGTGGCGTCCGCTGCGTTGGGAGGAATGTCGGTTGCGGCGTGCATCAAATACGCCGACAACATCGCCAAAGATTTCGCCTCTGCAACCGCCATTGTGATGACAACGATAGGGTCGATTTTCCTCTTCAACTTCAGTCCAAGCTGGGTATTCTGCGTTGGCGCCATCATGGTTATGACCAGCACGTACCTGTTCTCCAAGTTCAAGCCGAATCCAATGAAGGTGGAGCAAAAGAAACCGGTTGTCATCGACGAAGATGGGGAGCTCGCAAAAGGGCTGTAGTGTATTTTATTTATCATTAACTTATTTGTTTACGGGTAATAAAGATTTAATATTATAGTCCATTCGGTAATTCAAGCAAGGTAAGATTTTGTGGCCAATCTAAAAAACGAAATGGCCCCAGTCCAAAGATCGAAAAAAAACGCATTAGTCTGTCGGAAAAATAATGTGGATTTGTCACGCTTTGGAATCGCCCATTATCGCTCTAAGACGGCTGGCCGCGGCTGGAGACTTCGTGCGTTTCAGCGACAGGACGAGAACCTCTCAACGACAAATCCACATTATTTTTCCGACGATTTTTTCAGCAACTCCTCCAGTTATTTAGTGTCAAATCTCGCTGAGCAATAGCCCTTTCGCCCTCAAATTTACGGCTCTCTTAAAGTCCCATCAAATCATGTCGACAGACGATTTTTCCCCCTTCCATCCCGACCTCATTCCCCTCGATTTAGCCGTGAATCCTCCCCGCCCCGGGGCCGAGGTGAAAACCCGGGTTTTTTGCGAGGGCCAAAACATCACGGGGCCAACTGTTCGAGAAATCAGGCGCGTTTTGCGGGGGTCTCGGAAAACTGGCTGCCGCAAATCGCCTTCGGTTCCGGAGCGTTTCCCCAATTCGCCGGTCTTTTGTCAAGATTTTTTTTTCATTTTTTGTCGGGAAAATAATGTGGAGTTGTCGCTGGAAAATGTCGCGCCTTCTCGCAACGAGACATTTTTAAAATAAATAATACCAAATCTCTAGCCGAAAATAGTCGTCACAAAGAGACTATAGGAGATTCTAATGCCCAACAAATCCACATTATTTTCCCGACAGACTGATAGACAAAACCTCCGAACGAAGAAAGTTTCGCGAAAAAAGTTTTTTCCTCCTCCTTTCTCCGTCCATCTGGTCCTCGGATGTACCGCTCGTTCTGGCGCGACCTTCGACGCCGCCGCCGCAGGGGGTTTTTGTTCATATGAGTGTGAAGATTTTGTTCCGTTTCCCCTTGAAGAACTTCTACATGGGCGTCCAGAAAGGGCATTAACGAAGAAACGGGTATGATGAGGACGAAACGGATTGAAAAGACGACAAAAAAGCCTTTGTTTTTTGGGCACATTGTGGGAGGAGCGGTTGGTCAAAGGGTCAACGCCTTGGGGAAGTTGGGGTGGGATTGAATGGGAGACGGATTAGTCAGCATTTGTTTGCAATTGACTCCATTGTGTTTATGGCATGGGGGTGGTTGTGTGTCACAACATGCGGCCCTGATTATATTGCTTTATATACATGTCAGTTAATTGAGCGTTAAGATTTATATGCTTCTTTTATAGCAGCTATAAGAATTTGGCCCTGATAGACTCTAGAGAACTCAGGTAAAGTGAGGAGATACATTTACGAGAAGGCCGAGAGCAATAGTTCATTTTCTGGCATTCAAAAAAATGTATAATAATGTATAAAATTGTCGACAAAACCGCGCTCAAAGTTCATGTTCTACGACGGTGACATATATGCGTGCCCATTTTTTGCTTTTTTACTACATTTCTTTACATATTTACCGCCTTTGTTTTCGTCTTCAAATATAATAAGTTTCTTAATGTCGCGACGAAACTTTTGTAGGATTAACAGCTCATTTATAGCTCATAATTACTTTACGAATTGCTTCAACACCTCAACGGAATAGGACAAAACACAGAGCGGCCGTTCCGCGGCCCATGACTGTCCTTCTCCAGCCACATGCACAATGATTTCCTGAATCACTGCCTCTACATTCCACTGGTACTACTTCTCTTATGTAACATATCAAAGGGTAAGCTTCACGTTCTTTTTGCCCGACTTGAACGTGGATCTTTGAAAAATGATGATCTAATTTTCACGCCAAAGAATGATTACTAATATTTACTTATTTTTCAGCCTCCCTGCCTTCATGCACTCATCTCAAGACCCGCTGCATGGAGTCGCTGGCCTGTCGAACCCGGCTCAACGCACTTTCAAATAATTGCTTCAATTGTGGTAAGTTGACGTGCCGAGAACGGAGAAAACAAGTAACGCATTTTTTTCAGTCAATGCCTCGTCTAATTTGGCCAATCTCTTGGCGTTGCGTCAGCTCCTTGGCGGAGAAACTTCCTGTCAATGTCATGGTAAGCAACTCGTCCAATCTATAGTAAAAAATCGAAAAAAGTCGTTCATTTTTACAATAACTTTAACGCTTTTACAGGACATCACAATACCGCTGAATGCAACAGATTCAAGACTGATGTTTGGGAAACTTCATGCGAAGATCAATGGGAGAGTTGCATTTTAAGTTCAAGGGATGACCATAAAAGAACGACAAGGTCTCCAAACTCGGACAGAATTCAACAATGGAGGACGCAGCTCAGTCAACGTAAGGGCGCAAAAGTTGTTCGGAAATTTCGATTTAGAGATGCCCGCTCAAGTCACGGCTCTGTCCCAGATCTCATGCAATCGGGCGTTGCATGATCTCTGCTTGAAGCACATATCCTGTCGAGAGCTTTGGAAGCTATTCAGGGAGACGTGTCACGTTGACGAGCAAAATGTTTGCAGGATGACGAATAGGTGAGAAATTACATTTTTTGGCATATCAGTTTGTCGGGGAAATAATGAGCACTCTGTCGCGTCGAAAATGGTATCGCCGCTGAGAAAATGGATTGTATCGCTGCAAAATCGAACTGCTTTTCTCTTCGGCGACGACATCAGCGCAGCGACAATTCTCTCATTATTTTCAGGACAAAGCGATAGCTTTATGTCGGGAAAATAATATGGATTCGCCGCGCCTTGTAAACGCCCGTCGTCGCTTTGCGACGGCTAGCAGCGGCTGGAGATTGGGTGCGCGACAGGGCGAGGCATTTTTCTGCGGCAGGCCCTCATTATTTTCCCGACAGACTGATAATTTGACAAGCTGTAGAGAGAAAAACAACTCGTCTAATTTTCAGAAATGACTGTTGGCAATCCTTCGAAGGAATCAGCTGGACCGGCTTGGGGAACTGCACCTGCACTTCGAACAACTCGGATTGTCATTGGATCAGGCTGCAAACAAACTACAACAAATGCATTTGTAAATAACCAGCAACCGATTTTTAAGCCTTTTTTTGTTTACAGACGAAATATCAGCCTCCGGTGATATTCCTCGAACTGTATCAGTTCAAATCCCCATCGTCCCGACCACACGCTTAACTCCTTATTGGATTTCCGCAACCACACCGTGGCCAACGTATCAAACAGCCAATCTTTACACGACAATATCATACGATGTATATCAAAGAGAGGCTGGTAAGTTTGTGTGGCGAGTAAAATGGGACTTGAAATTTAATGTTTTAGCACGACGAGAGCAAGAACGTCAACTTCATGCTGAACGTCTTCGGCAATACGAAGAGCAACGAAGATTATGGGAGGAACAAAATCGAAGGTATGCCACAACAACGCCAGTCCCAACAACTCGATGGGACACCAGCCCATATAGGATAGTGGCCAAGCAGTACACTCAAAGCACAAGGAATCAGAATTACTACCAGCAATACGCAACTACGACAACTGCTATTCCAACCACTCTACGGCCTATTGTAACGGCTGTGGTCACAACAACAACAACGAAAAAGTCAACAACAACATCAACGACTACTACTACAACAACAACGACTAGCATGACAACAACTTCAACAACAACTGAAGAACCCACCACAACTACAGAAGAGCCAACAACAACCACTGAGTGAGTAAAATAAACGGCTTGCAAAAGATGTACATAGCAAATCATATCAATATATAATTTTCATTTTAGAGAACCAACAACGACTGACGTCCCAAAGTCAACCCGTCCGCCGCCAGCTCAACATGGACTACTCTCCAAAATAATGGAAAAACCACCAGTGACGGAAGGCACCTTCAACGATACTTCTGACGAGTTTGATGATGAGTTTGGAGGAGCGTATCGAGAAGAGGGCATCACACTGAACCGATGGAGAACTTCCGGAGTTATGGAGGGATTTACCGGTATGTACTCGGCTTTGTAACAAGCTAATCGACCGGAAAACGAAAAAATTTCAAAAATCCGGACCCGACGTACCGCTATGAATAGAGGAGAAGGACGCAAAAAACTCGCTACCTAATAAAGCATGCGGTTTTCTTGCGGCCCGCCTTCAACCAGAATTCCGATTGATGCTCACGTTTCGTAGATGCACGTGGAATCCAATTTACTTTTACGAAAAAGTTCTGCCCAAACATTGCTTTCGTTCTTTCGCCCTCGGAACAATCGTCCCCGAAATCCCCGCTGCTTGGTTGTTAGGACAACTTTGTGGGAAGAAAGGAGCCGAGCACCACGATCTTTCCCGTCTTCGCCACTCTTTCCGACTTTCGCATTATGCGCCGCTTTACGCAATCCGTCAAAATGCGTCATGGCTACCGGTCAAAGCGTTACGCGAGTCATCGGGGCCGCAAGACGCATTGTTCTCGGCAATCAAAACGGCACGATGACCCGGGCCTCGCGCCCTCCGCCCCAAATCCATATCCGTGTGCGGGGCAAGGAGGGCCGCCGCGCTGGTGGGCGTTAATTTCCGGAAGAACGGGTCCGGTCTTTGTGCCAAAAGTTTTTCCGGACTTAACACGAAGCAAAAAGTAAAGAAAAGCCGGCCTCAAGGAGTTGTCCTTACTCTTCCGACTCCTCCACCGCGCCTGAAATCGGGGAGAATCAAACAGCGGCGTGACGGAGGAGGAGCTTTATTCGACGTTAAATTGCGGGTCCGCTGAGTGTTCCGTTCGGTAATTTTGGAGCATTTTCAGATGTTTTCATCTTTTTTTTCAGAACGTTGCGTTCAAATTTATGTTTTCCTCAACTGCCAAATATAGTTTTACGCGATGTTGTCATGAAATTTGTAGTACAAAAACGCCGAATCAGTCATTTTTCGGGGGGCCCAAGAATAGCCTAGCCACCCCGCTTCAACTTCTTGACAGCTCCTGAATTATTGCCCCCGCGGTGTTGGCGCGCGCGGGGCCCCACATTTTCGTCTATATCTCGGACCATCTTTTGTTCGAATTTTTGACATTTAATCCGTCTGTCATCCCCCCGGTTTCGCCCCATTTTCGGCGTAAGGAACCACCACGAAAAATAAACGCCACATCCTGACTATATTGTTTTTTTCTGAGGCGAATGCCGGAAGTGTCGAGACGACGTTTAACGGTCCACCAACCGCCCAATCAAGCAGTGGGTGGAGGAGGGGAATTTCGCGGCCCCAGCGCCATAATGGCTTGGTATTTAATTTTCGCGGTTCTTGGAATAATATTATCCGCGCAATTTTTTGGCAAATACACCTACGTTTCTGAAATGGTCTCCTTGGGAGTTCAACTCATATTCTCATTATAAAAAAGAACCCAATATACTTTGATTTTCGTATAGTATTGGCGCAAGCCATACAGAAAGACCCTGCTAACAAGCTAATCACAAAGCTGTCTTCCTAACTCTACAGTACCCTCCAATTATCATCCCCCAAGTCCGCTCGCTTATCCCGCTAACAAGGTCAATTTACGTGGGCACACCGCAACCATTACTTTTTATAATCCATAATTCTTACACCAAGATTTTTTTCTCCCATCCAATTTTCGGCTTCCGGTCTCCATTGTGTTCCAAATTCACGGCTTTCGACCATTTATTTCCCGCGGTCTCCTTTTCCGTGGCCACCGGGGTTTTTCTTGCGGGGCCAACTTTTTCTCACCAAGTTTCTATTTGCAGAGCGTGGGTGCGGGCGGGGCTAATCTGCTAGACATATCCGTTCCAGGTAGCGAATTATCCCCGTATTCAACGGGCACGGGAGGAACGTTGAGATTATAAGGTAGAGGAAAAAGAAGAGCGTTTTTATTATTGGTCATTTTGTGGGATTTCAGTGAGATTTTAGTATTTTTATTATTGTTTTGACCGAAAGAAACCTTAGGACCCCTTAAGCAATGTTTTTTCTGGCGCTATCAGCAATTTCTTCATATAAGATTGGCTGCAGATCTCACCTGTAATTTTTTGTTGAAAAAATCTATTTTTTCGATGATTTTTTGTCTGGAATTTTGTCATTTTTCGCTTCTAACCCGACTTATGATTACAGTGTCATATTGTTGCTTCAAAACCCACTGAAACCCGCATTCCCCAATGTTTCTTTCCTCTTATACTCCCGTTCGCGACCTGATAAAACTTTGGAGTAAAAAGTTTCCGAACCGAAAGCTCAATCCCCTCCTCGCCTCCCGTTTCCGAATGTGCCCAGACTTTTTTGCCGAAAAACGGAGATTTGTCTTTAGGTCAAAAAACGAATGAATTCGACGGAAAAAAAGGAGAGAGTGGCCATTTGGGGGTCGTTGAAGACAAAACTTTCGCAGACATTCCGAGAGAGAGGGCGCGCAAAAAACGGCCATTGATATAAAGCATAAAGATATAAAAAACGGATTAAAGTTTCCGAATTCCTCCGCACATGCCCTCGAGGCAGTTGTGGGTGGTGCGAAATCCGGGAGTGATCGGTTTTGTTGGCGAGGCCGGGATTTCCACATCACGAAAATAGATGTGGAAAATGGGGGAGATGCATGGAGAAGGATGACCTTCTTGAACTCTGCGCCGTTAAAAAAATACATCTTGCGGCGCAACTCTTGCACCCAGTACTCTAATTTTTCCCTACAGTGATTCTCAGGCCGCTAACTTTACTCGCATAACCTGTAAATTTCACGGGACAAAAGACCCCTACTTGCCTCATCTTTGATCTCCACGGGACTTTGAACTCACAACATCGAGGAATATTTAACGAAGGCGGCTTTTCTTTCCCCTCCAGTTCTTTTCTTACAAACCGTTTCCTGGATTATCACCGTGTTTGCACCCATTGACGTGTGTCGCGAACACCACCCGTAAATTCCCCATTCCGACCCACCCAAATAACCTTTCTATTTTCGCTGCAGGCTAACCTATTCTTGGCGAAGCATAAACGATCGCCCCGTAAATAAACCGCGTGGTGCGGGCGTTATGGCTGCGCACTGGCGGTCTGCATGCTCCTGAACTGCGCGTCGAGCTGGCGTCAGCTCCACAACGTACAGCGCCAGCTGGTCGTGCTGATCGTGGCGGTGGCGGTGAATGCGGTCGTGGTCTACAATGCAGGGAGAAGTAGGAGTTTGGATGTTCGAACATGTTCGAAAAAATAGCCGAAATATTCAAGGATCATCAAAAAACGGCCTTTCAGCTCCGCGGAATATTATGTATAGTCACCAATCTTTTTTCAGAATCAACATGTTCAAAGCCTTTCACGGAGTGCGAGATGGACGAGACCTGTCGATGGCACATGAGCGAGCTGCAGATGAAATGCCGCTTAGAGCTCGAACATTGTCGCCGCGACCAGTGCGCAGCGGCAATGCGACGGTTCTCGCGGTATGTCACCAAGGAGATCCTCGAAGGCATGATGTTCTGCCAGTGCGCATTTAGCGACGTCCAATGCAAACATCAACAGGTAAAAAAACATTTTCCATACATTCCAACGTCAGGCCTTTATTTAAACATCTTTTTTCAGCAATGGATGTACCCTCGATGTCTTTACGAAAGCTACCGCGTGAAGCCCAAGAAAAGCTGCACACAGACCGTTAAATATTGTCAACACGACAGCTACTGCCATCGTACATTGCTGGCTTTCAACAGATCTTGCCCAATTGGCGCAGGGGCAGCTGGGGAATGTAAGGCAAAAGATCTCCATCGATGCCGGATTGCGTTGATTGGAATCCGAGGAACGGATCTGGAATCGCCCTGTTACTGCAATCAAGACGATGACACTTGTCTTGAGAACCAAAACATGGTGCTTCCGAACAATCCTTGTGTTGGTATGTAGACCCTTTCCGTCCGTGAATTTACCAACCTTTCAGAACAAGCAATGGCGCAATTCTCCGGCGAAACCGATGGCTCTTTATCCGTGGAGACCGAGGAACTCGTCCCATCAGAACATACGCCAAAAAACGAACAACGCCGTAGAGGAAAATCTCGAAAAACTACAACAACAACGACTACAACGACCACCGACAAACCCAGTGAGTCCAGCAAAGAAGAAGAAGAAATTGAAGAACAAGAAGAGCGGCCGACTTCCGAAGACGAACAGACCGAGCCAACCGAGGCTGAAGAGCTAGCAGTCAAAGAAGAAAAAATACCAGAGGAAACAACGAACAGCACCGACTCTACGGCGACTCAATCAGTGACGGTGCCGATGGCTATCAAACAGACAACAGTGCCAAGCAAAGGGATCAAAGTCGTGGTCAAAACGAACACCTCCACCACGCCGAAGGTCATCAACGATGATAAACTTGTGACTCAAACACCTCCACCCGAAGGTGGATGTAAAGCTCGAAACATTGAGGGAGATTGGATCAGTCATTATAAAAACACCTTGTTTAGGGTGAGCTTTTGCATACACGGTCATATTTGATTTGTTTATTAGGCCTTTAACCTCAAAATTTCAGCAATACAACGACCTGTCTGGCCGCTGTTCGTCGTGGTGTCAATGTTTTGAAAATGAAACCTTCTCGTGTGAGCCCCTGTCTTGTCTGGCGGAAGGCTCTTGCATCACTCCTCAGACTACTGTCGGTACGTCATTCACGATTTGCAAGCAATTCCTTGACTTTCTTTGCAGTAAAACACAAAAAACAACTGTAATCCCATTTCCAATTTTCAGCGTTCGGCGAACGCCTCTACATCGAAAGCCGAGGCGCTTGTCTGTGCCAGAGCGGGAAATTTATATGCGATACGAGCGAGAAGTTGGTCGAACTGGAGCCGGGATTGTATATCTCGTTGGGATTTTCGCGTGCCGAATTGGATGAAATCAAAAAGAAGGTCCCGAAGCCGTTATTGGAGAAATGCGGGCTGGTTAGTCCAAGCCGTTCGGTGGCCAAGGACATTGCCTCCAGACTACAGTATGCGTTGGAACGCGTTCTTCCGAAAGTAAGGATAAAAATCGGGTCAAAATGTAGCTAAAACCCCAAATTTGCTATCGTTAGTTTTCGGCAGCACTTGATCTATTACACATATACTTCAACACCCTTTAGGACACCCTCTGCCGCGTTGCAATGATTGAAGAGCACAGCTACGACTCTGTAATTCTCCTTCAAATCCAATGGTATGGAGTGGATCCTTTCGTCAACACAACCGAACCTCATTGGCATATCGGGAAGCTGGAAAAGATCTGCTCGCCGTATGTTCGCCAACTCGAGTACAACTTCATGATGGAGCGTTCGGATCGCTATCAACTGGTCTTGTCGACGGTGAAGCAGCTCCGCGTCTACGATCTCCTTGACGGGTTACCTAAAAGCGCCGCCAAACTGCCCAATTTTCAGTGCCTTGAGAAATTCTTGATCCTCGTCTTGTGTGTGTTCCACTTTGTGTGGAGAATTTAGGTAGAATAGGTCTGTTACAACGAATCTCTTTTTTGGATTTCAAAAGTACTAGTGGTCTTGTTTTATCCGATTTCTGCCAAATATTTTGAGTTCACTCCTTTCTCTCCTCTGCAATGTCTTTCCAAGCCTTTCTACAAGATACAGTGTTGCCATAAGTGCGGCCGTCATTGGCCTTAAAAATCCTTGTATCATCGAAATCCCTCGATTTTCTCTCATTTTATTTTCCAGCTCCACATCCGCTCAAATTCCATGTGCACAATACTCATTTCTCCTCTGAATTGTAATCCTCAAAACTTCCTGTTTCATGTCTCACACCACTTTCGCAACCGTTTGCTCGCCGAACGTAATGTGTTTCGACTAAATAAAGTTCTATTGTTTTGTAATTCGACGGCAAGCTCTTGAGCTCTTCACAACGTGATTGTTACGGAGGCGCGACATACAGGAAAAAAGGGAGAAGCAACGTTTAATGGTTCGAGAAGATTTGAAGGAAGAGGGAAGCACATCCTCCTCATTTTACAATATTAATATCCATCCTTAGTCATTTCTTGATTCCAGTGCGCAGTGAGAAAGGCGAGCCATGACCGGCTCAGGGTGGCTGCGTTTCGTTTATGGGGTCGTTTTGTTGTGCACTATTTTAGCGGGTGAGTTTTGGGATGTAATCAGTAGTCCTTCAATATTACAGTATCATTTCTTTGAAATACCAGAGGATTAGATCTCACCGCAGCGTATTTTTCACTTTGTTAAACTGCCTTTCCAGCTGATGTGCCCGATTTTCCGGATAACGAGCCTTTCGAGGCGTTTGATTTCGGCGGTGGCCCCGAACCAACGCCTGAGAAAGAAGTAGTCGCGGAACAAGATTTCCCCATTCAAACTCAAAGTCCCACCAAACCGGGGAATAGCCAGACGGCACTAAAAGAGATGGGCTTATGTGAGCATCCGGATGAACTTCCAACCTTTATCAAGCGATCAAAAGTCCAGTCGAAAGGAATCCCAAAATTTGTCCATTTCATGGACAACCTAGCGGAATGTGTGCAAGTTTGTCGGCGTAAAACAGAGCCAATAGAGCAGACCCCATTTGATTGCAAAGGCTTTGTTTTCAATCATCGGGCGCACGGTAAAAACTCATGCGAATTCTTTGACGACATAACGCTGATTGAGCCAATAACCAACGATATGAAGTGGGAGAATCAGTCAACGTTCTTCGAAAGGGCTTGCTTGAAGATCCCTGGCAAATGCGGAGAAAGTGCATACTCTATCGAGTCAATACCAAATAAGAAATTGGGATTAACACCGTTGGAAAGCGTGAATGTCAGGGATCAGGCAGAATGTCTCAATGAGTGCCTAACTAGCAGTGCATGTAAAAGCGTCAATTACAATGCAAAAGACAGGTATTGCAATCAAGCAGAGGCCAAACTAACAATGCTATTTCTAGATATTGCGAGCTACTTACAACATCAAGCAGTGGAGGTTTATTAGAAGCAACAGGCTTTGAATTTTTCGAGAACATTTGTCTACAAGGTAAGGATCTTTTTTACAGCCAACACACATGCCGCATTCTTTTCAGACTCAAACAAATGTTCGGCAAGGGAGCGAGTGGACTTCATTGTATCCAAGAACACCCAAGTTAGCGGTCTTGAACATCGAGTTGGCTCAGTTTCTATTCAAACTTGCATGAGAGAATGCGTCGAGTCATCGCTGGTCCATTGCCGCTCGTTTCAGTACGATCAGAACAACCGAGAATGCGTTTTAATGGAAGAGTCATCGCATTCCGCAACAGCATCAGAAATCTTCGATCTCTTCGAGCCAGTTTGTTTAGACGGAGATATTGATCTACCGTGCCAAGGAGACTACGTCTTCGAAAAAGTTTTGAATACTAACTTGGTAGCGGAGGACTTGATTTCCATAGAGAAAGGTAAACTAAACATGTATAATCTCATTCAACGATTTCCTTACGTTCAGAAGCCACAGTAGCCAGCTGCATGCAAAAGTGCCTGAATAACGAAAATTGCCTATCTTTTACCTTCAACAAATTGGAGAGGAAATGTAAAATCTTACCCGTCAACCGAAAACACACTCAGACTAAAGCTATAGTTGAGAATTACTTCGATTTTTATGAGCTATCATGTGATCGGCAAGCAATACTGAAGAATCAACAGCCAGTAATCGAGGTCAATCGAGATAGTGGGGATACAACAGGTAGGGTTACCTTCTATAGAGTGGCTAATGGCCTATTCAAAAAAACATGATGTTTAGCAGCCAACCTGACAACCTTTCCAATTACAACCACCCCGGCTCAAAAGTCGACCACTCATCCGGTCCATGGTAACGCCTGCGACAGTACGAAAAGTGTCCTAATCGAGAAAGGACGAACCCTGCGCATCGAGTATCGCAATCTTCACCATGTGAACATCAAGACCATAGAGATTTGCGAAGGATTATGTCAAGGAACGACTATTGCATGCCAAACCTTTGCATACAATGAGAGAACTGGCGACTGTTTATTATCTACTCTGATGATCGACAAGAACAACCGATTCTTCTTTGTCACCCAGCCTAATCCCAGCTATGAACTGTACGCCTTCCTCGGGAGGGCGTGCGAACAAAGTAAGTGCAAAAAAACGGGTGTCTTTTTCTGCATTACAACTATACATGATGTAATCATTATTTCACAGCTACCGCCCCTCCTACTCCCCTGCCAACGCTAATATCACTACCTCCTACCTACACAACACCTCAATACATCCATAAAGTTGAAGAATTCACCGCAACTATGATTTTGATCGATAAAGATGCCGTCGCGACCACTATTGACCCCGTCGATGTTGATCCATTCGACGAGAATGACAAGCCCAAGCATCGGCATCACCACAAGGTGTCCAAGATTCCTCACATTCCCACTTCCGCCTCATTTCAAGAATTTAGAGATCAACAAGTTGACGACTTCCACATGTTTCCAGCTCCGCCCGATGAAAAATCAGTGAAGAGTGCGAAAAAAACAACAGCATCGCCACTCGCTAAAACCGACGTGCCAAGGAGAGACAAGACGTTGGAAAAGTTTGCTCCGAACCAGATCAAAGTGAATGCGTTTTGCCTGGAGGGCGGGGTCAATGTGACTTTTCAAGTAACGGATAAAGTAAGAAAAAATTATCGAGCTTCATTTCAAATCATTCAGAAATACAACGGCGCCGTCTACGCGGCAGAGAGATTCGGCCAATGCCGAGCGTTTGTTGAAATGGCTTCTGTCTTCTCCATTTTTGTAGCTCGACCTGGCGTAAACAACAACTGTAATGCTTTCGAAGAAGACGGAATTTTGACCGCCGTCTTGGTCATGTCGAATGACATGGTGCTTCCATACGATGTAACGACCAAGGACGACTTCTTTTATCAGATTACTTGTGATTACAGCAAGGGCGAGCATGCCTCCATAGTTAGGACTGGTATCGTTGTCGGGTAAGGGGTTCTTCGACAATAGTAGAGACAGAGTCACTTACCAGTCTGTCGAAAAGAGCACTATCGGCGGAGCGACATTTGTCCTACAGTGAGGGACCTGATCCAATGGCAAAAAACGTACCATTTTTCATCCGGGAAGTATCAAAAATGTGGCAAAATGCTTCCCTCTCCAAGTTAAAAAAACTTCGTTTTGAAGGGCGCGCCCTTTTTCCTCACAAAAAATCTGAGTTTTTTCACTTGGAGAGGGAGGTATTTTGCCACATTTTTGATGCTTCCTGGATGCAAAGTGGTACGTTTTCTGTCATTGGATCAGGTCCCCCACTGTAGACTGATATACAAAAACGCCGTGTATACCTATACTATTCATCTTTAGCGGACCAGAACCGAGATCAATAATGACGAACGGGAAGAAAGCGGAAGACACTGAGACCAAGGTGATCCTTCGAATCCTCAAAAATCACCGTCCCGTAACTAATGTGTACATCGGGGAGAAGCTAACGGCTGTAGTCGAAAGTGACATTGATGGTGAGTTTGCAGACCGGTTCTAACGGAAACTATCCTCTCCTCTTACAATATCATTACAGCAAGCCGTCTAAAAGTCAGTGATTGCAACGCCACACGAGTTGGAGGTCGCGAGCCAAAACCCAATTCAGTGACGCTAATCAAGGATGGGTAAGGGCTTTGGAAACAGGCTGATCAATAATTTAGTTGCTCACTGATGCCTCAAATCATGGGGAATATTGTCAAGGGAGAGAACGGACTGGAGGCGCCATTTACAGCCTTTAGAATCGATGGATCCGATCAGATTGATATTGTTTGCAGTGTGGTCGTATGCAAGGCAAAATGCGATGAAAAGGTGCGAGCTTTCCCAGATACATGCACTACAGTGACCTGACGCAGTGGGAAAAAACGTACCATTTTGCATCCGGGAAGTATCAAACATGTGGCAAAATGCTTCCCTCTCCAAGAGAAAAAACTTTGATTTCAAAAGTGCGCCTGCTCTTTTTGTGACGCCCTTCAAAACAAAGTTTTTTCACTAGGAGAGGGAAGCATTTTGCCACATTTTTTATGCTTCCCGGATGCAAAATGGCACATTTTTTGCCACTGGATCAAGTCCCTCACTGCAGATTTTCTGTCACAATTCTGAGGCCAGAGATGAAGATTATATCAAAAACAATTTCAGGAGCCATCCTGCCCGCCAACCCGTCCAAAACGCGCAATAGATTCTCGTCGGGGCGATGACAAAATCACCGTGGACCAACGGCTTCGAGTTCTCGTCGTCGACGACTCCACTATTGATTCCGAAACCGGCAAATACTCGTCCCCGGGAGTGCTTGGCCTTTTGTTGGGTTCGGAAAAGAACCCGTACTGCGTGAATAGCACCGTTCTGCTCAGCTTGATCTCCATGTGCGTGCTGAGTCTGATTGCGTTGACGATTTCGGCGAGTTGGTTCTTCTGTCAGCGGCGGCAAACCTATCCGCCGCAGCCCATGTACAGCGAGCAATTCCGCGGAAGGTATGCTGAAAAGGTTGATGACGAATGGCTTTAGTGATCTGCCGCCTCCACCGCCCGCCTTCCACATCCCTCGAGTGGAACGGTATGTGGCGTGAATCAAAAAAAAAGGCCAAGAAATGTGCAATACCACTGTCTAAAAAGTTCTATTCCTTTATAAGCTAGTACGAGATGCGCCTCAATTAATAAAAAAAACTTACCTTTATGACCTGGATTCATCCTTTGGCCACTTTTACAGTGGGGGACCTGATCCAGTGGCAAAGAACGTACCATTTTGCATCCGGGAGGTATCAAAAATGTGGCAAAATGCTTCCCTCTCCAAGTGAAAAAACTTCGTTTTGAAAGGCCCTCTGCCTCACAAAAAAGCGGGCGCGCTTTTGAAATCTGAGTTTTTTCTCTTGGAGAGGGAGGTATTTTGCCACATTTTTTTATACTTCCTGGATGCATAATGATACGTTTTTTGACACTGGATCAGGTCCCTCACTGTATCATAAACAACACAAAAAATTGAAATAAAAATCTTCCTGCTTATCGCAAGATCTTTCTTCTATGTTTACACCTTTTTCACACCTTGATAACTTTATTCCATGTGTAACCCTCACTCAAAATTATACTTTACAAGGCCCAGATGGCCAAAAAATTTCCTTAAACAATAAAACTCCTCAAATCCAACAGTAAAGTATTTCTTTTGGGCTCGATATGATCCTTTCCCCTAGTACCAGACAATGGGAGACCAAGGTTATTTTAATCAAAAAAAACAAAGACAAAATAAATATTTAACATGGGTGTATATTAAGTTCGATCGATCTCAAAAACAAAATCCCGTGACCAGTCGACCATTTTCAACAAAGAACATGAAGAAGGGGATCATTTTCAGCGGATAAGATGCGTTACTGCCGGAACCACTTTGTAGTAGATTCCTCGACCTGCTTTGTAAGACAAGTAGCCTAATGACGATATCACTGCAACCTTGAAGACGAATCCAACGGCTCGCGAGGAGAATGAGGGTGGTGGTATTCTGCAATTCACATCAAAATAATAACAACAAGGCAGGTCTAAAATTTTTCCCTACTAAAATATAAAAGATAGTCAAAACCTACTCAAGGAGCTCCAGATTATTGACATGGGTGTTCCAGGCTTCTTGAATGCCCTTGATATGCCCAATTCCGACCACTGCGACCATGTTTAGAGGTTGGTAATCAGCTGAAAAACATTTTTCATCAAAATTTTCAAAATTCAGTCATATGCTACCTAAAACAACATAAAGATTGCCAAAACTCACTCCTATTCTTGCAATTCTTCCATGCCGTAATCTTTCCAGCCGTGCTGGACTGCATAATGGTCTGCAAAACATAGGCCATGTATTTGTCTCGCTCTTCGACAAAGATTTTCGATAATTGAGGGAATTCACCGGCCATTTCTTTGAGCAAACTTTCCAGGAGGTCCTTATCCTTGCATCTTTCAACGTCTTCTTGTCTGAAATTTCTTTCATATTATTTATTCTCCATTCTGACGCCAATAATTGAAACTTTTATACCTAAAGTCGACAAGCAGAAAACAATAAAATTAACTTACGTAACAGAGCTCCTGTTCGAGGAGATCACGTGATAAAGCAGTCGAATTCTTTGGAAGAATCCCAAGGATGACAACGCTCGTTGCAGAGTGACTTGAATAGGCCGATCTCCGAGGATTAATTTGCATCCGGGGATTCGGAACGAGGCCTTGTGAGCAGCTCGGAACTCTCCGCCTGGCGCCATCCCAAGTTGTTCCGTGATGTGAGCCGAAGTGGACAGCAACAGAACTTGCAAGAGACCTTGGACAATTCCATTCTGCAACATAAAGCAATTTAGTCCAACTTTTTGATAAAAAATATATTACACTCGACCTCCACTTACATCTCGAATCAAATTCATGATTTTCTGTCGGTTCAGGGTCTTGGCCTCTCTCAGAAGTGTTTCCTCGTCCAACGACAAGATGCTAACTCGTTGTGCGCACAGCTCGACCATCACAACATCGGGTTGAACTTCGGTGATGGCTTTGACAACATCATTCTGGCTTTCCGGTGAAAAATGGGCAGTCCCAATCACATATAGACGTGTCTTATTGTAGAGTTGGAGATATTCTTCACGGCTCACACCATTTGGAGGTTGCCCGAGAGGTTCAAAGGGAGGCGTGAGTTCAATACCTAAAAAATGGAAAATGAATAATATAAAAACATCTCAAAAACCTGGCTCAACGATCTCTAATACATAATGCACTATCTAAAGGACCAATGAAAACCTACAGGTATCAGAATTGAGTTCCGGCTTCTCTGGGCGACGTCTGTTGAACACGTATTGGCCGCTGAATGTCAGCTGAAAACAAGACGAAAATATTATCAAAACAAATTGAACCCTCGTTCAAAAAAACAATCCGGCTACAAATTTCCTTCATGACTATCAGTTCGCCAAGTACAATCTCCATTATAACCTCAATCCCTAAACACAGAAGAAAATACAATAGAAAATAACTCACCATAGTCGGAGGACTGTCTGGAGGTTCCTCACTCTTGCCATCATACTCTTCTTCATTATCTGGAAGATCAGCCATGTTACTGGCCGAGTCCACCAAAGAAACAGCTGATTGATTCGCTTGTTCGCTCAATGCATGATGTCTACTCAACGACAAACTCTTCATTCTAAAGATGTCCTCTTCATTCAGTTCGGAGGACCGATCTCGAGCGGCAGTCGGATCAAATCGTGGATTTTTTTCGGCTGGTTCTCCCTCCAAATCTTTACTCTCAAAGTTGTCGGTATTGGTATCAGCGGCTGATTGGGACATCTCCGCGGCTTCGGATTCTGACATAGAATCGGAGTTGCGCAGCTCCTTCATGCGGAAGATGTCGTCGCCAGTCAGCTCGGTCAAAGTTTCTTCACCCGCAATGTGGGCAGTAGACGGAGAGCGGCTCACACCATCTTCATCGAACACATTTACATGGTCGGGGCGACTGAGAGAGGCTTCTGGAGCCGGATTCGACTCCGGAGATACGGTGAATTCCATAATTGAGAACCCTGGAATATTATACCGGGTTAGCAAGGAAAAACAAGTTCAAAAACACGGAAACACGCAATCGTTTGAAACAGCAATGGAAAACAAGGTTCGGCAAATGTAAAACGCATTGCATTTTATATTTTACAACATGTTTCATAGCCAAAAACATCTCGTTCTTTGTCGAAGACAACTGCTTCTCCTGAGCTCCTAAAATTCGAAGAAAAAATAAAATCTGAAGAAAACTCCACCTGTACCAAACGGTTTCCCTTCTTTCTCTCTCTGATTAACATACTGCACACAAAAACATCTTCCGGACCAGACGAAAAAATAAATTTCCTTCCATTTCCTACATAATGACAGACAAAAAACAGTGCACATGCCCTCGACATTCGAAGAAATGCAATTAAACGTCCTAAAAACAGGACCACGGACATTACTCGAATAACAACGACAAAAAGTCTCGAGACCCGAACGCACGGTTATGAGCACCGCTTGATATTGCCAGTTATTCGAGGAAAGTCTTTCGTGGCCACGCCGCTAATTGCCCGGTTTGAAAGTGTGAAAAAACTGTCTTCTTGCTCGCTGAGTCCATTCATGGAGACGCGCTCGAATTTACCCTTCCGAGCGACATTTTATACGATGAAATTTGCTCGGCCGGATCATGCTGCTATAGGTAGGAGTGGGATTTCTAGCAAGATACCAAAACGATTTAGTTTATCTAGACGAAGTATTTTACGGTAGTGGCTCAGTTTTGGTGAAGTCGATGTTTCGAGGGGTCCAAAAGTCACGCATCTAGTAAAATATTTTAAAAACAGTTATAAAAATCTACGTAAAATCCAATATAAAAGACGTTAGATAAAATCTCCAGTCTTTTTCACGTCCCCACTTTTGACAATCGCTAAATTGAGCTCGATTCTTTAGACCCTCATCCTTGGACAGGTTTCATCGTATAAAATGTCGCAATAAAAAAGGAAAGAAGTAAAATGTACGTGTCCATCACGGCTTGCCCAAATAGACTAAAATCGGAGAAAAAAACGGACACGGCCTTCGCAGCTCGCGCCCTATCCTTGAAAAATTGCTGAGAAGTGCCCCTTAGAGTTGATGCTCAAAAAGTACAAAGCGCTTATTATCACATAAAACAATCTTGATAACTATTTTCTTTGAATGTCTGTCATCTATTTAAGCTATCATTCATATCGTTGCCATTTCTGAATCGGGAAATATGGGCCCCTCAATATCAGCAATTTTGATGTATCTTGTACAACATGTATATATTCGAAGAAGCGAAGTGAACAAAATTCCATCTACAATTCCATGGAGACGTTGCAGATGATGCTCCAAAAAAAGTTTCGTCCAAATTGGACAATTTTTTGGGGTACTTCAACGTTTCCCACTGCAAATGGAGCATTGCCTACCTGTGGAGCCCCAGTTCTCTTTGAAAAACCACAAATTTGTTGGTTTCTTTGTGTTAGTTAACACAGTTGTTAGTCTATTAGTAGGCTAGATACTCTTTACAGCTTCAGGAATGAGAAAACAAAAGTTATGTTGAAATTTGTAAAAAAGTGACAAACAGGTCCCCATGTACAATATCCCATAACACAGTCAAATAATGGACTTCGTTAAAAAAACATCTACAATTCCACAATAAACCTATCGAAGGAAATGTACACAAGTTTTCTTTCAGACTTCTGAGACAATTTTTTGACACACTTCAACGTTTCCCATTGATTTAAGATGATATTTCGTATTTTTGAATTCCATCGGTTAGCGACCCCCCGTGTGGGGAAGAAGGTCGATTAACAATTTTCTAGTTCTAAAAACATCAAAACATGATTATGGATGCTTATTGGACTCGTCTTAATCCAATTTTATCAAAAGTAAATATTGATGATAATAGGTATGTAATGTGATGGGGGACAAGGCTTGGTTTGCTTTGAAATAGAAGATTACGATAAGTAGTAATAATGACAGATATACTCGTTGCAATTTTAAAGCTTTTTGATAGATTTTGTGAGCTTTCACAGGCAAAGTCATGAAATTTAACCCCTTGGCTCGTGGCAAGTATAGTATTCGCGCATAGATAAGTCAGAGTGGCCGATATTGACGAATAAAGTTTGTGTACTATTATTATCAAACAAAGCCTATTCTGAAGCATCTTTTTAAGGCAACATCCACGTATTATCCATGTTTACCAAAATTCATTAAATTTAATGTCCAAAAATGATATTTTTGTGGTAATGATTTTTTGTGGTATGTGCGCGTTGATGTAAAATGGGTTTTCTACCAATTCCTATCAATATTGACAGTTCTGCTTTCATTCTGACATAAAATAAGACTAGAAATGTTTCATCGTATAAAATGTCGCTAATTCTTCTTTGGACGTTTTTTTCTCCATTTGGGCAAGCCGTGCCATTCATGGTCGAAGGTAGGCCAACTAATCGAACGTCTTTTGAGGAATAGATTGTATTTTCGTGATGAAAACAATGTTTTGCAATCTTATACTGTCTTCTGATAATATCCGTTGTTATATTTGACGTTTTTATCCCAAAATTCAACTTGATAGCTATTTTTAAGTCCATTACTTATAATTTGAGAATTGTTGAGGGATAATTTCGTGCCTGTAATTGGCTATTAGAGGGGCCTTAGACACAGTTTCACGAGTTCTCCGTGTACTTTGATAGATCACCTATAATTGTTTTAAATTTCAACTATTTTCAGATGCGAAAATGTCAATAGATAGTCTAGTCCAGTCGGTTTCTACTTACCGACGTCGCTCTCCGCTTGGTTTTCTGTATGGTGGGCCTTTCGTTGTTTTCTATGCCATTTGGATCTACTACTGGTTGAATGTTTTGGGATACGAAGATTACTACGAATTAGGTTGCATAGGAGTAGCGGTTATAGCAATATGTCAGGTGAGTCTTCTTCGATATTTATTTCTTCAAAATTTAGACTTGCTTTACGTCTTGAAGGAAGTATGGCCAGATTTTTTGTTGGCATCAAACTTCTAGATGTTTTTTATAGAAAATCGTCCAGAAATGGCGAAAATCCGGGCTTTTGTTGTGCGACAATCATAGGGTTTATTATTTCAGATCCTCGCAGTGTTATTTTGCTACTGGTTTGTTGAAATCAACTGTCTATTTACTTGTAATTTCGTCTCGGATCCAACGAAAGCAACTCTAGCGAAAGTTGTCCCGCAGCCAAATAATGGGTGGACAGAGTTGGTGCCAATTCGGAAAACGAAGGTAAAGTATCTTTCAGAGGAATTGACTGTCATTTTACTCAACTCAAACCTATGTTTTCAGCTTCCGACTGGTGAAGTCCAGACTTGGTTCCTTTTCCAAAAGATAACTTACTTTTATAACGAAGATCTCAAAACCTTCGAGTCTATCAAATACGATACGAGTAAACCGCTCAGTGAATTCTTCGATCACAAAGGGTTCGAAAATGAAGAGCAGATTCGGGAAAGCACCTTGAAATACGGAAACAATGAGTAAGTGCACCTAAAATAATATAAAATTTTATGTTTTTCTAACGTGAATTGGTGCAGCCTTCTTCATCAGCCGTAATATTCATTTTCAGCATGGAGATGTCGATTCCATTGTTCATGGATCTGTTTATTGAACGAGCAACAGCTCCATTCTTTGTCTTCCAAGTAAGTCCGATTTTTCTCTGCATTTCTTTCGATTTTTAGGTATTTTGCGTCGGTTTATGGTGCCTAGAAGATATGTGGTACTATTCTCTCTTCACACTGGTAATGCTTATGACATTTGAGGCAATGATTGTCAAACAGCAGCTTAAAAACATGCAGGATATCAGAAACATGGGGAACAAGCCATACATGATTTATGTAAGCAGTTTGCCTGTTGGAAAACACGTCAAATTTTGTGGATTTTTTGGTAGATTGCAGTGGCAGAGGTTATTCTTGCTTGTGAAAAAAGTTTCTTACCCATATCGATTGTAGGCTTACCGTAATCGTCGATGGAACCGAGTCCCCTCAAATGAATTGGTCTTTGGTGATATCGTCTCGGTCAATCGGTCCAGCGAAGAGAAATCGGTTCCATGTGATCTGCTCTTGATCCGTGGTCAATGTATCGTCGATGAGTCCATGTTGACGGGAGAAAGTGTGCCACAAATGAAAGAGCCAATCGAAGAGACGGATCGACGAAAAGTTTTTGATTTTGCGACCGACGGAAAGCTTCATGTGATCTATGGCGGCACCAAGATTGTCCAGCATAACCCACCAGGTACCATATTCCAACATATTTTGTATCGCTTTAGGTAAAACGGACCCTGGTATGAAGTCCCCGGACAATGGATGTATATGTTATGTACTTCGCACCGGCTTCAACACCTCTCAAGGACAACTGTTGAGGACCATTTTGTTCGGCGTGAAGAGAGTCACAGCCAATAATTTGGAGACGTTTGCATTTATTTTGTTCTTGATGATCTTCGCCGTCGCCGCCTCAGCCTACGTGTGGATCAAGGGAACCGAAGACCCGGATCGAAACAAATACAAGCTCTTCTTGGAGTGCTCGTTGATCATCACAAGTGTCATTCCGCCTGAACTTCCGATTGAGCTCTCTTTGGCAGTCAATAACTCGCTGATAGCCCTACAAAAATTAGGTAAGAAGTGAGATTGGGGTGTAAGAATTTTTATAAAATAGCTTTGAAATGGATGTGATGTCGTATTTCACCCTGAAGTTGAATATTTTCCGAATTTTTGACCTTATTTTAGTCTAAAAACGTCGATTTTTTTTTTTATTTTTTAGGAGTTTTCTGCACAGAGCCGTTCAGAATTCCATTTGCTGGCAAAATTAACATCTGTTGCTTCGACAAGACTGGCACGTTGACCACGGATAATCTTGTGGTCGAAGGAATTGCCAAAGGAGTGGATAAAAACGGGAAAATCGAGATTGTGAAGACCCCCGCGGATGTGGATCCAAATTCAATCCGAGTGCTGGCTTCATGCCAAAGCTTGGTCAGATTCGACGAGGAATTGGTGGGAGATCCCATGGAGAAAGCGTGCTTGAATTGGATCGACTGGAACGTCAGCAGAAGTAGGTTTTTTTGGCAGGGAATGGAAGAGCTCAGCTGAGAGCTAGCTCAGTTGTTCTTATGGGAACTGGGACGATTGGGGAAACCGAAAAGTATTATTTTTCTTTGATGCAAGTGTCGAAATTAGGATAATCGAGCGTGCTGATTTCGAAAATGACATTCATTTTTTTGATAGTTACTTTTTTCCTTGAGTAGTACTGTAAAGTAGTAATTTTTTGAATTTTTTTTCGTGAATACTCGGTTTGGGGGTTTTCGATCGTGCTGCTTTCAAATCGGAAAAAACGAATCGGATTTTCGAAATCAGCAAGGTCGAAACCCCCCAAATCGAGTATTTGTGAAAAAAAATCAAAAAATTACTACTTTACAGTACTACTTAAGGAAAAAAGTAACTATCAAAAAAATGAATGTCATTTTCGAAATCAGCACCCTTGATTATCCTACTTTCGACAATTGTATCGAAGAAAAATAATACTTTGGTTTCCCCAATCGCACTTTTCCCCAATTGTCCAACATTGTTTCAGACGACTCGGTTATCCCCAAGAAATCGAAAATGCAGCCGCTGAAAATCGTCCAACGGTATCACTTCTCAAGCCAAATGAAGAGAATGACCGTTGTTGCGAGTTATATCCCGCCCGGAACCACCGAACCCAGACACATTGCTGTCCTCAAAGGAGCACCGGAAGTTTTGAGGGGAATGGTATGTAATTTGATGGATTCTTGGATTGATTTTGCGGTTTTTAGTACAAGGACTTACCCAAGGACTACGACCAAACCTATCAGCAGCTAGCTCAAGCGGGAAGCAGAGTATTGGCCCTCGGAATTCGAGAGATGGGAGCACTTTCTCACGCGGAAATCCGCGCAAATAAGCGAGAAGATTACGAAAAGGACCTGGAATTTGCTGGATTTGTGGTTATCTCATGCCCATTGAAGCCAGACACAAAGGAAATGATCAAGGAAATCGTGGAGTCATCGCATTCGGTAGGAATTTTGGGATTTATATTGTTTTATGGAGATTTTTATGGTGAATTTTAAAAAAATTGATTTTTTGTAAATTTTTGTTTTTTGATGGTGGTTAAAGTATAATTTCTGGTCTTGTAGGTAACCATGATCACCGGAGATAACCCTCTGACTGCCTGCCATGTCGCCTCAGTACTGCATTTCACCAAAAAATCCAAGCCGGTACTTATTTTGGACGAATCAGAAGCGGAAGACAAATGGGCCTGGAAATCAGTCGATGGCAAGACGAAACTAAACCAACTGGCTCCGCAAACCAAGCCCGAGATCAAGAAGTTTGTGAACGACTTTGAGTTTTGCCTCACCGGACATGGATACGATCATTTGGTCAGAGAGTTCCCACATTTTGTGGACAAAATTCTCCCTCATGTCAGAGTTTTTGCGAGAATGTCACCGAAACAGAAGGTAAGAAGAGTCTTGGGGATAATCAAAATGTTTGGTTTGGGTTGCTGCGATATTTTCTCGATCTGGGACATTATTTTATGTTATCCTTTCCAGGAACACGTCGTAAATCGACTAAAAAGCCTAGGATATACGACTCTGATGTGCGGCGATGGTACAAATGATGTCGGCGCCCTAAAACACTCCCATGTTGGCGTTGCCCTCCTTTCACATCCATATGATCCACAAAAAGAAGCAGAACTTCAAGCCCAGAAGCAACAAAAAGTGAAAGAAATCAGAGAAGCTGCTGAAAATGTGAGAAGAGTCAATCCAAATGATCTTCCCAGTCGGTTTGGAGGCCCGAGAAATCAACCGGCTCCAACGCAGCAGGATAATAAGAAGATCCCGACTAATCCTCATGTTGCGGTGGGTAGTGTAATATAGGGAATAAATGTAATGTTTTTGTGATTTTAGAAGTTGGAACAGTTGATGAAGGAGCTGGAAGAAGAAGAGCGCCTTCAGGTGATCAAGCTTGGCGATGCTTCGATTGCTGCGCCGTTTACTTCGAAGTTCACTTCGATTCAATCGAGTAAGGAGAATGTTTTTTGATTTTTTGAAAAGTTTTGGGTATAGCTCTTAGTCGTAAGATGATATTTAGGAAGAAAAGACCATGGTTTTACATAGGAAATCAATTTTTGACGATAAAAATCAAATACGGATGTGTTCCAGCATCATTTATGTTATCCATGACATCAAATCTCATGGATGAAATAAATTGGATTTTTTGGAAGTTTCAGCCTAAAGGGGGTCCTAGTAGGTACGACATATGTATTTTAGCTCAGATGGACTGTAATTTATCCAGTTGTTACCGTATTATTAGAATATTTTTCATGATAAACGAGGCCTTATTATCCATGGTCTCGAAATCTCAAGAGTAATATAAATTAGATTTTTTTGGGCCTTGAGCTTTCGAGAGAGCTTCCAGTATTTCCAGGATACGATTCTTGGCTAAAATAGATCGTATTTCACCCATTAATCACTGTTTTATTACAGTATGTCATGTGATAAAACAAGGCCGGTGCACGTTGGTCACCACCCTCCAGATGTTCAAGATTCTCGCTCTGAATGCCCTGATCTCAGCCTACAGTCAAAGTGTTCTCTACCTGAATGGTGTCAAGTTCTCGGACTCACAAGTTACAGTACAAGGATTGCTTCTAGCGTCGTGCTTCTTCTTCGTTTGCCGGTCGAATGTGAGTTTAGCCAGAAAAAAGTGGAAAACATGCCTTTTAGCCGTTGAAAAGCTTATCAAAACAAAGGCCCATCCCGAATATTTTCAACGCGTATACTCTTCTAACGGTGACGCTTCAGTTTGCGGTCCATTTTGGTTTCTTGGTGGTGATTTTCGAACGGGTTTTGGAGATTGAACCGAGGTGAGTTAATAATTCATTTTTGGTGTCGAAGTGTAATTTGAAGATTTTTTGTTGATAGTTTTGTACGTTCAATAACATTTACGACTATTTCAGAGAAGGAAAAGTCAATCTGGAAGAGGAATTCAAGCCAAATCTCCTGAATTCAGCCGTTTACATCATATCCATGGCCCTTCAAATGTGCACTTTTGCCATCAATTATAGAGTAAGTTGAATTTTTTTACATTTATGGCGATTTTTGGAGGATTTTTGATAAAAAAATCTGCTTTTAGGGCCGTCCATTCATGGAAAGTTTGATCGAAAATCGTCCTTTGCTTTATTCAGTGATCGGATCCCTCTTCGCTGTCTTCACTTTGGCCTCAAACGCCATTCCGGAGTTCTCGCATAAGTTTGAAATTGTGGAAATGCCGGAAGAAGTAGGTTTTTTGATATTGCACTTGGTTAGCTGGTCCTTGAAAAATATTTTTTTTTGTTTTTAGTTCCGAAACTTTATGGTAATGTGCGTCGCTGGAGATCTAGTCTTGTGCTACTGCATAGACCGAATCCTAAACTTTGCGATTGGAGACATGCGAGCCTAGCGTAGTCTAGACGGAATAATTGTGGTTATATTGCTGAAATCATCGTTATTTATGGCTTTTTTTAGTTAATAAATTATTGAAATCAAAGTTGAGAAAATTTTAAGCGGTATAGAGTACTTTAGTGATGGTGGGAATGGCTTTAATTGGGGTGAAAGTCGATTTTTTCTGTTATTTTTGCCATCAAAGCACTTTTAATTTTTCGTCTCAATTTGGTCTTTCACACTTGATGGGTCATTAGAACAAACTCGGAATCACAGAGCGCAAAGATACGGGGAAGTCAAGAGCTGAACTGGGTCAGAGGAATCAAGTTTGCTCGTTGGTCATCAGAGAAAAAACAGTTCTTTCGGATGTAAAGGGTCGAAAAAAGTGAAAATCCAAATGATTGTTTGAACTTTGCGCTAAAAAAAGGGAATTTTGAAACAAATCCTCACTAAAATTTCCCAAGACCGCTGAGGAATTTTTGGCTCGCGGCTTGCGGAAAAGTTAACATGATTTTCGAACTCAGCACGTTCGAAAACCCATACATCCAGTATTTTGAAAAAAAGTTCAAAAAATTACTTTTTAACACTACTACTTAAGGAAAAATAGTAAGGTTCAGAAAAAAGAACACGATTTTCGAACTCAGCACCCTCGAAAACCCTTATATCCAGTATTTTTAAAAAAAGTTCAAAAAATTACTTTTAACACTACTACTTAAGGAAAAATAGTAGAGTTCAGAAAAAATGAACATGATTTTTGAACCCAGCACCCTCGAAAACCCCTAAACCAAGTCTTTCCCGAAAAAAATCACGCAATTTTCACCTCGGGGTCGCTTTACCCGATCTTGGGGCGAAGCGATGCGGGTCGCAATCGATGGAATTTCAAAATTCACGGTGCGCTGCGACTCCGCACAGTGCAAAAAGATTGTCTCGAAAAGGGTAAACAACGCACAGTGCGCTCTTTTTTCGCACCCCGCCGAACTTTTATCGCGCGACACCTCGTCGCAACGCCGAATCCATGCGCCAGCATGGTGCGAGAACATGTCAAGACTTTTTGTCCAGTCTGTAGTGGGGGACCTATCCAATGGCAAAGAAAGTACCGTTTTGCATCCGGGAAGTATCAAAAATGTGGGAAAATGCTTCCTTCTCCAAGTGAAAAAGCCTCGTTTTGAAGGGCGCGCCCTTCTCCCTCACAAAAAGAGCGGGCGCGCTTTTGAAACCGGAGTTTTTTCGCTTGGAGAGGGATGCATTTTGCCACATTTTTGATACGTCCCGGATGTAAAATGTTACGTTTTTTGCCAATGGATCAGGTCCCCCACTGTAGTAATATGTGGTTAAATGTGTCAAAGTTGGATTGTAACCATCAAAAATCAAAACGATTTTTATTTATTAAAGCATCGAAACAGTCATAGAGATCGTGGGAATGCAATGACTGCAATAAATAAACATGTCCGTTACAATCCAGAAGGATTTTAAAATACTCAAATGCAAAGGTTGCCTGCTTTAGGCAACCAAAACTTTAAACAGTTAAAAAATGATATGCTCAGTGTTCAGTCGGTCATTGAGTCCTTCCTTTGCGATCAAAATGTGTCGTTTGTTGACCAAGAACAACATGTAGGTCGGTGATCGTCGTACAATTGTATAAGCCACATCAAATTCGGCGTTAAATTCACCGACCATCCACTTCCCGCCGAACGCTTTTTCCATTCCCTGAAAAAATCGAAATTTTTTGGATCCACTAATTAATTGTTTTCTTGATCGTTGAGTCCTGTTTTTTTCTGTCTATACCACCCAGTTGTGGAGGAAGGAATTAATTGTAACTTTAATTAATTCCCAGTGTAACTTTTTTCCAATTTCCTCGTGATTCAAATAGCCTTGGAGATTGTCTGCGAACGTTGTTTTGATTGTGTCTAATTAACCATAATTCCAATAGGTTTAAGAATATTTTTAATATGACTCGAGGGTTCGAAAACTTATGAAAAATTAGTCTTACCGTGCCGATGGCATGGGTGTCATCCCCGGTAGTAGCCCAACCGTCATCATTGAAACTGTCTTTGATTAGTTGAGCTGCGGTGGTTATGACTTGTGGAGTACATCCATACCGAGCCAGCAGCTCAATATGCATTCTGGTACTGTCGAGACGGTTGAATCTGAAAGTTGAAAGTAGAGCAAAAAAATGAGTTTCCTGTGGAGCGTGGAAAGTTTTGAGAGCTCCCCATTTTCCTGGATATTGAGTCTTTTGTCGAAATGTCACAGTCACTTAAATCGAATCTTGGACTTTGCGACCTCAAATCCGAAATACAGTGGGAGGCCGGATCCAGTGACAAAAAACGTACCATTTTGCATCCGGGAACTATCAAAAATGTGGCAAAATGCTTCCCTCTCCAAGTAAAAAACTTCGTTAGGGCGCGCCCTTTTTCCTCACGAAAAGAGCAGGCGCGCTTTTGAAATCGGAGTCTTTTCACTTGGAGAGGGAAGCATTTTGCCACATTTTTGATACTTCCCGGATGCAAAACGATACGTTTTTTTCCAATGGATCCGGTCCCCCACTGTAGTCCATATCCGTCACTGGCTTATAGTTTTGGCCAAACTCGAGCTCAAAGTGTCACATATCTCAAGGGAAAAGCTCATGCGAGACGCTCAGATTTCATTGAATTTTGCATCGGCGCTGGGCACATAGCAATCGAAAATTTTAATTTGCCCTCGGCCGAGATATTCGACATGCGTTTTAAACTGCCTATACTTACTCATTACCAGCACCATTGGATGGGGGAACATATCTATTGTACAGCAAGCACTCGGCCAAGGGCATTAGTGCTAGAAATAGAAGTAGTGAAGCCATGACCTTATGTAGTTGACCCATTCACCCTTGAGATCCGCAAAGGCCAGCCTGAAACACACCGAACCACTCGCTCCTCGGGCTTATATAAAACTTTTGTTTCAAAGATTACACAAATTGTACCAAGGGTACAGTCTGAGCGGGGCGCTTTACAGCAGTTTTATTTGTTTTTGGAGAATCGTAAACTCTTGTAATTTCCATTTTAACATTTCCCGGCTTACTATGCGGGGAGTTTAATCAAAAAAGTTTGGGTTTTTTGTCTGCGCACACACAATGTTCAAAGTTATTGCGGAGAGCTCCGCCTAATTGGGCTATTACTCGTAAAAACATAGGTGATCGCCTAGACTGTTCTTTTTGAGCAGTTAACCTCAAGTATCAAAGAATTTGATGCTCGTGGTTGAATTTACGATTCAAAACGAAAGCAAGTTGATGATTCACACGTAAGACTGATGTTTGAGATGTTGCGAAAGGGCACGTTCTTGTTGTGATAGTGGGGGATTTCAAGGAGTTCTCAAAATGTAAGACGCGTCTAGACGTGTTTACTTTTCAACCTTCAAAGAACGCTCCTTTCTAGACGTTATTAAACATCTTTGCCCTCTAAAATGTCGTCAACGTGGATGCATTCTAAAGGAACTTTTTTTGAAGCCAAAAAAATATGACGATGAGATAATATGGATCAATAGGCGTCATTTATCGCGCCTTTGATTTATCACAGCGCGTGTTCCTTGTTCCGTTTCGCCTGCTTGAGCAGGAGAGGTGATCAAGGTACGCTGCTGTTTGATCATCACATTGGAGCCAGATATGGCACATTTCTATTCAAAAGTAACACTCATTTTTAAAGTGCGGTTGTTTTTTATACGAGTGGCTCTAGTTTTTTGCTTTTCTCGGCTGTTGTTGAAGAATTGTCGACCATGCTTTTGATAAGCCTTTTTCCGGCTTCAAGTACAGTGGCGGACCTGAACCAGTGGCAAAGAAAGTACCATTTTGCATCCGGGAAGTATTAAAAAATGTGGCAAAATACCTCTCTCTCCAAGTGAAAAAACTCCGATTTCAAAAGCGCGCCCGCTCTTTTTGTGAGGAAAAAGGGCGCGCCTTTCAAAACGGAGATTTTTTAGTTGGAGAGGGAGGCATTTTGCTACATTTTTTTGATTCTTCCCGGATACAAGATGGCACCTTTTTTGTCACTGGATCAGGTCCGTCATTGCAGCAGTTGAGTTGAATTTTGACTTTAAAACAAGTGGTATCCACAAAATGCAAACCAATACGTGACTTGTATTGACGAAAATTCTGATCTTACTTGCGGAAAATTTCATTAAAGTCACAGCGCCATTCATTGCGGTGTTTCCCTAAGCTGAAACAACTGCTTGATCAAATAAGCTGCAGTTTCGACCCGGGTTTCGCGGCTTACTTCCGGATTCGGTTCGCTCGTACGTAAGCCGATTGATATCCGTTGCTTTCGCGGAGAAAGCGGTTACGGCGCCACTGATGACTTCCGCATCTCTCTGGATTACACCCCATCGGTTGTGAGGCCGCTGATTGTGAACGTCATGGGTCCGAACGCCCGCCTCACACTTATTCTTGTCGCGTTCTGTACGGTGGTTGGGGAAGGGTGTCTGCGAACAGTGCCGCCGGAGACGGGAACAACCGTAGCGCCGACAGTGCCAACCACAACAACCGCTGCTGGGCCGACGACAACAAGCACAACTACTACTACGACGACTACAACTACTACAACAACAACTACTACAACAACAACTACTACAACAACCACTACAACAACTACAACTACGACAACTACAACTGCTATTCGTAAGTCCAGGGTCCTTTTCCATTTTTACATACGTTCTTTAAAAGCTGGTTTGTTGGAGGTTGAGAATGTTTTTGTTGGCCACTGTTGCCGACACAGTTTCAACTTAATTACATGCAGCTACAGTGGGGGGACCCCAGTGGCAAAAAACGTACCATTTTGCATCCAGGAAGCATCAAAAAATGTGGAAATATGCCTCCTTCTCCAAGTGAAAAAAACGCAGATTTCAAAAGCCCGCCCGCTCTTTTTGTGAGGAAAAAGGCCGCGCCCTTCAAAACGAAGTTTTTTCACTTGGAGAGGGAAGCATTTAGCCACATTTTTGATACTTCCCGGATGCAAAATGGTCCGTTCTTTGCCACTGGATCAGGTCCCCTACTGTAGTTAAATACCAGATTTTTTTATATTACAATACACTGAACTGACCTACTCCTGTCCGCGGGACGGGCGATTTTCGGCCCTACATTACGAAACCCCAACCATTTCAGCCTGTAACCCACCCAGCTCCACCTCGGCGGGTATCATCTATGCGGATCCGGCGGAGGCAACGGCTCTCTCGGCCGGCGATACAGCCACTTGTTCGGACTGTACGAGCGGCAAAAAGCATTGGTATTCCGAGACCACTGCGGACAATATGAGCGACGCCATCGGGAATAACGAAGCCGCGCTGTTGGATTGCGGTAGTTCCGATCTTTCCAACGCCTGCATATGCAATGCCGACGCGTGTTGTACGGTGGACGACCCAACGAATACGGACGCAATAGCGCTTGCGACTTGGTGCGACAGCAACGGAGGTAAAGACGAGTTTTTCGTCAATTGTTGATGTTGCTGTTTAGTTTGCTCAATGTACGCGACCACCAGTGGGAATGGTGGATTGACCTGTGACAACGGCCTGAACGTCCCGGCGAATGACGCTGCGGCGTTTAGCGGCGGGTCGTATTTCCAGCCAACAGCGATGAGTTGTAATGGATGTGATGGACTTAAGCAGGATTCTTGCAACGGCCCTACTACTCCGAACTAAAGTTGGAGTGTTGGCAAAGGCTTTTTGGGGGCTTATATCCGAGGAATCTACGGGTATAATACAATGTAATATAATATGATAATAATAACAATTCATAATAATAATAATAATTCCAATAAACCATCTAAAAACAAACTCTTTACTTCAATAAATACATCTGTACGTGTTGTCACAAAAAGACAAAAAAATATGATTTTAAAAGAGAATGGAAATGTTCAGCAGCTTCTACTCGTTTTTGCAGTACCGTAAGTCATCAATTTTCAGATTTAGTTCTTCTTGCAGAACTTGATGCACTCGTTGTAGGTCTCAAAGTTGTTTCCGTTGCCGAGCACGCCGTAGTAGGTGAAGAGAAGGCAGTTGTCGACGGATTTGTCATAGAAATATCTTGGCGTATGCGAGCCGGCGAAGGCATATTTGCCAGTGTCGTAGTTGACTTCACAGACGGCTTCTGAAAATGGAATCAAGAGCTTTCCCGGGGGAAAAAATGCGGCCAAAGTGGAGAAAATATTGCAAAATATTACCTTTGTTTGGGCAGCAAAGCCCTTGCACACACTTGTGTTTGCTTGGGCATTTGTCACAGCTGATCGCCTTGCTATTCTCATCAACGGCAGCTCTCACTCCCCCATCACATTTGGCTGAAAAATTTTAGAATTTTCTATTGCGGAAGACAGCCCTAGGTTGCCAACAAAGCATGTGTTATTTCACAACTTACGAACATCTACGACCATCTTGTGGGCATTCGCGGCGTCCGCTGCGTCCGCGCTAACCCCACTACATTTGGTCTTGCATTCCGAAGATGAGGTGAATCGGTTTCCATTTCCATTACAGCCATCGTAGCGGAAAGGCTGGCAATGTTTGGTGCGAAGATCAAAGTAAAATCGTAGGCCCCCGGATTCTCCGCAAGAGGAATCTCCTTTGTCACGGGCTGAAGAACGAAATTTTGAAAACCGAAGAGCTTATCAGTCAATCGGGAAAATATTGTGGATTTGTCGGAGAAAATTTCTCGCTTTCTCGTTGCCTTTGGCCGGCTAGCCGTCGGGCGATTACAAGGCGCGACAAGTCCACATTATTTCCCCGACAGACTCATAACTTTCGTGGGTTTGGTAAAAATAGTAAAATTGGGGGTTATATTAGCCTGTCGGGAAAATAATGAGCCATCTGTCGCACCGAAAATCACATCACCGCAGGGCAAAAATTATTTTCCCGACAGACTGATATGAACTTTCACTTACGCAGCAAACATTCCTCTTGTTGGTAGCTCAATCCGACCGCCACGGCGAGTAAGGCGAGCGTCAAAAATTGGCCGTTCATCTAAAACAATATTTAATTAAAAGCAAAAACTTTGCGGCTTCAAAAGTTTAGTCGACGGATACTGAAACACTTTTTTTTCGTCGCTTCAAAACTCGGCGGTTTCACGCGGTTCAAAACCCGAAACTTCGACTCGATTATGAGCGTGGATGGGTCTTTGAAAATGCTCCTTTTCCCTTGCGCAAACATTGTTTTTCCTTCTTCCAGACAATGAGCAGCAAAATGCGAATCCCGCTGATATCGCGGCTATACGCCCGCTGCGGTTATTAATAACCGGCTTTTGTATGCGGACGACGCTTCTTGCCAAAAGCGCGGATAAACAAAGGTGTAGGTGGGGCTGAGAAAAGGTCAATTGGTCTTATGGATAATTCGACAGAAAAGCGAGTAATATTATGTAAAATACGACCCTTGGGTCCTACTACGTGATGGTTAAAAAAGTCCGTCTTATAAACCTCATCATTTTTTTGAGTTTGCTGAACAAAATGAATCAAAAAATAAATAATAAGATTGTATGAAATTCGCGAGGGCAAACAAAAAATCTGGTTCTAGAGCAGAGGGTTTATAAAACTACAAGAAGTTTGAAAAGGACTTAGAAAGTTTTTGAAAACACGTTTTCATTTGCGTATTTTTAGAATGACAAGTAGACAGAAAAGAAGGTCAAAAAGAGGCTCATTGCAGCTGTATTCTTCATTCAGTGACACTTAACGAATTGCAAATTTGATAAAACGGGGGGGGGGGGGGGGGCAAATTTACATAGATATTTCCTAAGGTTTATGCGGTATAGGTTTTTACTCCTAGGTCGAGCTTTGCAGAAACGACCGAGAATTTTAGCAAGAAATCGGAAAAAGTGGGGAAATTTTGTCCGAATTTTGGCATGGCGGGCTTTATGGCTATTTCTACGGTAACCTTTCCACAAAAACATCATTTTTCCGCGCGAAACTGTCAAAGATAAGGCCTGAAAGTGTTTTCTCACCGATGTCTCCCCGTTTTCGGGTTCTCTCGGCAAGGATCCTTCAATACCTCACTTGCCTCTGAAAAGTGTACGCTAAAACTTTCAGAAAGATTCACTTGTGGTCTAATATTGTGCCCAAGGCTAACTTTTTGGCTAAAATAAACCTCCGTAAAAAGGAATCCTTCTACAACGGACTTTTTTTTGGTCTGTCGATATTCGCTTTACGGGGGCTCCACTGCAAACTCCGAACAATATTTTGAAAGAGTCGGTGTAAACTAAATCGTTGCAATAAACATGAAATACTCTTTAAAGAAGCCCCTTCCTATCTCATCGTTTTCTTCAGCATGACCTGCTGATCGCGCAACCAGCAGAAGAAAGTCAATTCAGAAAAGTCGTCGACCCGTCTTTGAACAGCAAATTGTATAAATATAGGCAGAACTACGTGACAATTCAGAAACCCGAAAAACAAAAAATAATATGTATCAACCGTGTTCGAGGGCCCTGTTTACTCAACACTACTTTTCCGCCAAAAAATAATGAAATGAAAGGTGTTTTGCGCGAATCGCGTTACTCTTTTTCCGTCGATGATTGATGAAACCTGCGGTCGAACAGGTGAAGAGTATAATGGAGAAAAAAAGCTTTTGGGTTGATGAAAAGTAACTATCAAATAAAAAGATAAAGCGTCGTAAAGTGTGGAGATCATATCGTTCACTTTTTGCCATTAACTAGGGAAGTATCCCAAGTGAGACGCTCAGATTTCCTTGTTTAAATTTTCATAAGCTCTGAGAGTAGGTTACACGTTTTATCGCTGAAAATTTTAGTTAGCGCTTTCCGACCAGCCAGGATATTAAGCGATCTTTGCCGCCGAGGGAGTGCATAAAAAGTGGAGAGCGATCAGACAGAACCCCTTTTTGGTCAGATCTTTGCCAATTTCGCATGGAATAAATGAAATTTCGGTGGCAGAAACAAGCTTAACAATTTTCTTGCCAACCTTCGTATTCAGTTAGCTTATCTTTTAGGTTAAAAGTTTGCAAAAATGCGCCATTTTTAGTGAATTTTGGCGTAAAGTTTCATGCCTGTTTCTATATATCACATAGGGCAATGTTTGTATGACCAATACATTTTTCCGCACGAAACTGGCAAAGATATGGCGAAAAAGTGTTTTTCTTTGTGAACGCCATCGGCGTTTTGTCTGCTCTCTCGGCCGCGGAGGTCGTTGAATATCTCGGCTGAATCTACAAAGCATTAGCTAAAATTTTCAGGGATTGATGTATGGTTTATTACTAAAGCGTGTGTAAAATTTATTAAAAGTCTGAGCGTCAAACTTCGAGTACTTCCTTGTTTGGTCGCTTCAATGGGTTTAATTCATCATGACACCCAACATATCGATTTGAAGATCTCTTGAGTTCGAAAAGTGAACCCTTATCATCGCGTTGGATTGTATGACATTAATAATTTTCAACATCACTTCCTTAACTTTCCGAATCAAGACACAAAGTCTAGCATTTGAGGAGGCAAACTTCTATCTAGTTTATTCCTTTCGAATACAACTTATCTTAAGTATCAAAACATAAATGTTATTTTATTGAAAAGATGGTCAGTGAAAGTTGTAATTGTTGCAAAGAACGGAAAAAAGGAAGTTGAAAGAGGGAAGGACTGAGCATATTGTACATGTTGAGATAAAGGAGAGTTGTAAGTTTGTTTTGAAAGTTGAGAGTTTATCAATTACCTTGAGTTAAGTGTTGATGTCTTATTGTTAGTTTCCTGATAGGCGAGTGGTAGAGATGTAGGTTTTCTAAGTCTTTGTCGGGCTTTACTAATATAAAAGCATACTGCCCAAGGTGCCGCATTTAAGCATTTTCGAAAATTTATAAGGACGGTGAGTTTGGTCGTATGTTAGTAAGGACCTAGTTTGCGATAACGAGGCTTTGTCTTGCGGTGGTTGACTGACCTAAATTTTTGGTCCTTTGAAATTATTGTGGGCAGGTTTAACTGCAGATGTCTGGATCATGGAAGCGTTCCACTGCTTGCATATAATATCACACCTAATATTATATGCAGCCATTCCTTACCCCTGCTAAGGAATAGGTGTCAAGTGTGTAGAACAAGGGCAGCAACACTCCAACGGCTCGGTCAGCCTCTGAAATTCATGATTGGCAGGCTCATTTGCCAGCGAAAAGCCGCGTTTGCTCATCAAGGCCACAAAAAAGGTTGCTAAGTGTAGGAGGAAGGCAGAAATGCTTCAACGACTCGGTCAACCTCTGAAATTTTTAATTGCAAGCGACTACGTCATGGCCAAGTTCCACTGTATGAATATCACTCGTGCTTTCGCCTCATGGCCTCATAAATTGATGGCGAGGCTACGAATGTGCAGAATGAAGAAGGCAACACTGCAACGGCTTGGTCGCTGTCTCAGCCCAAAATTAAATAGCTCTTGACAGAAAGTTAACACAGTCTCCTAGAAATTTTCGCACTTGAACTTATTGCACTTTATTTCAACCTTTATCCCGTCTGCCGTTTCTAATCAAATCAACGGCTCTTAAAAAAGCATAACGAAGTAATACTTTTGATTTTATTAGCTTCTACTCCCTAAGCATTTCATTGTATGGGCTGTGCGTTTCGATTACGGTGTCTGTGCCCTTTCCGATGTGTACTTTCAATTTTTCGCAAGTTGTTGCTGAAGTTGTAGTGGATTTTCTATTCTTGCTTTAACTTCAAATTTAAAATTAGCTTGCAGCTTTTAATTTAGATGCTAAATACAATTCTGTAGGATATTGCCGCTTTATGCTCCGAAATTTTCAATGTCCAAAGTTCAATTCTGACTTCCCCGTGTTCTCTTAACTTCTCCCAAAATAGCCGTTCTATTATATTTGTAACTAGCACTCCAAAACAATTTACCAAATTTCCTTAATATCCGGTAATTTAGTGGCCCAGATTCATTTAACTCACCGTTTCCCTTGTTTACAAGTCATTTTCTCCCACGTTCTCAAAGAGCACTGGTTCGGCGGCTCCCAGGGTCTGAAAAGAATGTAATTCCATTACCACTAAAAATGGTCGAGGCTTGAAACTTTTTACTTGTTGTAGAATGTCTACATAGTTTTCTTCCGGGTTCTTGCAACTAGTTGAAACTTTCAGTTGTTCAGTTAACTTTTTTCGGAAAACTTTTTAGCGAACGCATCCGAAATCTAGTAGTTTTTGGTCATCGATATGGGCCCTTTGTTAAATTTGTGTTCAAAATTCAAAGCCTTGAGACCCTTCCCTTGTAAGCTGATTACCGAAGCAGTAATCGAATTTGTATAATATGAAATTTTTTTTGTTTACACTTGCCTTGAAATTTTTCATGGCCAATGTTCGTTGACGTTATTTTCCGGGAAACGTATCGCTGTAACTTGACTAATTTAAGAGTTTTCTGGCCAATGATCTCATGGAAGATCTAACAGGAGAATACATCGCTGACGGAGCCGTATCTGCAGTGGGAATACTGACATTGCCTCTGTACATTTACATATTGTTCATAATTAGGGCGGTGAGAACGAAACACAGGAAGAACAGCACGTTCTATCTGATTCTTCTGGTCAATGGGGTCGCTGATATCAGTAAGTATTGAGGCCAAGTTTGTCTTGCTTCTTATACATATCAGCGTTCATATTTACTGTAAAACAAAGCAATGAAAAAAACGAACGAACTTTTTGAACGACCCAATAGGTCATAAACGCTTATGGCAAGTTATGCTTTCAGCTTCCCTCCTCACAAGTTACTTCTTCTACATGTTTCCCAGATGGGGCTGGCTTCTCGAGTTTTACATTTGGTCCGACAAATGGGTAATGCATATCGGCTTCTTTGTCACTTGGTGGTGCGCAGCGGTTCAAGCTCAGTGCACGTTAATGCTGGGGATAAATCGGTTTACCGTCATCAAATGTGAAAGGATCACTCATGTAAGAAATATTTTTGTTTTTACAAGTGAAAGACCAAGCATTTTTTGCAGAAAGAGCGGTAACAGAAATATCATTTTCTGGCTGCATCTTTGCCAGTTTTCTTAAAAAAAATATTCTTTTTGTTGAAATATTACACTCTACTGTAAAAATAGGCAAAAACGTTTTTGAAAACGATTTCCACCTGCAGATCTCGGTGGTTTCTGTGAAGCACATGCGGGCGGTCACAAAGAAAAACACTTTTTTGGCCATATTTTTGCCAGTTTCATACTGAAACAGTTGATTTTTTGTGGAAAGATTTCTCTCTGTGCTATAATTGGACACGAAGCTTTTTCATGCCAAAATTCACAAAAAAATGCCATATTTTGCCAAATTTCGACTTAAAAAGCTTGGTCGTTTCCACAAAGCACGAGTCTCGCATAAGTCTCATGAAAATCTCAGCTTTACATTTGGCTCATTTCTCCTGTTAATCACCAATTTTTTACAGGTCTGGATGCGAGCTCCGTTCACGCTTACTATCCTCATAGTTCCTGGTCTCTTCATTGGAGCCACCTTGAGCTTCAGCGGCGTGGCTTACATTCCCTCGGATATTGGAGGTTTGGTACCGAAGCTGACAAGGTAAGGTCTTATTTTATCAATGATTTTGTATGATACGATATCCATTATTTGTATCTTCCCGGTTGAGCCCATTCTTTTGTGATTAGGTCAACTTATATGTTTTTATATGTGCAGGGTTGCGGTAGATGGTGGGAAACTTTTTCGTATTATATATTAGGACATGAACACAGTAAAAGTTGTAGTTTGCTGTCAATTACCCCTTGTTAAGACAATTGACAGAACACATAAACATGTTGGTACACAGACTTCATTCCGGCATTTTCAGTGAACTAATAAAGCGCATCCTTTTCGGAATCACAGGCTTTATGATGATGTCGTATTCCGCAATACTCATTGTCATGTATCTATATATCTGGAATGTTGTTCGTTCTCAACGCCCAATCAACCGGCTGGCCGAGAGTTCGCAGCGAAGAGAGGCGGTTCAGCGGAGACGAGAAATCAAACTTTTGACAATGTCATGCCTGATCTGTCTGGCTCAAATCCTAATGACCTGCTATTTGGTGTACAAAACGTTGAGTGGAGTGGATCGAGAGCTGCGGATTTATACGTTGCTGAGGTGAGAAATAAACCGTGAAATGTCCTGAGACTGGCTTTTTTACACATTTGTTGAGTGCAGTTCGCATATCAGGCTGTCGGGAAAATAATGTGGACTTGTCGCAGCAAAATGTTTCGCCTCGTCGCAATTTCGCAACAAATCTCCATTTGGCGCCGTGGCAAAGCGATAACGGACCATTTCAAGGCGCGACAAGACCACATTATTTTCCCGACAGACTGATACCACTCGATAATTTATATAGTTTGTAGAACCATTCCAAAACGCATTTTACCCTTAAAATTTTATTTGTCTCTCATTCTAATGGTAATGGAACGCTTCCTTTTCAGTGTTCTCTACAGCTCGCTGAACCCATATCTTCTCTTCTTCTTCAGCGACACCATTAGAACCCATGCATTGGAAGTGGTGGCACGTCTTATTCTACCGCCTCGAATTGAACCCAAACTTGTTAAAGTCAAAAGCATCTCAGCGTTGACTATTTAGTTATACCACTCATACCTCAGTTTTCAATTCTACGGTTACTTTTTATTCTTATGATAAATACATGTGTATAATAATAATATATACATAAAACTGGTTTTTTATGGGCAATAAGAGTAACCGTAAGATCAACAAGATGGCGCACTTTTGAAGAGATTGAAAATATTTACGGCGGGGAAAACAAAGATGGTTCCCACAACGGTTCCTGCTTGTCCCACAAGCCCGGCGTAAAGCAACCGGCGGTGAGTTGCAGCAGGACTTGGAGAGCTGCTTTGGATGTACTCAAAGATTACACTTCGGGTGTAACATCCAAGTCCAAAAACAGTCATCGTCAGGAGGATCTGTAAGGAATGGAGCGTTCCAAGAAATAATCTTACAAGTTAAACAGCAGCTATGCTCTATATCACAGCATCAAAATCCTAGGTAGTTGTATAAAACAAATAAATATTGGAGCTTACCACACTAACACTTCCTGCCGTTGTCCCCACCAACCAAGGACTTGGACTTTGGAAGGCCAGGGTCAGGCAAAACATTGCTGACAACACGGTCAAACAGCACGTGACAACCATTAGAGGAATTTTTCTCAACGGCGCAAAAAATGAGATAAATGACCCGACTGGTTGAATAATCGCACAGAGCGTCAAGGACCATGAATATGTCTGTGGAGAATAGGGCAACGCCACGTACGACTGAATACTAGGCATCAGCACACTGATCAGCGAGTATACGATTGCAATCATCGTCAACAACAGAACGTCGCTTCGTCCGTTCCAGGTTTTTGTAGCGACCGCTTCTTTATTATCATGGTATCCAGCACTTCCGATCCTCCAAGTTAAACGCTCGGGCCAAACGTTGAAAATCCACCTTCTTTTATGATGAATAAGGATAAATGCGACCAGCCCAATGCAGTACCAACAAAACACAATAAAGTAGAAGACTTCAACAGTAAAAAGAGGGGCAATGAATCGAGGCGGGCGTTGTGCTTCGCCGGGGACAACGACGCATTCGTACGAGCTGGCACCTGTTTATGTATTGTCTCGTTTGCTCCCGTTTTCAACGTACCTTGAATAATGCTGAAGATGCTCGGCATCAGCGCACTCATTCCCAGCCCAACAAAGAACGCCTGAAAGTAGGCGGCCGGGAGATTCTTCATATACGGGATGAACAACACATCCGATAAAATTGAAACTGATCCAACGAAGAACATGCAGATATAAACAACAATCGACCGTTTCGATCCTCCTATCTCGACAGTAAAATCGTTGAAATGACCGACTAGTAGAATGGCGATTGCTACAATTACAAGGGCCAGCTCGATTATCGGAGCCGTGGAGATTTTGATTCTGTTTTTGTGATCAAGTAGAGTGTAAATTAAAGCCGGGATTGATGAGATCTGAAAACAAAAGATAAGGTTTATTTTTGTAGGGTACTCTAACAGAGAAGATGCTTATATTGCAACACTCCGATTTCACCTAGTGCGCTGATCACTCTGTCGCGAAAATAGTGATAGAAGAAGGGCTGACCTGAATAATAATCGTCAGAATGGAGCCCAGATGCCAACCTTCAGGCAAGGTTTGTGTGTGCACGCTCATCTCCACCCAAAATGCGTTAACCCCAAGCCATGATGTGGACCCAAACAAAGCGATGAGAATAGCCAACAACGGGTTAAATCGCGTCTCCTCGTCGTTTTCGTTCATCGAATCTGCAATGGTATTTCAAAAATGATACGAATAAATATGTTCTATGATATGGCCAAGATAATAAACGGATAATTTTTTATCCATGTTGAGTAATCTTTTATAGTTCAGTTTGTATACAAGGTTTATTTTTTCGAAAAGTAAACAGGACAATCGTGAGTTCGAAAGGCAAATAAATACGGAAATATTTACATATAAGAAGGGTGCGTTATATTATTCCAAAAAGTTTCAAACTTACTTCATTTTTAGCCTACATGAAATTTTGTGGCCTACTTCAAAATCTGGTCCGCCTAGGTGAAAAAATTTCATGTGGGCAAAAAAAAATTTTTTTTTTTTTGGCATAGGTGGTTTTTTTTCATGTGGGCGAAAAAATGTTTTTTTTTTTTTGGCATAGGTGGTTTCTTTTCATGTGGGCGAAATGTTTTTTTTTTTTTTGGCATATCAGTCTGTCGGGAAAATAACGGCGGATCGTCGCGCCTCGGAATCGCCCATCATCGCTTTGCGACGGCGAAGTTTGTGATCTCAGAAATTGGAAAGATGAAGAAATGGAAGTAGGCTAAAACCGAGATTTTGGCCTAGTTCATGCAGTCGGTGAAGTCGGTGAAGATGTAGGCCAAAACCGAGATTTTGGCCTAGTTCATGCAGTCGGTGAAGATGTAGGCCAAACCGAGATTTGGCCTAGTTGATGCAAGCGGTCAGGAACTAGGCGGAAATCATGGTTTTGGCCTAGTTGATTAAATCGAAGTTGATTAAATCGAACTAGGCCAAAACCATGATTTTCGCCTACTTCCTGCCCGCTTGGATGAACTAAGCCAAATCCACGTTTCCGCCCAGATCATAGAAAATCGTAAAACAGGTGGAGTTATATATCCAAAAATTCGCAAAATTTTTCTGATTCAGAATATGTAAAAATTAGCTGCCTAATTTTGGTTTGTAAGGGTGAAAAATTCCTCAAAGCTTTTCTCGCAACACCATGAAAAAAAAATTATTTGGCATTCTGTTCAAGAGGCGTCCTTTTAGATGAAAAAACATTGCGAAATCAACAACTTGTTTACCAATAGGACGCCTCTTGAACAGAATGCCAAATAATTATTTTCGTGCCGTGACGCGAAATTGCTGTGGGCAAGACACATTTATCCATCGAATTTTTATTTTCTTATTGGTAAAAACTTGGTCAAAAAGGGATTTTCATGGTGTTGCGAGAAAAGCTTTGAGGAATTTTTCACCCTTACAAACCAAAATTAGGCAGCTAATTTTTACATATTCTGAATCAGAAAAATTTTGCGAATTTTTGGATATATAACTCCACCTGTTTTACCATTTTCTATGATCTGGGCGGAAACGTGGATTTGGCTTAGTTCATCCAAGCGGGCAGGAAGTAGGCGAAAATCATGGTTTTGGCCTAGTTCGATTTAATCAACTTCGATTTAATCAACTAGGCCAAAACCATGATTTCCGCCTAGTTCCTGACCGCTTGCATCAACTAGGCCAAATCTCGGTTTGGCCTACATCTTCACCGACTTCACCGACTGCATGAACTAGGCCAAAATCTCGGTTTTAGCCTACTTCCATTTCTTCATCTTTCCAACTTCTGAGATCACAAACTTCGCCGTCGCAAAGTGATGATGGGCGATTCCGAGGCGCGACGATCCGCCGTTGCTTTCCCGACAGACTGACGTATGAAAAAAAACCACCTATGCAAAAAAAAAAAAAAAAAATTTCGCCCACATGAAAAAAAACCACCTATGCCAAAAAAAAATTATTTTTTTTTTGCCCACATGAAAAAAACCACCTATGCCAAAAAAAATAATTTTTTTTTGCCTAGATTAAAAAAAAACAAAAATTTCATGTAGGCTAAAAATGAAGTAAGTTTGAAACTTTTTGGAATAATATAACGCACCCTTCTTATATATCAGTCTGTCGGGAAAATAATAACCGTAATGTCGCATCAAGAATCGCATTGCCGCTGAGAAAATAAATTGTGTCGCGGCAAAATTAGATATCAGAGTTACTGAACGATCTTTGCGGCCGAGATATTGCGCAAAATGCGGAGAGCGGTCCGAGATAAAAACGCTTTTTGGCCGTCTCTTCGCCAATTTTGCATGGGAAAGCTTCATTTTTTATGGAAACATTGTACGCTATGGTAGAAATAGATAAAACAAATTTCATGTCAAAATTTATAAAAAAAAATTCAGAAACCGCCGAGATTTTTTCATGGAAATTGGGAAATCGCAACAACTTTTTTTTTGCAATTTTATGCTATTATGAAATTTCTTGTAAATAACGTTTCATCTCAGCGACAAGAATTTCATATACAAAATAATAAAAATAACGAACAAAAAAAAGTTTTTTATCATGTAATTCGCACCTAAACCCCGCTAAAGTTCCCTCTCTCGCTAGACTCTCTTTCCCCGAATAATTCTTTTTTTTTTATTTTTTATGTCACTGGTTTATCAAACGGTTACGCATTCCATTTTTATAGGAAAGCAGGGCTATGAGAAATACATAACAATTTTTGTTTAATCAGAAGTCTTGCCGTGTAAAAGAAGCCGGCAAAAACCGGGTTTTGTGGGCAAAACGCATGAGTCAAAGGATTCTTTTTTTGATTTTTATGGAATGAAAATCAAAAAAAGGTGGTATCAAAACAAATCAGAGAAAAAAGTTTTTTGGAGCTGCAAGGTTTTTGATTGTTATATTCATACATTTATTAAACAATAGCTATCGGGACGATGACGGTGGCCCAAAAAGAGTGACTTTTTCGGCTCGCGACAGTTCAGGTCGATGATACTTTAAGTCTCCAAAACTTCTCTAGTTCGGAATCTCAAAAAGTGGACTGACTCGCTGTGCTCTAAAAAATATCCCCAAGTTTTCTTTTGCTGATAAATCAGGATATTCAGCGCTTTAAAAGCCTTCAAAATGTGTGTTCTCCGGTCGCATGTTCTCTGTTGACCCCTAATTCGTTTTTTCCGCATAAATGTTCTTTGGACTTTACAGTGTTGTACGCTTTGTTAACTGTACAGAGAGGGGCATGCTTCAGTGGCAAAAAACGTACCATTTTGCATCCGGGAAGTATCAAAAATGTGACAAAATGCTTCCCTCTCCAAGTGAAAAAACTTCGATTTGAAAGGCGCGCCCTTTTTCCTCACAAAACGAGCAGGCGGGCTTTTGAAACCGGATTTTTTTAACTTGGAGTGGGAGGTATTTTGTCACATTTTTTGATGCTTCCTGGATGCTAAATGGTACGTTTTTTGCGACTATATATAAGGCTGTATCATTGTCCGAACACTTCCATCTCAAACGACATCTTCATAAATCATAATATGACAATGGTTTACACCAATCATAATGTTTATTTACAACTCTGCAATTGGAGGAATGGGATACCCGAAGATGACAAAATCGTAATAATAGATATCAACCAATTTCCTCAGCAAATGCGGCTTTGATGCCAATTCTCTCTCAAATCGTATCCTTTCCTCTTTATTTTCGGTGGTGTGCGGAGATGAATGCTTTGACAAACCATCGAGGACTTGGCCAATCAGCTCATCGGAGACGTTGGAGCGCTTCAACAGTTTCGAGAACTCCCATTTGAAGTCGTTGTATTGTGGGCTGGATTGCTTGGCGTAGTCGAATATCACGTACTTTCCGCGCATGTCCGAGAACTCGCAATTCCTGCAACAATGTAAATATTATTGGATACAGAGTGATGACCATTTTCTTGCAAAAGTTTGAAGTCGATTATTTTCTAGCTCAGGTCCCTTTTTATTTCAACATACTTAGAGACTAATAGAGGGCTTATTGAAGCTTCGTCAGGGGTATATTTCTAAGCCTTACGGCATAGTCGAGGCTTTATATTGCTAAAAACTCGGAAGTGCCCCGATTTTGGCAGGGTACGAAGCAACTCAAGTTATGGCCCTTTGCCAGCCGTTGCTGGTCTCGTGTCGGTGTTATTATAATCCTCAAAGACGCTGGCACAGCATCGTTAATAGGTCGCAGTAATAGCGTATTTTATCAACTGTTTTTTTCGACAAAATGTCTAGCCTCTTCCGCTCTAAATCTCCAGCCGCGGCGATGATGGGCGGTTGATCCACATTATATTTTGCACGAGAAATCCACATTATTTTCCCGACAGACTCATAGCATGTGTTAAAATCAAGGTCCATTAAAGAAGACCCACCATGTGATTGGAATGAGATGTTGATCCACATAGGTTAACGTGACATTCTCCCCTCGGGCGAAGGCGCTATACCTCTCCCACATGCTGTTGATAACACATTCCATGTCGTAGCCGCAGTCGAAACAGTTCACCCAATTCAGCTTTTTTGGTTCACTGAAAAACAGAGATGTCCTTATTTCTTTCGTAACGTTAACTTACTAGTAGCATTTGTCGGTAAAAGCCGCAATGAATCGGGAGATTGGCTCTCTGACAATTGTGAAGTACGTAAAGTCCGTGGCGTTGTTTTTCGCGGCCCATTCCTGGACTCGAAATGACTCAATAGCGTCTTTGCAAAACCTGCAAAATTGATATGTTAAAAAGTTTTCAGTGATCAGTTATTATGATGTCGGGAAAATAATGTGGATTTGTCGCGCCCCAAGATCTTCCATAATCACTTTGCAACAGCTAACCGCGGATGGAGACTTTGGTATAAGAAATTTTTTTCCGACAGATCCGCATTATTTTCCCGACAGACTGATATCAGGGTCAAGTTGAAAAAATCCCTTACCTAGTTGGCCACTTCTCCGTGCCGAATGTCCGATTGGCCGCTCTAAATGCGTTTGGTGCGTTGAGAAAGCAAAGGACTGCTGTCATGATCGTTGACATTGCCTTTGGAATGAGACATGCCGCCAGGTTGTATTTCTTGGCATGCTGAAAGATTCAGTATTTTATGTCAGACTATACATAATATCACTCTGCCGAGAGAATAATGTGGATCCGTCGGGCTTTGAAATCATCCATCAGCGCTTGCAAAGGTTATCTGAAGCGTTGGTGCACGAACTGCGAACAAGGCACCGAATTTTATACGCTGCGACAAAACCACATTATATTCCCGACAGAATGATAGTTCAATTGAAAAAAATCAAGGAGAAATGTTGTATAATATATACTTCACTTACTACAAGATGACTTATATGGTGTTTGAATGGAGGCAATGCAGTCAATCCTAGGTTTAGATCCTTCCGTACGATCACTCTTCCGCCCTCATTAAATGGTGATTTAGCGTCTCCCGAGTCTTCTCTCCTCTCAATAGAGACGTATTCTGGCGATCTTGAGAAGAACACAACCATCAAACATATCACACATGTCATCGAAATGAAAACGAAATGGCCATTTGCGATATACATTACCGGCTTCAACAGTTTACAAGACAACAATTTCGCTTTATGTAGGATAAGTAGATGCCAGGCGGAGAGCGAACCGAGAGCAGTAATAATAGCAATGTTTGTAAATAATAATGTCGGGCAAATAATTTGGATTGACCTGTTTTGCGGAACCAAAAGATGCCTGGAATGAGCGAATCTGCAGAACGGTCGAAGCTCCCTAACAAACGATTTGCATGTCGTTAATGTTGTCCGAGATGGTTTGTCCAATGCAAACAAGGCGGATAAAATATAAAACACGGCGGATTTTGACTTGTAGTGGGGACGCTGCAGAGATTGCATGGAAAATGCAAAATGCCTGGGTTTTATCAACATGTAGTTGTTCTTGCACCTTTTCTTGACATTCCGTAGCAAGTCATCATAAGCGAAAAGGCTTTTAAGAGGCCCGTAGTTTAGTTTTCACTGCTTTTTAGTTCGTATTTTACAAAAAAATATTCTTTTTGCAGAAATTTCTTGTTGTTACTGTCCATTTTATGTATTTAGTCTCATAGCTGTAAGGAGGGCATGCATTTGCTAAGCCATCTGATTCTATCTCTTGCAGGAGCTTACTTTGTCAACAGTTAAATTTTTTGAAGTCAATTTAAAATCTCCGTCGGTTTAATAGGTTTACTCTGGGCCATTCCTGCCCATGATGTCTTGGAAGCAGCCCGTTTTAACTTTCAAAATCAAAATACGAAATAATAATGAAAAACAGTTGCTGTAACTTCCGCCTCAACCTGGCAACGTATTTCTAATGTTGCAGAAGATTGCAGATGTACAAACACATCGTGCAAGAGCAAGAAGACAAACACACGTAACCAGAGATTTTTGATGAAAATGATTTTCTGTTTTGATGATCAATGAACATCTAAAAATGTTGTACATTTATTACTATTAATCTTCGTTTCATGCAAAATCTTTCCCAGAGAACTTCGGCTAATACTTTACATATAATAATACTTATACAATCTTGAGATTTTCGACGTCATCCGTGTTTTCCGGTAAGTGCTGGCCACCCGTTTCAGGGAGCAACAACGTCGCTATGCCACCTCCAATTGCCAATACGATGAAGATGATAGTCAGTAGGATTGGCGAGACAGCGGTTAACGCATGGAGAGCCGGTGCTAAAGTCCCTCCAACTCTTGCCCCAACCTCACAAGCGCCGATTCCGCCGCTGCGAAGGTGGGTTGGGAAGATTTCGGCGGCATAAACGTAGAGGGAAGTGAAAGCGCAAGAGATCCCGAACTTCCCAATCATCCAGAACACAAACGAAACAGTACTGTGCTCTAAAATCGGGTGAAAATCATGTGATGACGGCGTAGTATATACTCAAATGAACATTTTGTCTTTAGCAAGGTCATAGTGGACATACCAACAAAAAGAGCTCCAATGAATCCGACGCCGGCGAGGAAATGAAGCCCAGAGATGGAGTATCGTCTGCCGAAGAAGTTCAGAAGATACGGAGCAACGAAATACGATGGCAACTCAATTAGGCCGAGCAGAACATAATTCAGATATTTGTTGCCGGCCAACTCGGAGCTGAACAAGGAAAGACCATAGTAGCAGATCGCATCACAGACCCTGAAAATTAACGAGTAATTAGCGCTCGGTGAGGCTTCCTAAAGCTTTGTGAAGTCGACTTGCCAAAGATATGTCATCGTAATTGTGAACATGAGAAGGCGTTTGTGAGTGTACAATTGAACGAAGAAATTGGCTTTCTTTTGCGCTGCAGCCATCTCACTGAGCTCATGGCGGCGCGAGTGCTCGGATATAATGTCCTAAAGGAATGAGTCAAGTTCAAAGAAAAACCGTGATAAACTTGAGGAGTTCATGTTGATATCTTGTTCTCAAAACTATAGTGTCTTACCTCCGCCGTCGCTGAAGTCTCAAACCTGAATCGATTCAAATTATAGAGCCATCTTTGTAGCTCCTTCTCTTTCTTGTTGGACACCAGAAAGTAGAAGCTCTCTGGAAGCAGAAACCAAAACGTGACGCCCGCCGCAATACACGGGATGGACGCGGCGACCGTTAAATATCTCCAGTTGGAAATCAACATTGCCATTGGTCCCAACGCAATGTAGCCGAGCACCCAAGCTCCGCCGAACACCAACGTCGCGTAGGACCTCGACTTTGAGCCAATCGACTCATAGCCCAAACACCAACAAGTAATTCCAGCGCCGGGAAAGAGGATCCCTTGGAGCAGCCTGATGGCCATGTATTCGTAGACGTTGTCGATGATCAGCACAAAAAGGCCAATCAGACCGCTGGTCAAGACGCAGTAGACGACTAGCGGTCTCCGGCCAAAACTAGAAAAGAATGGGGGTTTGGGGGAGGTGTAACAAGCCTTACAAGTCAGCAGCTCGAGCGAGTGTGGAAGCTCCAATAATATTTCCAAACATATAAGCGGTTGTTGAGATGTCGGCGATAAAGGCTCTGTTGCCAATGAGATCAAACTAAAACCATTAGGGATAAAAATAGTTTCTTTTTTTCATATTTTCCTTGTCAATTTGTCGGGAAAGTAATGAGCACAACGCGTCGCTGAAGCAAAAAAGCAATCTGATTTTGTCGCAACACAATTAAATTTCCTCGTGGAGATGCGACTTTGCATTTGACAGGGGCTCATTATTTTCCCGACAGACTATTTTCTTTAGCCTTTCAGGAATTTGAAGTCGCCTACAACGCATAATTGTATTACAGAAAAATTCTGCCTGCGGTTTATTGTGTTCTAAGCTTGTTTTTTATTGCACTTTACCTAGTAAACATGTAATCCAAAAGTAGTAAAAATACGTGTTCAGGACGCCACTGTTTGGAAAAGCTTCACCATCAAGAGCAAAAGAACGATTGCATAACGTTTGGCTTTCGAATTTCGATGATATGATCGCATTATAACTGTGTGATCAATAAATTTCAAAACTTTGACGTTCTGTTTTTGTTGCAAAAGATATATACGTAGAAATCATTGATATATTCGCCTTGTAACAAGTGAACTTCTCCACTTACTTCCTTAATAATGGTTCCATCCGTCAACGTGCAGTTCTCACCACTCGTACAAGTCTGACCCACAGTAAATGCTGGCAACATCATTGCGGGCGCCGTGAAGCACCAAGCCAGAGCCGACCCAATGAATATCCATAATATATAGGGATTTGTTTGACCTGAAAATCAACAAACCTCAATGCGAAAGCAACGGTTTTTCGGGGCTTTAAAACTGAAAAAGTTTCTACAATGATAACATGCGCTAAACTTTTTCGCCACGGCTTCTCCGCCGTTAATATCAAAGCTAAGATAAAAGTAAAGCTCACTGAAACTGTCGACCAGCTCGGCTCCCATTTTGTTCGCATTTACCGGCCACAGAAGCGGTTCCCTTTCGGCCTGAAATTCGAACATCTGCAGGCCCGTTTATGCAAAGTTCCACAACACCCGCGAACTCCTCTTTTTTTTATGAAAAAACAAGTAAACAACAGGGAGGACACACAGAGCGAGGGTTTGATATCGAGGAGCGAAAGGGATTACTATCATTTAACATCAACTTCAAAAAGTTTTAAAAATACAAACTAGAATTGATGACAATTCAAATCCAGGATCTTTTACGGACTTCAAGTATCTTGTTTCAATCAAAAAATTGCTTGAAAATTGATTAAAAGATTGGTTAAACTAGCCCAGTAACCTTTCAAAATTTGGGTGACAACACCCTCTCCCAATAGTTTAAAGGAAATTTTGAAGAGCAGGGTGATTAGATCGATAGCGGGTTGGGGGAAAACTGGTCATTGAAGAACAGGTAATCGAGTCGCACGTGAACGCGTGAGACGAAACAGGTGGTCACTTTAGCCAACAAAGCAAAGATCAGCCGGACTTATTGTGTTTAAAAAAAGGTCGGCGGTTACTTTTAAAAGAAAAAATGGTGGCAAAGAAAGGCTTTGCAGATTATACGGAGTCCGAACTATGGCATAGGAGACTTAACATAATTCGCGGTAAAACTTTGAAGGGAATTAGCTGCAGTTTCACTTTGAAGAAAACGAGTCATAAAGCAGGCAAAATTTGAGGTAAAAGCAAAGTTTTTTTGGAAATAAGAGCGAAAATCCAAGAAGATATGTGCCATCTTTTTCCAAGTTATTTTTATGGCCTCTGTTATATTTTGCATATGGATTTCTAAAAGTTTTAGTTGCCAAAAGCCCTAAACAACGTCTAAAACAACTTATATGCCCTTTTTTACAACGCTGACACCAAGTCATCCTTTCTTTAAAAAGACTTTTTTTTGACCACACGTATGATTTGAAAGGTCAACGGATAACTAAACACTAAACGTTTTCGTCAAGAAACCGCTAGCTTTATATCGCAAACGTTCACACTGTTCTAACAAAATATTAGGTATTCACGAGGAACTAAACACACTAAAGTATTAATTTTTCACAAAAAGTAAGACATACTACACTGCAAACTACAAGCTTCTATGGCATTTCATGAGAAGCCATTACGTTTGCCGAAAATCACTAAGGTTACACCCCGGAATATGCGAGCAACAATAAAGATTTCTTCGGTCTTCTGCGGTTTGGAAATTCGCTCAAGGGAAGTGGGGTATTTTTGAAACATGGCATCATAAACACATTACTTGGTTGATCAAAGACTAAATTGATCTTCATTTGAAATTTAATTAGATGAAGAATTGCCGACGGTAATTTAGTATTATGACATCTGGAAAAGTTCCATGGGGCTTCGAATTTATAAGCCTAAAAGTACATGTGTATTAAAAATGTAAACTAAGCCTATTAGAAGTGATCCAAAGTCTCCTCATAGCTTTCTGTGAAATTGTAAAAAAACACGGCCAGTTCGAAGACATCGCCAGTTTCAACTGCCAAGAAAGCCACAGAATACTGTGGCAAAATCTTTAGCACAAGATAATCTTCGCTGTCTCAGCTAAATCTTAGCTAACAAGGGAAGTATACCCCAAGTGTGACCCGCATAGTTTATTTAAATTTTGCAAATATTCTGGGCATACGCTGCACATTATTATAACAACCCCATGACTGACTGTGAATGGGATAGTTTTTTATCCTTATAAAGGAGAGGTGCTCCTTTAAACTCTTGTTATCTTATAAATATAATAATTAATCCTGGTTAGCTTTTTTTTGGTGGCTAATTTTCAAGCATAGATGGATTAAGTTTTGAGTTTTCCAGATCATTTCTTTTTGATGAATTTACACGAGATTAGTCTTACTCTACTTTGTCACCGCGCTTTAGAAAGAATATGGTATGTGCTAAAAGAACCTCTTATCTAAAGGCATCTTATCAGCTAAATAACATAATTACTGCAAGACTTATAGTGATGCTGAATATCGGAAGTTCTAAAAAGGTGTAGCTCCCCAAACTATAATATATACATTCAAAGGTTTCTCGACAAACACTATCTTTTGCTGACAATTAAAGCAGATCTTTGAAAATTTTTATGATGTCTAACAAAATGACGAAAAGTTTACTTTTAAACGCCCTCCGTTCGATTGTTCAGGACAAATAATAAACTCTTTTGTAGGCTATGGATCAGGGTAAATAACAAACTCTCCAGGAGTTACAGGATACACGGTCTTACCTCTTTGCTTTTCAATGAATTCTCAAACATGGTATAGTATGTGGTTTGGAACAGACTACGATGTAGAAAGTAATATGCTTCTTACAGGTTCTATACGTGATGTTTAGAGAGCACAATAAAGATTGTCTTAATCTCAAACGATTTATTGATTGTGAATAATTTTTATCCGCCAGTGGCAAGGTTATGGACATATTTCATAAGCTTATACATAGAGGCAGTGTGTCTGATGAGAGACGGAAATCTCAGGGAGGAGAAACATCCGGTATAAATAATAGCTAACAGGGAATTACGACGCAGATTTTTTCGGCCAGCAAAAACCGTTGGACGCTCGGCGAAGGCTCGGCGAAGGCTTAGCGGAGGCTCGGCGAAGACTTCGACCACTTATCATCCGGATATTATTATGCAGTAACGCATGTAAAACACCTCAAAATTGGTGATCCATAAACCCAAGCAATCTTATTATTTCTATTAACTAAGCCTTCTGCTTGCCTCCCTCATGCATGTACAACGACGAATTGAGGCAACCCAAAGTATTGTCGACCGGAAAGGTCGTGGACCCGAAAAGTCATAGGGCCTTCCGTTTAACTGTGAAGCATTCTCTGAATTCAAATCTGGACCCAAAATTAATGTGAAAAAATAATACTAACTCAAGTCATTGTTTCTTAATTTAAATTTACAATTGAAAAAGCCCATAAGGTTCAATACATTCTAAGTTCAAAGAAGACTCTGCTTACATCCCAAAGACAGTAATGTTTTGCTAATATCCTTTTACGAAGTAAATGAGTGTTTCATTCCTCTATTTTTGCATTTTCTTCTCATTAAACTTGCAGATGAATTGTTTCCAATTTTGTGATTTTTCTACCTTTTTTCACATCTTTACACTTTTTCCAATCCTCATATAAAACCCCAAACAAGTCGTACGAACCGTTAACACCCCGTTGCCCTCTTATTGCGGTCCATCTGGTCAAAAACCGAGGCCATTCGCGATGACGTCACTTTGCGAGCGAAAAGAGAAAGCCTCGAAAAAATTGCTCTTTTCCGAAAAAAATCTCTTTTTTCGTGGCCTTTTCCTTATCCCCAACGCTCCTGTTCAAACTTTTCCCCCAATCCGATATCCCTCCCAGATTTGCGGATAATTTTCGGCATGCCTTAATCCCATGCGTGAGTTGGTCTCCAGGCCATTGGAAAATTCCCTACTTTCAGCGTTTTTTTTTTGTTGTGAGTAGAGCTTGTGGAAGAAATTTTATTGTTTTTCGGACCGAAATTTGGCCAAAGTTCGGGTGTTTTGGGGTCGGCTTGGTGCGCTTCCTTACAAACACTGCTATTTTCGCCGAAAATTGGATGAAATTTATATTGTAGTGAGCAAAAATCGAGATTTAACAGGGGAAACAAAGAAGTTTTGTACTTTGCCAAGTACACAGACCTTTAATAATGACGAATACCAGACCTAACGCCTGTTTTCTTATCCACTTTTAGATTTTTTCAAACAATTTTACGTCATGATCGACTGCCCTATAGAATCTCAATTTTTCAGTCAAGACGGCAACGCATGGCCAAACGAAAAGTGTTATGCGACGTAGTGCCGATGAAGACGAAGCGAGTGCGAGCAGCGAGCAGCCGCTCGATGCAGCCGAGGCCTTTGCCAACGAGCAGGAGGCAGCGTTGATTCGGTTCGCTCACTTTGATAACCTCGGCGACGCCTGCGATAAGGAGGTGGGCGGGAAGGGCGTAAGTGTTTCACATGTTTCTGTTCGATCTTTAGATGGAAATACGTCGAAGATTATGTGGGTAGATGGTCGAAAAGACCGTCATTTCTTTTTGTTTCGCCGTCTTCTTCCCCGATTTTTAGTCCACCCATAAAAAGCCAATGCACTTGGCAGAAAAACAGCCAAAAAAACGGCGTGCAGCCGATCAACAGCCACGATGTTTTCTTTGGAATGTTTGGCTTGCACTTTTGTTTTGATAACATCAATAAAGTTGTAAGAGACAGGCATCGTATCAAAAATCATGACTTTTTACAAATGTGCTATCTGTAGGCGCCATGCGAAATGGGAAAATGGCTCTAGCCGGCTTCAAAAAGTGGCATCGCGTTAGTTTCATCGTTGCAGGCAAACATAAGGTAGCCAGGAAGTTTTATGAACCCCTATCTTCATTATTTTATATTACACTTGACATAAAAGGGCCCACAAAGTAACTAAATACTTTAAGACTAGTCCCAAACTTATGACTATCTTTACAGGACACATGCGAGCATGTGGACGACCGCTTCTTCGACTCCAGCGACTATCGCTGCTGTTTCCGCGTCTTTCACGCCAAGATTGGCGCTTTCGCGTTCTGCACCTGGATCATTCAAGAAGTTTTGTTGGCCTCGTTCTTTCTACTTGCTCAAAAGGAATTCAAGGAAGGGGATCCGTCCACGAATTCGATAATGCTCCTCGTTTGTCGTGGCATTCAAATTCCGACGATTGCCATTGCATTCCTGGCGCTTTATCGGTACAAACAAAAGTGGTTGTTGCCCTTCATTGTTGTTCAGGTAGGAAGTCGGGCTTAGAATGATGAATTTTTTTTTATTCCCTCTGGATATTGCACATGATGACTAAAAAAAAATTGTCGAATTTTCAGTTCACTGCCGGTATTTTTGCGGACATCTCGACGTTGTTGATCTTCGTTAGCTACTTGGAGCAGAATGGATACAGATTTTTGTTTGATGAGCATTGGAAATGGTTGAATATCGTGCTCCCTTTGTTCGCCTACGTCGCAATAATTGTGTGGCTGGCATGGGTGATGTATCGGTAAGTCATCACTTCTTTTATTCAATCCCACTCTTAGATGCTATCAGTTCATCGGCGCTCGTGTTGAACATGACGAACGACGGAAGCTGGAAAAAGAGCGCCAACAACAAATGGAAGAGGAGCTCATGCAACATTGCGGTATTAATGTTGATGAAATTGGAGAACTGGACAGTAATGGCGAGAATGTGAATGCAATCTTCGAACACCGTTCGGCCTCGCCGTCGCCTCCTCCCTCGCTGAAGCATGGGATTCCGTTGCAGCGCATGGTTCGAAGTCCAAGCAATCAAATCGAAGGCAGTATTGTGGGAGCGGCTTCAATGAATGTCACCCCACATTTCCATGTGTTTCAGCGGCCCGAACGAACGGTGAAACAATGGCATCACACGGGGAGTCTGCAGCAGCTGCAACAGTTGGGCAGAAAGCCTTCGAGTGCGCGGAGACTCCTGAGTTTGACCGGAAACGCCCCTCCACTTCGGCGGCTGGCTCATGAGCAAAGCGAGCCCACGCTAATGTTGCTTCAGCAGCGTCCCAAATTTTAGGATTTTTAATGTTATTGTAGAGGGACTTTCCGGTTAGGTTTGTTCGATTTGATCGGTCAGATTGGCTTGATTTGGATGATTAGATTTTATTCTTATTGCCTTTGTCCAGAGTAATTTTCGCCCTACTTTGTTCATATTCTCTACGCAGGTCCATGGTTCAGCACGTATTTTCATTGATCTTTGCCCACATTTGATCTTGTTCTGTATCCAATAATCGAGCTTTAATGTCCGACTTTCCAGTGTCTCTGGAATCGTTTTGCTTTTGAATTTACACTCGCTTTTATTTTCAATTATATTTTCGTATTTGTTATCGGGTACTGCGAATGGATTGTTTCAGAAATTGTAATTATGTACTTTTTCCCGAATAAATCTAACACTGTACAAGCTTGGAGGGTTGTTTAGTAATTTAGTGAGGTGATTAGGTTTCCTTGTCTATCTGTTGTGGCTGTACTATTAATGAGATGTTGTATGTTTAGATGTTGGAGGTAGAAGCCGGGCCGTCCATTAAGCGGGCTAGATTAGATGATAATCGGAGGAAGCAACAGTGTCTAAAAGATGGGTGTAAAATGGAGTTTGTTTCGTTCTACACCACCAGAAAGGATCATGAAAGAATCATGAGAATTGGGGTAAGTGGCAAAGGCTGCTTTGTATATAGTCACGGTATGGTATGAACCATACTAACTATCCAATATGTATTTGGAAAAGAAAAATTTTTTTTTCTTGTCCGAATTTATTAGAGGTCCCAACAGACCACACAAAGTTCCACAATTTTCAGATGGTGTCCTCCAGATACATCAAGCTCACACGTCATCAGTACACTACTGAACACGCCGGCATCGCCTCTCATCCCGATGATGCCGGACTCTACTGCCGTTGGCGTGATCTAAGCGTACCAATCTTATCCCTTGCGAAGTTGAAGCTTTTTCTCTCTGTAAGCCTTGATCGGAACGTTCAGCTGTTCGAGGTCATGTTTTGCACGCCAACGGAAGTTCTGGCAACGCCGAAAATGGTTGCAAATCTTGCGTCTTTCCTGGCGAGGAAGTATCCCAACGCCGCCTTCTCAGTTCACCTGCAGGATCGCCGAATCCCGGGATGGTATCTGTACCCATTTCTGACACACTTGCCAAAAATTGCGGAGATTAGTTGTTTCTACCGCGATATCCCTTATCTGCCTCGTATCAAGCTCAAGCAGCTCACTATTGGTCACAATTGCGGCTGTTATGAGAGTCTTTGTAAGTTGGGCGTAGAGTACAGAAAAACCGTATATGAAAATATCTATATGTATATGAATCTTAAACGTCCCAAAGACATATGACATTTCAGACATTGCACCAGTCTTCTCCGTCCCAGCCGAAGAAATGTTTCTGGATTTCCTAAGGCTTGATCAATTTTATGAAAACATGTAAGATATTAGTTAGCTTGGTAATATATTAGCAAGTGAAATACCTCAAGTGCGACGCTCAGATTTGCCTTAAATTCTGCGCATACGTAGGCGATATATCAATTCTTGAATGTTTTAGCCCACCCTTTGCAAGAGTGGCCGAGATATTATTCAACGATATTTGCCGTCTAGAGCGTACACAAAACGTGCAGAGCGATCAGGCAGAAAACCCCTTTTTGGTCGGATCTTTGCCAATTTCGCATGAAAAAAAACGAAATTTTTCTGGAAACATTACTCTCTGCGGTAGAAAAAGACAAAAGATTTCATGGCAAAATTATAATACTATAATTCTCTCCAATTTCCGAACTAAAAATCGCATGTTTTTTCTGTGAAGCGCGAGCTCGGTGTCGCGCATATGCCCGAGGAAAAGATTAGTCTTAATTTGTGCCAAGTTTTTATCAAAATCTGACGGCCGCACTTGGATTACTTCCCCTGTGAAAAGCTCTTTCAATTCCATGTAACTTTTCTGCAGATTCCCCGTTCAGCCAGCGTTGATTCGCATGCAAAGCAAGATCAACCTTCTGGCTCCATTATGCGCAGACTTCTATCAGGACATCTTTGAGAACTTGCAGCAAGGCTTGCCGAATCTACGGACCATTTCAAGCAGTCAAATTCTTCGATCTAACGACTTGATTAGCGATAAGGGAACGGTAAGTTTTGCATGGGAAAAACTCATGGGATTTCGATGAAACAGCCTTTACTAAGAAGTTTTTTACTTTATCCGTGATCGTAACATTCCCTAATTTTCAGATAAATGAAGTTCCCTTCCAACATCTGGAGCAGATCTCGGAGCACTCGCACGTCAAACTTGCCATTACAATACATCTTCTTTTGAGCTCAACGTGTGCCAAGCATTTTATTCTGCTGCTCCGAGCCCGTCTCAACAGTTTCACCGTTGTGAAGGACAATTTTCATGGCGCGTGGTACCGAAGTCTCGTCAAGAACAAGACCCGTGTCAACTTTGTTATCACGGCCGCCAGGATGGTCGGAGAATTTGTGAATATTGTGCCAAACCAATGACCTCAAATCAATTTTTGACTTGAAATGTAGCTTATAATTAATAAAGAATGCAACTACGTACTTGCACTCGGAGGTTTCTTAGGCTGAAATTTTAAATTCTTGAAAATTTCAGGTCGCGCATTGCAGAAAAAACCGATGCATGTTTAGCCAGCTACAGAGGATGCAGAGAACGGAAGGAAAAAAATTGAGCCATACTCGATGGGTTCCCCATTTGAACGTTCGTTTTAATAGCCCGTATCTGATTTTTTTTAAAAAATCGGCCTTGTGTCAGATTCGTCATCCAAAAAAATCGCCGAAGGAAACGGCAAAGGGTAGACCATGTAACGCAAAATGGAACAACAAGGAAATTTTCTGCGTATGCTGCTGTGGTGCCCTAAATTTGCTCCTCCCTACGTCAAACTAAAAATAAAATAAGCAAAAATGGCTTGGCGAACCGATTGGCAATTCGCTAAAAAAAACGCAAAAAATCTCTTTGTCGGCGAAGAAATGGGGCATGTTTGGGGCGAGAGAGTATGTTTTGCGCGTCTTTTCTCTGTCTTCTCTGTGAAATTTAGAAATTGTAAAAAAAAGATAACGAAGAGTCCATTGCGGTCATCAAACTCTTCAGTTTGACGTGCTCCCCGCTCAGAATTTTTTTGCCCAGCACGGCTCTGTCGATGACCCAAGTACATAATTGTTGATCTTATATGGGCTGGCAAAGATTAACCACCCACTTTTTACCACATTTTTGAACGTATAATTTTATATAATGTATGCACGTCTCAAGTAGGCTTGTTAATTTGACGGATTTATTCTAATTAATCTCACGTCAACTTGACGTCAAATTTCGTCATCCTGGTCATATTGAAAATCCAGACACAGGACGTTTCCAGGCACTTGTCCCGTGTTCGCTACTGTGACAAATTGCTAAAAAAATCTATTTTCGGAATAATATGACAAGATCAATTTGACGTGACAAAAATAACAGCAGCTTGACAAGTCGACTGAAGGGTCAAATTGACAAATACTAACCTTAGTTTTGGAGTGAACAACATGTTTACATATTGTCTGAGCAAAGGCGAAACTAAGAGTAACATTTAGTTCTCTAATTAAACATGCCGTAACCAATTTCCAGAAAACGTTTCTTATTGCCAGCTAGTAAAAAAAACATAACATTGACCGCAGAGTTGTAGCCTTTACGAAAAGAGCAGCATAGAACAGTGAATGCCATTTTGTTGGTAGTGGAATGAATGATTAGGACAACGTCTAATGCTGCTTAATTTCAAGGACTTGTTAAGTAGTTTTCAGTACTCTTACGTGTCCATACAGACAGTAATTATAGCCCTTGTAGGGTCTGCATATATGAATTTATTTATTTCCGTATGCTACGGTAAATGTTTTGAGGTGTTTTACGAAACGTGGGGGTTCAAAGATTAAAATCGGTTTTGGTCGTATCCTTGCCAGTTTCTCTTCAAACAAGTCAATTTTTGCCGTTTTTGCAATGCGCAAGCTTGAAATTTCGCATATGCTTTACATCGGCTTGAAAAAAACTTTATCCGTTGGTTTTTTTCTTAGAACATGCACTATTTGACCAGGTCCTATTTTTGAAAGAGCGTAGAAGACTGGTCAAGGATCATCTTTAATTAGCTGCTAAGAATCTCTTTTATGTGCTAGCTAGCGGGTACTCTTGAAAGACTCCAAATTGCATTTTTGGTGCTCTTTGCAAAGGCGTAGCTGACCAAAAAAAGGGAGGTCATTATGAACAAAAACGTTTTTTAAATAACCTTGGTCCCCCCTTACCATTTTTTCCGTTTGACTCGGCATGGGAGGGGTACCCCCGCCCCTCTAGCCCCTCGCTCTTTGTTTCTGATATTACAACGACATCGAATAATCACCTGTCATATATATATATATGTATACTATTAGTCACCTATACCATTGAAAAGCTTCAAGTTCTTTGAAAATGTACAAATAGGCATGATATCTTTCATGCCAAGATTTGCAAAAAAGTCCCACATTTTTGCCAACTTTGGATCTAAAAAATCTCGGTAGTTTTTGCAAAACGCAGACTATATTAATCTTGAATGTTTCTTAGAAAAAAGTAAGCTAAATTTGTGCCAAGTTTTATCAAAATTTGAGCGTAGTGCAGAACGTGTACTTTCCTTGTATGTAAATAAAGTACATCTTCATTTGAAGCTATTTATTGAACTTCTGCTCAATTAAATTGAGTTTTTACACTAAGCTAAACTACGACTGGACCACAGTTTAAAAACTACGGTCCAGCGGTTTCGACATTCTTCTTGGATCCGGTTTTAGCATATATGAAAAAACGGTGGCATTTGGACATTTGGAAACAAATTAAAACATACACGGTATTTTTCGCTGTTGTTTACATGACTTTTCCGAGAATTGATGACTTAAAAGTCATTAATTCTTTTAAAAAAGTCAAAAGTGGTGCAATAACACGTTGCCGGCGGAGTTTCGACAAGTAACGGTTCTTTGTCCTAGCTCTGAGGAAATGGACATTTAGCACTTTGCAAATTTAATTTTTTTTTGAAATTGACGTTTAGAAACACTTGTTTTCTGAGTATCATTCTGCAGTCAAGTCAAGTGCAGGTGTTGCCAAATGTATTCCATCCAAAACACTATATCAAATATTGAGAATGTTGTTATGGCGGGAAAGTTCTTAGCTTACTAATAAGTTATAGTTACTTATGACTAAATAATAAGTAATAAGATAATAATATGTTTACCAACAAGTTATTTTAGTAAGCCAAATGTCCGTGATTGGCACTTGGTTTTTGACGTCCTGATGCAAAAAGTTTACAGTGACAATTAGCGCGCAGCGTTCTGGGAGTTTTTTGAGCGTTAGTCCGCTGCAGCCTCTCTTTCAAGGGACTGTTTTCCTGCATAAACTTAGTCTTCAAATGTGTAAATTGCACCCCAAGCAGGGCACAAGAAAGATGAAACTTAAGCTCTTGTTCGAAATTTTTGTAGCTAAACTTGCACGTTCAAGGTCTTCTTGAAGTTTTAACTTCAAAATTTGCCCACTTTGTTGAGCTTCGATAAGTCCGTTGAAAGTTCTTCAAAATAAAAGATATTCATGTTGTTGCTTGATTGCGTGTTATTCGACTACAAATTCTCGTTGTGTTCGAGCAGAATATCGTATTTTGGCATTTAAAGGTCGTTGAACAAAGGGACTTGGGCTTCGCAACCAAAAAGGTTTGTTTTCAGCCTATGGAACTTGATTTTGAAATTTTGGCTTTGCCTTCCTTTGAACTTAAACTTGAATTTAGAATTTTTAGACACCGAGTTTGAACCTGAATTTGATATTTTTTAATTTGTGTAGCCCTGACTGTCAGGCTAAATATCTAAGCTTCTTGTCCCGCGGTTGTAGTGCTACGGCATCAATATTGGATCTCTAAAGATCCAATAGTGAAGCTTCTAATCTCATTTAGACTAGTGTACGGTGGGGTACTATATTAGAATCAATTTCCATTTCTATTTATTTTACTAATCACATATAAAAATCGTGGAGTAAATCAGTATGGTTTCTATTTATATTTCTATTGTCTAGTCAATGCAATAACATCCTTCCGTCATTGGAAACAGTGCTTTGGTTCTTCTTATCGTGAGGCGTCCGGGCGGGTATGTGTAGGAGGTGTCCAATAAAACCGTTACCAGGACGAAACAGTACATATCCCGCGATTAGCTCCACTGTTTCCTTTTCCAACGATTTCTCGAACTGCTTTAACTTTTCCTCGCTTCGAATTGATCAACATTGACTGTACGAACTCGAAATCCAATACGATTGTTGGCTGCTGTCCCAGGCAAAGCCCATTGTGTCCGCGACGGCATGGGTGGACAGGAAAAACCGGCCGCTCTTCGAGGAGAAAAAATCGGAATTGTGAAAAAACGGAGATAAATTTCTATGACATCTAGGCGCCATAAGCCGCCATCTAGGGTGAGCTTTTTATCTGCAAAATTTATTTTTGATATAGACAGCTGGTGTCCAAAAAAAACTTCTCCAAACAAGTAACGAGCTTTATTGAATTGTGGTCTGTAGCCGACCCGTTATAATAGACGCTGGGAGGTCGAAAAAAAGCAACGCAAAAACTAAATTTCGCATATTCATGGTACTCGGTGACATGTCTGATGAATGATTATGAAGGCTAACCTGCACCGCCCGGTGTCTTCATGAGTTGGACTTTTCAACATTTGTCGGGTGAAAAACCGACGGGTTTTCACATCCGGTGCGATTACCGTGTTGGACCACGCCTTCACACTCAGAGTTTGAGGTTTAGATGACAAGATTAGACGACATTTGGAACCATATATTTTTATCACCTGTGAGGTCTTCGTTGCGTAGTTTGAGGGTGTGAAGTCACGTCTTTCACCGACTACAGCATGGCCGACGATTCTTGGGAAGGCTGACCCGGTTTTTGGCGCTACGGCTTTTCGGGTCAGCGACAGTTCGGGTCAACGATACTATGGATCGCGTCGGTTTGTCATTGTATGGGGGTGGCTAGGGAAGGCTTAACTAGTAGAAATAATAATATTGACCGGGTCCTAGGATAGCTAATCACTTATTTTGAGGTATTTTATGCACACATCAATAATATCTAGATAGAAGTTACGTATCCTTTTTTTTGCTGCAAATTTTGGTCCTTTATGCGTAAAATGAACTCAGTATCTATAAAGAAAACAAACGTTAGTAATAGCTAAAATTAGAAAAAAACGGACAATTATTCGCCGAGTCTCCGCCAAGCATCCAACGGCTTTGTCAGGTCTCGTAGGCAATTTCTACGAACTTTTTTTGGGTATCCACCTGCCCTACGCCCCGTGTCGATCGATTTTGTGTTGACCCGAACTGTCATCGACCCGAAAAGTCGGGACGCTAGTTTTTTGATACAGACGGAACACAAATTTATTGGTGAAAAAAGGCTTTCTGTAAAGATAATTTCTCGGTAGCTTACGTGACTTTTCAAAGATGACATGATGATGGCTAGTCTACTTCCTCTGTACTTGCCTATGACCCATGGTGAGTATTTTCAGCGTTATTTTCAACATATTGCGGAAAACAAGCTATGAGTTCGAGCAGGCCCACAATGAATTGCAGCTAAATACCCCATTATTAGGTATTCTTTCGAAGTAATCAAGTTTTATTTATCAATCAGGCTCGTTTATAACAAAACTTGCTGATTTCATTTTTTGTTTTGCACACGTATTTTTGGTGGTAACGTTGATGATGGTTTCCGAGAATCGTAGTTACCGTAGTTTGCTCAGGGGGAGGTCCTTGACCGAGATTAGGAGAATTGAGTGATGCCGGATTTATAAGCGAGAGAGTTGCGTTTTTGAAGGATCATTCCGATGAGATCTTTTTATAGCATGTGGCTAAGGTCGCAGATGGCGTGAGCTGTATTTAAAGAATGTTTTTGTAATGCTTTACATTTCTGACCGAAAGTTTGCAACTTCTTTTGCTATTCTATGAGGGTTCAGGTATCAAAAAGTCACCGTAATACCAAGCTCTATTATGTGTAACAAATTTTTGCTTGTTCTTTATCATTCATTGTACCGAGGCATGACTGCATACGGTTTGAGCAACACTAGGGAGGATGAAAAAATATTGCCATTTTTTTCTACACAAGGACAAGTTGAAGCCCAAAGTATTGTAACAATTTTTCATTTATTAAAAGTTGCCAATTTGTTGAGCAAAGATCCGTTCAGCAAATTCCAATTCTACATTTTCTCCGAAACTCTGAAGAACTATTTTGAGTTATTTCCACTTTATTTGCCGCTATCAGTCCGTCGGGAAAATAATGTGGATTTGTCGCGCCTTGGAATCACCCATCATCGCTTGGACACGGCTAGCCGCGACTTGGGATTTGTTGCGCGAGTTTCCTGCGACAAATCCACATTGTTTTCCCGACAGAAATAGTATGCTACTTATACTATTTGCTTTTTCCCACCCCTTACAGTTTTTTTGGGGTGACTTCTTGTCCTCCAACCCCTAGATACGCCCATGCCCATCGTATCTTGTGATGGCTTGCTGGTGATTTCAATGAAACAAGATATTTTGCTCCGACAAATCCACATTACTTTCCCGACAGAATGATATTTACCATATAGACTGACATTTAAAAACCTATGACTAAGGCCATGACTTCAGACCTTCTGAACCGCCTTCCCCCGAACAGATTTGTTTCAACGGAAGGCTAGCTGTTTAGTCCGCTTGTGTCATGCAAATGACACAACTTTTTTCCGCCGCGTTTTACTATTCCCTGACTGCAACGTTGTTCACGACACGCACGAGCTTTAAATTCCATCGCATTTGGACGAAAGCGTTATATCGTGCAGTGTAATAGCAATCAGCTTGTTGCGGACCAATATAAGCACGTGGAGTTATTTCAGAATTGGGATTGGAGAGGTGGTTTGTAGCCGCAGCCATGAACGTTCTCTTGTTTCATCCGGATCAGTTTCAACAACGCTACAACTGCGACTTCTACGATGTGGACATGATTCCGGCAAAGGAAAGGAAGCATATTTTGCTGGGCGTTGGGCTGTTCACTTTTTATTTGGCTGTTACGGTAAGGAAGAGTTCAATTTCAATTTATTCACACTAATCACATGTAAAATCATGGAGTGTATCAGTCGGGATTCCGTTGTCTAGTCAGTATAAGGTCTCTTCGTCTCAGGCTCTTGCAATCCTTTTGATTGTTGGCTACTGGCCCAAGAAGAACCTTTTGTGCCCGCAACGGCATAGGTGGCCAGGAAAAACCGACCGCTCACCAAGAGAGAAAAATCGGGAAGGAGGGGTTGAGGAGTGCAAAAATCAAGCAACTGAGGAGAAAAGAGAACCATCACAAGCTTTATAGACTCAAGGCTTTTGAGTGTTATCCAGCTAGCACCATCAGTCTGTCGGGAAAATAATGAGCACAGTGTCGGTGCGCCGATCTTGTCGCTGATGTGAAAAGATTTGATTTCGCCACGGTCAATTAATTTTCTCGGCGGTGATGTGATTTTCGATGCGACAGAGTGCTTATTATTTTACCCACAAACTTACACATGTTCCCCAAAGTGCGAAAAAGGTCTGCGCTCTTATCAAAAAGCGTGGTACTCTTTTCACAAAGTGCATGAACTTTCCTCACCCTTTTTAGTGCAAACACGGTGTACTATTTTGCCCTTTTTCCTTTCCTTGTCGCCAACGCACCGTGCATCAAGTAGTGAAAAAAAAACTTGGGTCTTATCGTTTTGGATTCGAGATAACATTAGCCATATTGCTGTGACTCCGAAACCGCTATTTTTTCAGTTCCTGTACACATTATGCTTGCTCAGCATGCTTCTGAGCGGGCACAGTTCCCGGCCCAGCTATATGTTGATGATTTATCTGGCCATCTTTCATATTGGAGGCCTACAGGTCAGTGGTTTAATGACTGCGGTGTTTGCCATCTCCGGAAATGTCTTCTGCGACTATCCGACGATCATCTATATTGGAGGAGGAATCGGGTTGGGTGAGAATACTTTTAAGATTTTGTGATTTACAGCCGAGACATGTACATAATTAAATGATATATATTTTTGCAGCAACTTGGTGCTCCTCCACGCTAACCGGTATCATCCTGACCCTAAATCGTTGCTGCGAAATCTACTCCCCAAAAGTCGCCGACTTCTTCTTCGGAGGGCCCAAGATTTTTATCTGGCTAGCCATGCCCACCTCGTATTTCTTCTTCTTCTTCTGGTTCACCAACCCGCCCGTCTTCAGTGGGATCCTAATGAGCTGGTTCTTCAACCCACACATGAGCTATTTTGAGGACAAAGCGAACGTCTACCACAACAACTACCACACCATCAACAACTTGAGCGATTGTGTTTTGGGAACGCTGGTCAGCTTGCTGTTCGTTGCACTGTATCTGAAAAGAACGAGAGCTGTGAGAAATCAGCTGTCAACGACGGATAAAAAGGTAGGCTGATATACATACAGCAAAATTCAAATTTGTAAACTAAAACTGAACCTCAAGTGCTATTTTTTGTGCCACGATGGCATGATCTTTGTTTGAAGTTTTGTCCTCGCTGTATTATCAGTTTGTCGGGAAAATAATGAGCGCAATGTCACTGCACCAATCCCGCTACTAAATTGAAAAGCAACCTGACTTTGTCTGACCTTTTTTTTTCTTGCGGCAAAGGCGATTTTGGATGCAACATAGTGCTCATTATTTTCCCGACAAACTGGAAATTTATAAGGGAATATAAAAAAAGTACATTCAGGTATAATTCTATATTTTTACACTTCAAAATATTATAAGAAAAAGAACTTTATTAAAGTCGTTGCGATCCCTCGAAATAACGATTTCTCCCCCTTTCTCTGCCTTGATCTCGAAAGTAATGCTGTTCTCATCTTTTTCCATTCTATTTTTACCAAATAGCGAGAGGAAGAGGGCGCTGGCATAAACATGGAGAGAGCGGTCAGAGAAAGAGGGGAAAATTAAACTTTCTCTTCGGTCTGGCGGCAAAAAAGTTTAATTTTAATTGTGACATGTCTTCTGACGTTCTAAACATAATTGAACCCTAAACGAACCGGAACACGTGTTGCATTTCATAGCCGACAAACTTTCATTTTATTGCATTACGCTGTAAATGTTGAGCAAATTTTTAATCAAGGAAAATGCAAATACCGGTCGGATAGGTTGTGTAAAATCAAAATTTTATGGTCTTGGCGGAAGAACGTTCCAATTTTTAAAGGTCATAAGATTTGCCTGAAGAAAACTACATTGTTGTATTATATATACATGATCTAAACACAGGACCTTTTAGATGTGCCTGCAAGTGTTTCTCATCGAAAGCATGCAAATCTTGGCCAGCTCGCTGTACGTGGTTCAGCAAGTCAGCAAGGTGGACTTTTACATTACACTCATTGCCTCATCGGCCTATTTCATGTCGCAAGGTAGGCAACATATATATTTCACAATGTAAAAAAAATCCCAAAAATTTTACATTTGTTCATGTACATATATGTTGACCGTAAACACGGAAAGTTCACACCATATTTGCATGTCCTACAGGTGCGTTTTTTTTCAGGCTTTCCGCCCATTGTTTATCTGGCCTTCAACCGAACCATTACCCGCGTCCTGTTCGGCAAAATATTGCATGTTCAGCATTACACGCCTTCGTACTCGCACCAACAGATTACTACTCAGCTGAAGGGAGTCAACTGTGTCACGCCTCCACAAATGTTCCCGCAAAACAATTACACACAACCTTGAGAATGACGACGATTGGCTTTGTGATGTCGTCAAGTTTACGTAATCCCTGATCTTAAACAAAATTTCATGTTTTCCTACTGTAACTCAGATTCTTTATATGACAATAACTTTGCAATAAACAAGTAACAAAACAGGTGAAAAAGTCCACTCGAAGGTTTGTCCTTTTCCATCAAATGTTGCCTTTTCAAGTGCAAGTCCCAGTTTAGAGATAGTCCCCAGGATACCACATGGTCCCTAAATCTGATTAAGAATACCCATAGAAAGCTATATGATAAAAAACGCATGGATTTCAATCCCACTTGAAAGGGCAGCCTTGCGGATAAAGCATGGAGTTCAACGTTCAGTTTGTGGATAAGAAAGGACAAAAAGTCGACAAAAAAGTGCTCTCTGCACGGAGAATTTTTCATTAGAACCGTTCGCGGCTACAGCTCGGCAATTCATAGGGGGGACTTCTCAAGATACGACTAGAGGTGGCAATCGGGCCGGGCCGGGCCGATTTTTGCGGCCCGGCCCGCGGGCCGAAGTGACCAGGGCGGCCCTGGGCTTTTTCAAATTTGCTCAGGCCCGGCCCGGCCCGGCCCGGTGAAAGCCCAGGCCGGGCCGGCCCGGCCCTGTTTGGCCCGCTAATACAAAAAGGTTGGATAAAGGTCTTTGCATTTTCTATTGGAGGTTTTTATGCTTTCCAGAAGGTTTATACGTGTGTATAGGTGAAATTAAAACGTCAGGTTGGATGACTAGGACAGCCGAGCAGGGACCTAAAACCTAGCCAAAAAGTTGGATTGTGTCGATTTTTTTTATCCTATAGGAAGTTAGCTATGTAAAAATTTCGACGTTATAAGGCGACATGTTTAATCAAAAACTGCTTAAACACTTTCATTTACATCAAGTCATCAAATTACAGTGAAATGTTTAAGTTTATCATCAAAAATTCGAAGATTTTCGCCCGACCCTTGCAGATTTATTATAGATGGCATTTTACATATACATAATCACGGATTTTAAGGAATTTTATAAGGTAGTAAAACAGCGTATAGGTCAAAAAGGTTTAATTTAATATCCATCCATCAATTCTGCAAAGCATTTGTGCTTTATTTTGCTGGTTTAATATTAAACATTTTTACTTTTCCACCTTCCGGGCCGGGCCGGGCCGAAAGTCGCGGCCCGGCCCGTGGGCCGAAGCGGTCAGGCCGGCCCAGGGCTTTTTCAAATCTGCTCAGGCCCGGCCCGGCCCAGCCCGATTGCCACCTCTAGATACGACCCACAGATTTTTTACAAATTTTCCTCCATCTTGCACAGGCATTGACAGTTATGATCACAATTCGATTACCCGACATTCCAGTAATTATCGAAGACGAGGCCTCAAGAGTCAAGTTATTTCTTCAGTGAAAATGAAGCCCTGAAAGTCACGTGGAAAAGTACACTCAAATTTGAATAAATTATGGCAATTTCTGATGGGAAAATTCTCGAAGTTCGGTCGTTCCATCTGACAAGTATACATATCTTTTCAGGGCTAATAGGAAAATCGCCAGAAGAAAGAAGCCTTAGGGACCTCAAAATTCATAAAGGAAAAATCATCGCATGACTTTCAGCGGCTCAAATTGAACTCGAATTCTTCGCTCCTCATTGACAGTTTATTCGATCTTAACTATCTGCATAAAAATCATATAATCCTTTCTACTGCTGCTGAGGCTGTGGGTACTGATAAGGAACCGGAGCATACGGCACTTGAATCGGTCTGTTCTGCACATACATCATGAATCTTCGGCGCTCCATCTGATCAATTGGAACCGGATGCTCGCCATGGTGGTTTGGACCAGCGAATTCGGGCATCGCATCGGCTTTCACTTTTTTGTGTTCTTCTTCTTCAACCGAACGCTTCTCAACCTTTTCGGCGCTCTCAGTCTTGTTCGCGGGCTCTTCTTTATCAGCGTGTTCTTTTGACGCCTCGTGGTCAACGTGCTCGGCAGCTTCGGCCGAACGCTTGCCATAGTAGTAGGCGCCTGGCCAGTAGCCGTAATAGTACTGAAATTGCAACATAAGAGTTATGCTAAAACGGAAAGTTTTGTGGGATCTTTCTCCAAGGCAATGGAAGGACTTTATCTCAAGTTTTGAATCCAAAGTATAGAAATCAACGGCATAACATGCCTTATAAGCTTATAAGTTTTAGAAACCAATGTAAAACTTAGACACCCAGTGATTTTAGAACGTCGTAAAACCAAATTTTAGGCCTATATCAGTCTATGGATTCGCCGCGGCTTCAAATTGCTCTTTATCGCTTTGCAACCGCTAACCGCTTCTGGAAATTTGGTGTGCGACTTCGACCAGGCGATGCATTTTGCTCCGACAAATCCACATAATTTTCCCGACAGACTGTTACATCCAAAAAAATTTTCTTGTTTTTCCGTACCACAGATCTTCTCATTGTTTTTAATACCATACCATAGACGCGTATTTGTCCTATAATTTTTTGTTTTCCAAAGTGCAATCTTTACTTTCCCCCGTTTCCTCTTTTCTAAGCCTACAGTATCCCTCCTAGACATCACAACTTGCCTGAGCCTCAGCGGCGACCAAACACAACAAGAGGAGAACAGCAACTTTCTGCGCACACATGATTCGCAAGTCAGAATGAACTCTAACGGTGTCAAAATCGCAATCGCTCTTATTTATACATGACCTGGGCGAGTGACAAGAGCGGACTCGAAATGTCGATGACAATATATCAATGTTTGCCTTTAGTACGTAGAGTTTTAAAAATGAATTTACAAAACTTACAGAATTTCCGACCTATTGTTGTTCAACGTTTCCCGTAGTAAACGTCAAAACTTGCGAGAGACTTTCTGCGGCGATTAGTGTTTACTTTACTAATACGGAATAGAAAAAGAGTCAGGAAGGGATCATATAGTGCGGTTCGTTTACAGTGACTATTGAAAGAAAGTTCAAGAAGCGAACGACTACAATATGGGATGAAAACTCTGGCAGATGTATACAGAGGTGGCAATTGGGCCGGGCCAATTCTTTTCGCGCGGGCCAAGACGGTAAGACCACCCAGGGCTTTTTCAGACCTGCCCAGTACCGGCCCGGTTTCCACTTCTTGATGAACCCATCCCAATATTTGGCTCGAGCTTTGAATTTCTCCGTAGGTCCAACCGCAGCTTGAGTTTTCAATTGAACAAGGAAGCATTTATTATTAAATGTGCAACGTTCATATTTTTGCTGACCTAGGTAGGAATTTAGGATTTGTTTTCTAGGACGGATTCCTAGCCCGCGTTTTCATAAACAGCCGAGATTTTTAAGCCGAAAGGTGGCACAAAGATGTAAGCTCAATAGTTGCGTTCAGCAGCATACCATCAGAAATCGGTTGCTTACAAGCAAATGGTCGTTTGTATGTGGCGCATTTGAGATGCGCTGTGGTATGCTCTAGTCTTTCCAGAAACCTCAACTTCCACGATTTACTCTTTACAAGCCCAGTGTTACAAACTAATGATTTTGCAACACGTCAAAGTTGGTTGTATAATGCACTAGCGAATAAAAGCATTGGTTACACACATATATTGAAGTCAAAGTACTCAAGAGCAAGCCAATTTCCGGAACGAATATGGTAGAGAAAAGAACAACAACCCTCTGTCACGGAACCACATGCTCACGTTCGAAGGTATTTATGAATATTGTTATGTTAATCATCGCAATGTGGCAATTATTCTTTTGTGTGTCAATCTTACAAGATGTTTTTTTCTCAAGGTGCATGTTGTCCAAATCTTCTTCAGCCACCTTCGGGACGGACATTCAGTCGGTCGGAAAAATAATGTGGATTTGCCGCGCTTTGGGATCGCTTATCATTGCTTTGCGACAGCTTCCCGTGGCTGGAGTTTTGAAAGCCGATGCATTTTATAGCGAGAAACCCATATTATTTTCCCGACAGAGTGATAGTTCAATCCCCACAAAAGACCAAGCGCTGCCTCCCTTCAGAACTTACTGCAGAAACTGGAATTCTAGGAATCCAACACCAACATTATCATCAAATACATATACGTGTGCAAGGCGAAACCTTCAAGTTATACGTATAAAGAAGCCTGATTGATAAACAAAACTTGATTACTCTGAAAAATACCTAACTATGTGATATTTAGCTATGATTCATTGAGGGCTAAGCACTTATTTACCGTAGTATTTTATAGAATAGTTAGAAAAGTATATAGAAAAGTTCATAATCCAACGTCAATTTTTCACGTTTGTTGATGAATAAAACGACTATTTTGCACTATGTTCGATGCACGTATTCACACGAGAATTCCGTTTACGAACATACAAAAGAGTGTGGTGTTCAAAAATGCCCCCGAAATCAGATGGTGTTTTAGGGGCGGACTGTCAGCCTGTCAGGGAGATAAATTTGATTCTTCACGCCTTGGAGGCTCACGTCATCAATCTGGCTAGCCACGGCTGGAATTTTGGTGCGTGACTGCGGCGAGGCGAGACCTTTTGCTGCGATAACCCCACATTATTTTTCCAAACAGGCCGATAGTTCAATTTAAAAGACGATTTCTGAGTCAGTGAATCAGCCGCCAGTTAGGCGTGGACATAGGAAAAAATCGATTTTGTGTTTTTTGCATCAAAATGACTGTTGGTAGGTGCTAAACAAAAGCGAACAATATTTTTTCCTAAAACTTTCAACAAGGTACCATTTTTTACTATTTACTGTTTTTGGAGTAATTGGCTAACTGTCGTATCTTACCTTGAAATGCAATAATTTTGCGGCCTACAACGTTTTCGAACCTTGCGAAGACGCTGGAAGAATTATTTTTGATCTCTTCCTACTGTAACATACCGTAATACCGTATCGGCCGCTAAAAAACGGCCGTAAAATCTTTGTTTCTGAAAACCCACAGCTGATTTTTTGATATGTTAATCAGCGTAAAATTCTGCTCTAGACGCAATCAAAAAAAGTTCAAAAAAGTGAATGACAAATTTCGTGGTATAGTGGTTAGTGGTCGGGACTACCAATCCAGCCTCCCAGGTTCGATTCCGGGTGGGTGCAAATCTCGAGAAAATACTAGAAATCGACTTTAATGGAACAATCAAAGCTATTTGAGTGATACTAAGTGATTTTGGACAATAACGGCACCTGTATGTGAGCCTAAAACGGACTTTTTAAAATTTTTGAGGCTTAATACGTGAAAAACAAAACGGCTTCAAACCGGCTGAAATTGATGCCACTTACTCTAGGGCTAAATATAAGACACTTTCCCGTTAACTTTTTTTGAGATCTTACTGTATCGTGGATTACTGTAACATAAAACTTATTATCCTAAACCGCGGTTTACTTCAGAATTCTCGCACAAAATTCTTAGTTTTTTAGTTAGATATTTTAATAAGAAAACAAAGATCCACTCTTGATGTATAAATTAAAATTTCCCCCCGTCTCCAATGTGTGCTGACGTTATCAACAACTGGTGAAACTGCGTGAGATTACTCAGGTATTTCAAGTCGGACCGCCATATAAAAAATATTTCTACGCAAACCAAGCCTTTCTTAATCATTTTAAGCGTAATGATGGGGATACGAGCTTTCTGCGCTATGTGGTATACAAAAAATGGAAACGTGTTTCATGCTACAGTAATCCACGATACAGTAAGATCCCACGAAAAGATAACGGGAAAGTGTCTTATAATTAGCCCTAGAGTAAGTGGTATCAATTTCAGCCGGTTTGAAGCCGTTTTATTTTTCACGTATTAAGCCTCAAAAATTTTAAAAAAATCCGTTTTAGGCTCCCATAAAGGTGCCGTTATTGTCCAAAATCACTTAGAATCAATCAAATAGCTTTGATTGTTCCATTAAAATCGATTTCTAGTATTTTCTCGATATTTGCACCCACCCGGAATCGAACCTGGGAGGCTGGATTGGTAGTCCCGACCACTAACCACTATACCACAAAATTTGTCATTCACTTTTTTGAACTTTTTTGATTGCGTCTAGAGCAGAATTTTACGCCGATTAACATATCAAAAAATCAGCTGTGGGTTTTCAGAAACAAAGATTTTACGGCCGCTTTTTAGCGGCCGATACGGTATTACGGTATGTTACAGTAGGAAAATCGGAAAAATGATGATTCCATCGTCACCGCAAGGGTCAAAAACTTCAGTAACCATCAAATCATCGCACAGTAAGGTAAGATACGACAGCTGGAGGCGATTACTTCTAAAACAGTAAATTGTAAAAAAATATACCTTGATGAAGGTTTTGGGAAAAAATATTGTTCGCTTTTGCTTAGCAGCTTCCAACAGTCATTTTAATGCAAAAAACTCAAAATCGATTTTTTCCTATGTCCACGGCTGACGCACTGACTCAGAAATCGTCTTTTAAAAAAATCCGCAATTTCAGCATTTTTGAGAGCAATGTTGTAATTGTATAATGCTACCAGACGGTTGGGAAAAAAGGGAGAATAATGTGGATCTGTCGCAGCGAAATTTCTCGCCCCTTCCGCTCAAAATCCAGATCCACGGTAAGCGATCAAAACACTATTCCAAGCTGCTATTCCTTATCATTTTCACGCAGGTTGATATTCTTTTGGCCCAACCGGGGCTGTTTATTTTTAAGCACATTTCAAGCCAGCAGCCCGGCCTAGCATGGAAGTCGTGGGCCTGCGGTCCGACCAGACGACTTTGTTAAATTCGATGCCCCTGCTGATCCATGCTTGATCCTTCAAAGACAACAGCACGTACTTGGGCCTGCTCTAGTTTAAAATGCCTTCTTTTTAGTGAAACTGAACACTGACTGTATTTCTGTGCTATTTTACTGTAAGCCCCACCATGTTCAGTCAATTTTCTGCACCTGCAGGAAGCAAGAAAACTTTGTTTTTTGTTCTTTGAAGCCTTGGGGTATTCCACGCATTATAATTAAATTACAACGGATATAGTAATAATACGTACTTGTTGCTGCCGGTCACGATTCAAAGAAACCTTCGGGAACATTGCGGCCCATTATTATGTTTTTTTCGGAAGCATACGATTAATCAGGTCGTTTGGAAGTCTATATACATAATTTTACAGCTTTTCTTGAGTTCAGAGCTTTATGCGGCCTGTCGTATGTAGATTTATTTGACTACAAACCGTCTATTGTTAGATGACAATAGACGGTGTAGTTTAAGATTAATCCGATCTTGCTTTTGTCTACAGTATACTACTGTAGATGCGCCCCCAGACATCTTAATCTTAATGATGATATGAGAATTGTGAGAAACCCGAAGAAAATTGACCTGAGTCATGTAGTCTTGTTCATAACATTAAAATCATTTTCTTTACTTTCTTCTTAATTAATATCTTACCCCGAAATGATTAAGGTAATCCGTAATTCTTACTGCCGTATCGCCTTTAAGACGGCCGGTACTTAAACGGCAGTAAGAATATTAGCCTGACGAAAGATTGGAAGGATTGAAAACAAGCCCTCAAGATGAAGATAGGAGGGATTGAAAGCACCCTCAAGGTGAAGATAGCAGGGATTGAGAACACCTTCAAGATGGGAAGAAGTTGTGTTGAATTAGTGAGCTCTCGTTGGCACGTACTATGCATTTTGACCCTATTGTATGTTGGTCAGAATGGCCCTCGCACATGCCTTGCTTTATTTACAACTCGGGGCGCTTTTGTTGTGTAGTATAATAAATTGGGTCCATATACCGTTCTAGACAATTTTTGTCATGCAAAGTTCAAGCTGAATGCTAGAAGTACCTACATGGAATAAATAGTTTCGTTTACTGTGCAGAGTTAATGGCTGGGTGCGATTTCTTTTTTGTAGTCCGGTTGCAGTGGCAAACGTCAAAAAAATTCTGAAAATTGAAAAAAAGGAATCTCGGGTCATTGATTTTTTGCGAAGTGCCACAGAATTATCGAGATAGAAAAATTATTTTTCTTTTCGAAAAAAGATTTTTTTTGAAAAAAAATCTTTTTCTCTGGGAAAGTTTTCTTTTGTGACCCTCAGCGACATTTCATCAAAAATCAATGATCCGAGACGAGATTCCTTGTTTTTTCACCTTTCCTTTGACGTGTGGCGCCCATAACGCAACTTTTCACGCAGCAAAATTTCACGCAACTTTTCACGGAGTGAGAGTTTTTAGATTACCCTTTGAGAGCCGAGATCTTTTGTCGCAAATGGCAAAAATTTGTCATCTTTTTATTGTTTATGCATTAAAAATGTAAAACTTATTCCCACTGGGGAGAGAAGCCTCCGCATAAGATCTCTTGTTTCCCTTTTTAATTGGAAGATTTATATATCATGAGCACTGCACGTTTGTAAGTTTAGAGCCCTTGAGCATGCGAAGCGTGATATTGAGGTTGAAAGCAAAGTGTTCAATCCTGAACTTCAGAAAACTTCTTTAAACTTTGCACACACTGGGTATAGGATTTAAATTCCTGCAAATTTTAGCTGGCGCTTTGCAGGGGCTACCAAGATATTCAACGATCTTTATGGCCGGAAGAATACACGAGATCGCTCGTAATTAAAAGACTTTTTTGGCCGTATCTTTGCCAGTTTTTTTTTGAAAAAATATTTTTTTTTGCGGAAAAGTTGCCCTCCGCAGTAAAAAATATGCAGTTTTTCATGCAAAATTTGCCGAAAAATGGCACATTTTTTCCAACTTTTGCTCTAAAAATCCGGCTTTTTCTGTAAAGCCCAAGACACATACTCCCATAATCCATAAAAAATGAGTCTAAATTTATGCCAACTTTCATGAAAATTTGAACCTCGAGTTCCCTTAATTCTACGGTAGCTCCATAAAAAATCTTTTTTCATTCCATACACGCCCTTTTCATGTCCGCTAATTCTTTCAACCGCTGTTTGTTTCGTGAGTATAGTTTGTTGCCTAAATTACCACAAAGTTTGTATGCAGGTCGTTTGCGGCAATTATACGGGATGTTATAGATTTAACTGGCAAGGGAAATGATAATATTTTATATGATTTACCAGTGGGTTTGCAATAGTGTGTAATTAACCGGGCCACATGTTTAGTAGAGGCTGTGCAGGGGTTTTGTAATGGTAAAGCGGAAGCGCGTTGCAATGTATCGTGCCCTATCATTAAAAGTAAATTAAAAGTTAGAGTTCGTATTTTGAATTGAGACAATTCGCTTGTATATCTCTTACACAAGCTAGAATTGTCTCAACAGCTACTTCTTTTTAATTTTTTTGGACACATTGGATTTATGCTCCGTAAATAGCCGATTGTCCTTGTTAAAAACAGCCTAGATATCCAACTAGACTCCTGAAAGCATGCGCAGTAAAAGCCAAAAACGCTTTTTGCCACAAACTCTACAAATTTCGCAAAAAACGGGATTGTTGCAGAAACGCTACAGGGTTACTCGACATGTTTCCTGGCTCCATTTGACCTTTCCCCCACTTTGTATTTCCGACCAAAAAGGTTTCCTTGGAATTATTTTACAGGGTGGGGCGTCTTTGTGGCCCGATTTGAATTGGCTATAACTTCTTTAGTTTTTGGCCAAATCTTAAAATTCTTTTTTTCCCTGAATTCTCAGACAACCCCATTTTGTTTGATACCAAATATGTTATACATAGTAAGTGCCATCTACAGTTATTGGATTTATTCTTGGAGTTCATTTTTCGGTCGTTTTTCGGTTGTTTTTTCGGTCTTTCTCGGTGTGTCCGAAAATGGAGTACGGTGTGGAAGAAAACGCTTAGTCTGCGGTTTGGTATGGCAAGTACGGCGCCAAATGTTCAAAGAGAATACCGCATGAAATACGGACGTAATGCCTAACCCTTTTTCTCGGAATTATTTTTTTTTATCAATTGTGACACTTCGTTTGGACGAAACTCAAAAGGGGCGGGATTCTTTTTGATGTCGCATTACCCTGCATGGGTTTTCCGGTGGAATTTTTTATCTGTATTTTATTTTATTTTTTTTTGTCAATTGTGACACTTCGTTTGGACGAAAGTCAAAAGGGGCGGGATTTTTTTTTGATGTCGTATTACCCTGCATGGGTTTTCCGGTGGAATTTTTTTATCTGTATTTTATTTTATTTTTTTGTCACTTGTGACACTTCGTTTGGACGAAACTCAAAAGTGGGCGCGATTTTTTTTTATTTTGGCTTCCTTGAGTTGACTTCCCCGGTGGAAGTAAGTCCGAAATTTTTGATGGATAAACTCGCAAAAAAGTGTCGAATTTTAACCCGCTTGGCTCGTTCTTTCTCAATAGGCACGTATATATCTTCTGAATCAAGCCAATTACAATGCTGCCACAATTTTTTTCCGATTGCCCTTTACTTTTATCAAACACTTTCCTTACAATATACGTATCTTGATTGACTCACTTGCCAATAAGAGGACTCATTTGCGGAGCATAACAACGGCAAGCAACATTTCGAAGCCCGTTCTCGAATACCTCCTAATTGCAAAATCTGTTCAGGGCGAGCTTTCCGAACACGCGGTGGTGACTGGACTCGTTAAAAGCCCACTCGACATTTTTCATGCAGTTGTTGATACAATGAAATATGTGAAAAAATCAAGTATAGGATAATTACCACATTTTGTAATTTTTGATGTTAAAGAGCTCTTTGAACCTGAAGAGGGAGTATTTAAATAGTTTCCGAGTAGAAGCAAAGTCAATGAATGGGTTCGACATTATCTTTTATAATGGGTCTTCAGCTCTTGGTGGGAAAATGTTTGGGATTTATTCGGGCAGTTAAAAGAAATCACGGAGATTCTGCGTGTATATTCGAAAATCAGCCAAAATTTTCTTACGACAGGAAATCCAAACGATGGGTTTGGCAGTTGGATGTTGCGAATTAAATTTCCAAAGATCAAGCCACCTTTTTAGAAAAAAGGTGGCTTGAATAGGTACTGCAAGGTTAACCAGGCATTTTCAAAGATTCAGAAAGCACTTTTTGAAAATAAACTCCCAGAACTTTGAAAGAAATGTATGAATCGTGCAGATTCGTGACTTATTCTTACCGGGGTGTTCTAAAAGCAGACCCCAAGGTAAAATTCGCAAAAAGATCGTGGGCTGCAGGTAGGACTTGTGGAACTCGACCATTGCAGAACTTGTTTTTGCGGAAAGCCGAGTTTTATCTACTCTAATCGTAAGCCAACTTCTCATTTGTCATCTACCACTGAATTTTTTTACTGTACTTTGATGGCCAATTTGGAGTGTTACATCATCCCAATAATTGCTGAATAATTTGTTTTTTGCAAATTCTCGAGGTTTGTAGGCGCTACAAATTTTCGAATTGGCCCTAAAGCCCGTTTACGTAACCAGTCCGGAGGTGAAATTCCTTGTTCTCTAGAAAATTTACTATCCAATAACTACTGTAGGACGTATGCAAGATTGCGCTTCATTCTGACACTTTGGCTAGCCATTTTGAACGTCAACTCTAACCCCGCATAAACCCAGCATTTCTCGGTGATTTACATCCGGAAGAGTCCGAAATTTCTCGAACGGTGGAAGGCCCTACAGTGACGGACCTGATCCAGTGGGCATAAACGTACCATTTTGCATCCGGGAAGTATGAAAAATATGGCAAAATACCTCCATTTCCAAGTGAAAGACTTTGATTTCAAAAGCGCGCCAGCTCTTCTTGTGAGGGAAAAGGCGCGCTCTTCAAAACGGAGTTTTTTCGCTTAGAGATGGAGGTTGTTTCTACATTTTGTGATACTTCCCGGATGCGAAATGGAACTTTTTTTGCCACTGGATCAGGTCCCTCACGGTATTTAAAAATGTCGTAGCGACCTCAGAAAATTTTGTTGTTTCGTAGACAAAAATTAATGTCGCCCAAAAAGGAAGTCTCTGCGCCGTCTCCGCCAGAAGTTTTTGGCTATGAGTTTTTTTTCGAAAGACGCTGCACTTGTTGTAAGAAGGGTTCCAGGTTTTCCAAAGCTTTTGCTGTGGTTGAAAGCAAACGGTTTTAGAGGGTTCCCAGAAGTCGAAATAAGCAGTTATACATGCTGTGTTGAACGAAAGGCCCGACAACCCAGTAACGAGACAAGACGAGAGCTCAAGAGTCAAGTGATTTATTCAGTGAAAAGGAGGCCTTTTATAGGGAAGCCCCACATAAGAAAGTACAGTCAAATTTGAATAAATGCAGATCGTCGTGGGAAAATCCTGGAAGCTCTGTCGTTCCGCCTCACATGTATCAGGGAGTATACACTTCAGCAGAGCCTACCGAGTTTTACGTATAGTATTTACATAATTTACAATACTTCGAAATTTGGCTGAGCAGTCTGTTTTCTTAGTTCGATCAAAACGGTCTTTGCTTTTTACCCGCAACGCCCAAAAGTCGATTTTGCGTCGAACATGTGCTTCCTGGAACGTATGGCCGCCAAGATTGTAACATTTCTGTTCTTTGTGCCGGGTGTTTTTTCACAATTTCGTCTCCACGATATTTTTGCGTAAAATGGATAGAAACGTGTAATGGGAATTCCAATTTTATGAATAAAAAACATTTCAAAGACCACCTTCTTCTCTTCGACATGTTAAGTATTTAAAAGCTCTTCCGGCATTTGTGCTACAGTTTTGGCTTTCAGGAGATGAACCAGTCGGGCCACACAATCGCCTATGATAGTGGCGTTGACATTCTCAACTACCGAGGGCATGTCCCACTGTTAGAGGCGTTGGAATTGACGGAAGAACAGGTGCCCGAGGTCCTGAGTCAGGTCGATGAGGATCCTTGTAAGTTTCTTCAGTTTTATAGCCTGAACTTTACAAATTCCCTTCACTTTTAACATACATAAATTCCACGTATTTCCAGACCATGCCGCGGGCCACATGTACTTCGAATTCACCGTTGGCTCCATTGCTCTCATGGCCAATGCGATACTCTTTCTGATTATGCGCCGACACCGCAAACAACTACCATCCCTTGTCTTCATCCTTCAGCTGGCGATGTCTGTGGACATTTTCCTTTCCATGGCCACAATGGCTTGCCAGCCGGTGATCAATGTGACCTACGGGTATTTTGCTTGCTATTGCGGGAATGCCTTCCTCCCCAATAACATTGGGCTGCGATCAGTCTTGATGGTAATGCAGGGAACGGGAATTATGTCCACAGTGATTTGGCTGCCCATTCAGTTTGCTTATCGATATCACTACGTTGTTCAGTAAGTTTTCCAGGTTGATTTGGACATTCATATGAGCATTTGTTTACTGATTTCCTGTGAAAGTGTGGCTTCATTTTGCCATCGAAAGGCTCTGTCGCGGCCAACGCGCCTCCTTGTTTCTGCAAGGTCGGCGTTGTTGGTTGCGCAATCGAAACTCGGTATAAAAGGGCTCGCGATCCGTATTCAGGGAGAGAGTTTGGAATGGGAGCAAGCATGGTCGTCTCCTTTCGAAGACAATAAAGACACCATGAGATATTTGGGGTTGTTCTAGAAGGTGTAGGGGATGCGGAGAGCCGGGTCGTGGAAGACGGTGAGATACCCGTGTCCTCATCAGGACCAGGGTCAATCCATCGTACCCCCACAGAAAAGGGTGGTTACATCTGGAGGTCCCACCGAGATGGCTGGGATATCTGAAGTCCTGCCAACTTGGTTGGGAAACACCCACCGCCACCGCATCTCCGAACTTAGTATTTCTATTGTTAAACTACTTTTCTACGGTGTTTTGAATTGTGTTTGAATCGATGGAAATGGAACAACAAGGCAACTCGTCTCTCTCCAAGTTCGAAGGACGTCAAAGAACTGTAAGTTGGGTCATAGTGTAACCGCGAGGAGAGTTCCCCCTTTTTGGCATAATTTTTTTTTCAAAGTCGTTACCTTTTTGTAGTCCCCCATATACCATTTGTTGGTACCTTTATTTTTTTCCGGCCGGAGCGATATCCCCTAGTAAGCAGCTCAAAAGGTGAAGGCTCGTTATTCACCAGTCCGAATTTTCTGCATAGTTTATCATTTTTCCTCGACCAGTTGTCGATTCCCCGTGGCCGTAACGACTAATTTTTGAACTCTCCTGTTCCAAAGGTGTAGGGACACCTGAGGTCTTTCGTATAGGGAAGCTACATCCCCCATCTTTTCGTCACATCTCGTTATGCGACCGGACTCGCTCTGAGGCGATTTGTGGCTGGGTTTGCGAGAGAATGGCTCCGCATTTCCTGGTTTTGTTTTTCATCAAATATTAGGGACTGGGATATCGTTACTTTTCTTCCCCTTTCTTTCGTAGCTTCCTGAACGCGGCAGTGATTATAGGAATTAAAATACCCCTCACACTCAAAATTTAATATTCCGAGGGAGCCCCATTTGAGGTAGAGCAAAATGCTTCTTGGCCACCATAACAAATACTACATGACCTTTACCCCTAGAGTTAGCCGGACAAATATCACTTCTCCCAGTGTTGATCACAAAAGAGCTTGCTTGATCACCAAGTCACTAGGATCTTCACACGTCGACAGAAAACAAGATCGACATTTTTTCTTCATGTAGAGACGTCTACAACTTGTCTTGTCCAAAATTCTCTTTCAAAGCTTCAACACTGACAACAATTTTCCTCAAAGTTAATGATCGAGGAGAACTTTCGGTAATCTTACTTTCAAAATTCAAATTTCATCAAAAACCCTCTCAAACACTTTGAGTTAAAATTTTGTCAGCAGCTTACTCTTCTAAAAATTTTGGATTTTCACCATCTCTCTAACAACGGAAATTTTATCATTTTTTGAATACGATTAGGTTTTTCCTTGAGCACTCCTTTTGCGCACTTTTTTTTCTCTGGTTTGTTTGATGTCGCCTCCAGCTACCGCATTCTCGCACAGGTCAGCTTGATTTGACTCAAGGCTATTACGCCATTGTTGGGAAACGCCCGTGACGCAATTCGAACTCTAATCGAAGAACGCGCGAAGCGATCGACGCAGAAGATCAGCAGAAGAACATCATGAAAGGAAAGGACGCTGAGAACGAATTTCTTAAGGCATTTGGAAAAATTTTGGCTCAGGATATTGGGACGAAATCTTGGATTGAACCATCGAATGCAATGTTTGCTGCACCCACTATTTCACTCACGTCGACAACAATCTGCACCATCTCACATAAACGTCTTGCATTCATCCTCAATTCTCTGTCCTCGATATACCTTAGTTTCAGGAGTTTTATCATTTAGCCAAATATTTCGACGCGGTCGCCGAAAACCACCGAGCCGGGGAGGCGAAGGAGTCCATCCAACCTCATGTCCACCTCTACCGTGCCGCGATCCACTTCGAACCTCCAGCCCATGTTCCAGCAGCCTAGCCAGTATAAGAGTCTTCGAAAACCCTTTGAGTAATCATTCATTGTAATTTGCCGTTGTCCAATTCTTTGTCTTACCTTCATCTGTCTTCGCGACGGCGACACCGAAGCATTCCGAACCTTGAGATTCGCCTTAACTCTATATATAATACAGTGGTCTAAGACCAAAATATATCACCGAGCAGAGCTCTCAGAAGCCACACGCTCATGGTGCTTGTATTTATATATTACAGCTAATATATTATACTCCAGAAGTCTTCAAGAATTCAGGTTTGTAGAAGTAGCCAGTCGTCGCATGTCTTTGTTTTGTATTATTGTTATTATTGGTTTTATTGTACTTTGAATTGTTTTATTTTCAAACGGCCTTTCATCTCCAGGACCAGCTCAATCAGCGATGCGGTCATCGCTAGTCCGGCCGGGGGAAGATGTCGCGGCCAACGCGCCTCCTTGTTTCTGCAAGGTCGGCGTTGTTGGTTGCGCAATCGAAACTCGGTATAAAAGGGCTCGCGATCCGTATTCAGGGAGAGAGTTTGGAATGGGAGCAAGCATGGTCGTCTCCTTTCGAAGACAATAAAGACACCATGAGATATTTGGGGTTGTTCTAGAAGGTGTAGGGGATGCGGAGAGCCGGGTCGTGGAAGACGGTGAGATACCCGTGTCCTCATCAGGACCAGGGTCAATCCATCGTACCCCCACAGAAAAGGGTGGTTACAGCTCACTCTGCCTATACCTATAGTCTGAACCTGATTCATTGGCAAAAAACGTATCATTTTGCATCCGGGAAACATAAAAAATGTGGCAAAATGCTTCCCTCTGCAAATGAAAAAGACTCACATTTCAAAAGCGCGCCCGCTCTTTTTGCGAGGGAAAAGGTGTGCCCTGCAAAACGGCGTTTTTTTGTTTGGAGAGGGAGGCATTTTACCACATTTTTGATGCTTATCGGGTGCAAAATGGTACGTTTTTATCACTGGATAATCCGTCATTTTAGCTGGTCTGTCGGGAAAATAATGAGATATCATTGCGGAGATCACTGAAGTGGAAAGCAATTTGATTTTGCCGCGATACAGTTCATTTTCTCTGCGGCGATACACTTTTCAACGTGACATTTCCTCTTTATTTTCCCGACAGACTACTATTGATAGCTTTTTAATGATATGCAACCTAAAACTAAAACTTTTCAGAGGTCAGCCGCCCTCCGTGAAACGTCAATCAGTATACTTCTTCTTCTCATTGTCCGGCTTCTTCGCCGTGATGTACATAATGTCGGAAATGCACAAGCCGAACCCGACCTTCCGCGAGCTTGCTCGCCTCCTATTCTACGTTGATGGTTGGGGAACACGAGCCGACCAAGACTTCATGGGCGGCGGAATTGGGGAGCTGCGAGTGTGGATGTTTGGAGGGTACAATGCAATGACCACGACGGTAGCGTATGGGTTTGTTATCATGCTGGAGTTGAAAATCATGAAGGCTTTGAACGAGATGCAAAAAGGACGCCTTCTGAAAGAGGCGATTGATATTAATCGTGCGTTGACGGCATTGGTAAGCCTCTTTTTTTGTCTCTGGTCTAGTGGCAAAAAAAGTACCATTTTGCATTCAAAAACGCTGCAAAATACCTCATTTTCCAAACAGAAAGATTCCGATTTCAATAGCGCGCCTGCTCTTTTTGCGATTGAAAGTGCACGCTCTTCAAAACGTAATTTTTTTTTGTCGGAGAGGGAGGTATTTTGTTGCGTTTTTGATACTTCCCGGATGCAAAATGATAGGTTTTTTACTACTAAGATCATGTCCGCCACTGTATGTCCTTAAACCTTTGCCCTAAATTTAAATTCACCCATTTTCAGGCGCTAGTTCCCTTGTTAACGGCAGTCTTTCCAATCATGCTTTACATGATGACAATGTTCGCTTGTATCGACCCCGGTCAGGTGATGATCAATGCAACGTTTACGTTGTCGTTGCCGCCCGTTTTGAATCCAATAACGACAATTGCGTTGATCAAGCCATATCGGCGGACATTCTTGAGATGGAGTCGTCTGAAGCATGTCATTCCCATCAAAGTATCAACAGTGTCTTCCGATTACACTACGACGAAGAATACACCCAACACAAAGACCTCAAAGCAAAGGGGTAACAAGGAAGTCTTCTAAGAGAATGAAAACACAAACCTATCTGTAATATTGGTTCTCAAATACGCAATAAAATATTATATGTGCCGAAGAATCTACTGTTCTAGTAAGCGAAATTTAATGAACTTTGAAGCGAGATTTCGCCCCTAAAGTGGGAAAATTCGGCACTACGACTTTTCGGGTCAGCGACAGTTCGGGTCAACGATTAGGAATAGTATGATTGAAAGGGTCCGAGGATGGCTTATCACATTTTTTTGAGGCATTTTAAACACATGTACTTACTTCAATGATGTCAAGATGAAAGTAATGGATCTTTGTTTTTGCCGCAAATTTCGTTTTTTTTTATATGTATAGCAATTAGCTCAGGGTAAAGAGAACTAACGTGATTATTGAAAATTGAAAAAGTGAACATATTGCAAGTCTTTGCCAAGTTTCCGCCGAGTGTCCGCTGGCCGTCAAACGGCTTTTCTAGGCCTCGTAGGCACTTCCTCAAACCTCCAACAGCCCTCCGGATTTTGCGCACTCTCTTGGTGGCGAAAATTTTTCGTACTGTTCAAGGATCATCGACTGACTCATCAAACCGCTATATATATCATATAAAAAAGTAGCTATCAGTCTGTCGAGAAAATAATGAGCACTTCGTCGCATCGAAAATCGCATCGCCGCCGAGAAAATGAATTTTGTGGCGGCAAAAGTCTTTCAATCTTTTCACTTCAGCGACTGGATTGGAGCAGCGACTCGGCTCATTATTTGTCCGACAAACTGCTATTTGGAGTAATTGTTCAAACTCTTCACGACGATAATTTTGCAAGACGAAGATAAATACAAAAAAGTTCCAATAAATGTTTGTTCGTTTGCCCTGAACAGATGGTTATTTTAACGTTTGCAAAGTTGCGGCTCAGTTGTAGTGTGAGCTACACCTCTCACTGTTTGAGATTTGTTCATGCAAGCCAAAATTTTAATTGTCGCCGCCATACTTAAAGGATTGTACTTTTTCGCTTCCTGCGTATATTACACCAAGTTAAGCTTATCTTTGTCAGATTTAAAGTATGAGTCGCTTCTTTTGTTCCACATTCATCTCAATGTCTATATACATTTGGTCTGGATACGTTTTTACCGTACTTCCACGTCGTAGAGGCCCTGCAATTTTCTCACCACATGTCTTTTCGGAAGTTTATTTTACGGTTCATGTTATACTCTGTAATTAATTTATTGTCCCTTTAACACCTTTAAGACGTAAGGTGACTGTATTATATCTACCTTCAATTATTCACGTCCGGCCCATGTGATCAATGTTTTATTATATTAGGCGTGAAATGGACTTCTGTTCTTTTCGAAATAACCATGGGGATTTGAAATTATCCAAAATGAAAAAAACCCTCTTTTTAAGCAAATTAGGTCTACTGTAAGTAAATATGATCAAATCTCATATATGGCTAGCCGAGACGCCGTGTTCAAATCAAGAAAATGAGTTCGAATAAAGTAACTGAGATTTCTAAAGGCTTCAAACTTTGCCGCTGGCCATTTGAACCTATGACCCAAGTGCATGCAAAATCTAATAAAAATCAAAGCACTTGGCTACTTCCTTTGTAAGCAAACTCGTCGTAGGCTCCAACTGTTTACTTCCCTTATGGACAAGTCTGGAAATCAAAAGCCAATTAGGCTTCTTTTTTTTATTTTGATTGCCTTATTAATTTGATTGCCTTGCCTATTTAGGGAGGGGAAGTGGGCAGGTGTTGTTATAGAACTAAGCCGTTGTTGTCAAATTTTGTTTTCAAGCCAGGACAGACGAGCTTTACTCTTTTTTAACAGTATACTTATTACAATGGGGGACCTGATCCAGTGGCAAAGAGCGTACCATTTTGCATCAGGCAGGTATCAAAAATGTGGGAAAATGCTTCCCTTTCCAAGTTAAAAAACTTCGCTTTGAAGGGCGCGCCCTTTCCTTCACAAAAAAGAGCGGGCGCGCTTCTGAAACCTGAGTTTTTTTCACTTGGAAAGGGAAGCATTTTGCCATATTTTTGATACTTCCCGGATGTAAATGGTATGTTTTTTGCCACTTGATCAGGCTTCCCACTGTAGAAGGGTGGGTTGGAGAGTATATGTTCAACATCATACAGGTCGTAAATATTCATTTTATGTAGTAATTGCTTCTGATTATAAGGGACGTATCTTTAGTATTGAATGTTCAGGGTGTATGTGGAATTACAGACCAAGTCCCAGAGATCAAATCTAAACCCTCTGGGGAATAAACGTTTAATTTTTTAGAGGATGAAAGTTTAATTGCAAAAATATCAGTTGCCAAAGGAGATTTATTTATCTTGAATATTTCTACTCAAGAAATTATGCATTTCTTAACATTTATGGCATAATTGAATCATTCCGAGACATAAACATTTGCACGAAATTCCCAGACAATGAAAACTCAGTTACCTTTCCTTCCACTTACCGTATTGGGTTTCAGATGTACGATGGAGGTCCGGACATCATGTGTTACAGGAGCTATGGGCCCGTTTTGGAAAAACTCAACCTCACCGAAGCTGATCTGGACACGTCGTTACCGTATATACACAATGAACAGAGTAAACCTCACAGTTCTTTGCAACCGTTTTTTAAATTGTAATCTTTAGGTTCCATGGGAATTCATACGATTTTCGAATTCTCCATGGGGCTCTTCGCATTCGCCTTGAACGCCATTCTTTTTGCCATTGTCCAAAAACATCATCGCGAGTATTCATCTTTAGTCACAATTCTACAAATCAGCATGGCAGTTGACGTTTACATGGCTGCAATGACTGCGGTTTGCCAGCCCGTAGTCCATGTTACATATGGATTCTTTTTTTGCTATTGTCAGAATCCCCTGCTGCCGCAGATCCCATGGCTACACAATGTGTTGATGACGATGGAGGGGATGGCAATTATGGGGACGGTGATTTGGGTTCCGATCCAATTTGCCTTTCGGTATCAGTTTATATCAAAGTAAGTAAGAAGATTCAAGGGCAGTGCTTCAAATATGATCTCCGCTTCCTCTGAAAAACGGAATCTACATCATTCTGTAATTGATATGAGGCCACAAAACCTAGGAAAGATCTGAGCGCTCATTCTCTTAGAACACTTGCTAGCCTTTGATGTACCGCGAGGTACCTGATCCATTGGCAAAAAAACGTATTATTTTGCACCCGGGAAGTATTAAAAATGTGGCAAAATACCTCCCATTACAATAAAAAAAACCCTGTTTTGAAATGCGCGCCCTTTCCCTTACTTAGATATAATAAATTGGAGAAAGTTACGGCCACAACTAAGGTACAGTGACAGACCTGATCCATTGGCAAAGAACGTATAATTTTGCATCCGGGAAGATCCAAAATGTGGCAAAATACCTCCCATTACAATAAAAAAACCCAGTTTTGAAATGCGCGCCCTTTCCCCCACAAAAAGAGCGGGCGCGCTTTTGAAATCTGACTTGTGAGTTTTTTCTCTTGAAGAGGGAGGTATTTTGCTGAATTTTTGATACATCCCGGATCCAAAATGGTACGTTTTTCCCCAACGGATCAGGTCCGCCATTGTATCTCTCTTGTGATGTATTCTTCAATCAAAAAAATATCGTATTTAATTCAACAACACACTATTTTAGAGGGCGTCCACCAACCACTGGCCAAAAAGCCTACTATTACAGTCTCACCATCATTGTCTTCCTCATAAATTCCATTGGTCAGAATCGAATGCACAAAGTGAACCCCCAGATCCAATCGGTTGCCAAGCTCTTGTTTTACAATGATGACTGGGCAACCCCGGTAAATCAGGTGTTTATGGGAGGTGGGATTGGAGAACTTCGTGTCTGGATTTGGGGAGGGATCAATGCTGTGTTTACAATCATCGCCTACGGGCTGGTAATTTGGTATGAAATGAAAATACTCAAAGCGTTGGATAACATGCAGAAGAGTCGAAAATCCCAACGTCAAGCGGAGATTAATAAAGCGTTAACTGCGCTGGTAAGTTCATCGATAACTAGCGTCTATAACGGACCCTTACAGGTAACATTTTTTCGTCGTATTTCTAGGCCTTTGTTCCACTAGTCACCGCGATTATTCCCGTTATGTTCTACATGCTGGCTATGTTTATGTGCGCTGATCCTGGGAACATCATGATCAAAGCTACCTTCACCTTGTCTCTCGCTTCAATTTTCAACCCAATAACGACCATTGCTATGATCAAGCCGTACCGGAGGACATTCTTGCGGGTCGTTGGTGTGAAGAATGCCGTTAGGGCAACCTCAACGGGCATTTCGCTTTCGAACGCTAAGGTTGTTATGTCTGAATCCGCACTTGAGAACAAGCAAATAGCGGAAAATGAAGTGAAAAAGAATTTTACTGAATGACTCTTATGGCTTATGGCCAAAGTACGTGGAAAATTTGAATAAAATATGAATGCCGTACTTTGAGTTCTTTCTTTACAGTTGCAAAAAGAAGATTGTTTCAAGCGAAAAAAGATTCGCGAGCGGCTTGGAGGTGATATTTTGAAACTACAGGCGATCTCAGCTTGGCCGCATATTGAAATACTGTGAAGGACCCGAACCTGTGGCAAAAAACGTACCATTTTGCATTCGGAAAGCATCCAAAATGTGGCAAAATGCTTCCATCTCCAAGCGAAAAGAAGCTTTGTTTTGAAGGGGGCGCCGTTTCCCTCAGAAAAAGAGCGGGCGCGCTTTTGAAATCGGAGTTTACTCACTTGGAGAGAGAGGTATTTTGCCACGTTTTAAATACTTCCCGGATCCAAAACGGTACGTTTTTTGCCACAGGATTAGGTCTCCCATTTTATGAGCAATCTACAATGTCAGCGTTGAATTTCCAACCATCCCCTTGCTAACGTTTTGCTTAACACATTAAAAGACCTTAGGGAAGCACTACTTTACAGGCACGTTATTTCGTTGTCATCGACGTTCCTATATATAATTCCCTATTCTGACGCAAAATACACACGAAAGTTTGCGTAGAAAAGCGAAAGGAACATTCAACCCGAACCAATTTTGATTAGCTTATCAAATTTCCAACGGTTTTTGAACCGAAATTAAATAAATCATGGAGAATTATTAAACGGTTTCCCTACAACTCAAACTTTTTCTGTATGCCAAAAGTGGGGAAATCGCCGGTATCGGCTTGTTGTAATACTCAGTTCACCTGTGCATGAATTTGAGAGTCATTTTGGAGATTTCGCCAAAATTATTCCCTATTTCTTGTATTCCTTGTTATGCTAGCAGTCATGGACTGGATTGGACTAATTTTCGCTCTCATCACACTACCTCTAAATACGATACTGATTTATGCGCTTTATAAGGAAGTTCGGTCGACCAAGAAGAATACCTCGTCGTTTTTTGAGATTTGTTTGGTGACAGCTGTTGTGGATGAGAGTAAGTGAAAGTTTTTTGGTTTCAACAGACCTCGAAACGTGGCGCAAGCAGAATATGATGAGAGGCGGCGGCAATCAAGAATATTGCTTTCAAGAAAGATTACTGGCTTCTTACAGTGGCAGAACTAATTCAGTGGCAAAAAACGTATCACTTTGCATTCGGGAAGGGTCAAAAAGGCAGCAAAATACCTCAATTTCCAACTAAAAAAACTTCGTTTTAGAGGGCGCGTCTTTTCACTCACAAAAAAGAGCTGGCGCGCTTTTGAAATTGGAGTTTTTTTTCACATGGAGAGGGAGGTATTTTGCCACATTTTTGATACTTCCCGGATGCAAAATGGTACGTTTGTTGCCACTGGTTCTGGTCCGTCACTCAAAATCTATGCTGTAGCTAGTGGTGACGCTCGGTTCTTGGCTCTGCGTTTTATTTTTAATGACAGCCGCAATTTTCGCTTTGAGACTCAGAATTCCAGTCATTGAGGGGCCGATTGGGTACCGGTTGGCCCGGCCCCGAGGCCTTCGAAACTCGCTCGGCCCGGACCCGCAGCCATGTCTACTCGGGAATAGGCCAAATGTACTATGTTCTAGCATTTTCATAAAGTGCGTAGACTACTTGTCGTGCACCAAAAAATATCTAATCCAAATTTGAGCACCATCTGCTTGAAGTCTTAGCGCTTACTTTTCTGGCGTTGCCGAGATATTCAGTGATCTTTTGGGCCGTTAAAGAATTTTTGTATGACATCTCAGAGCATTTTCCCTTCCAAAACGCTCGTAAACCCTTTTACATAACTCACAAATTAGGCTATGCACAACTAATGCCATAAACCTGACATCATTTAAAATTTTAATTTTCTCACCTCCAGAACCTTCCAAAAACTCAAAAATTCTTCTGTGCTCTTTGAGCGACTGTAAAGTCCATGTTTTTCAGTCAGCTTATTAAGTATGTACCTGCTCTATCAACCACCGAAATGGGGGTTTATGCTGGATTTCTATCAAGACCATGGGAAGATTATTATGTACACCAGCTTCTACATTTCGTGGGCATTCGGGCCGTATCAGGCGTTTCTGACGACAATGTTGGCGGTCAATCGGTACACGTCAATTCTGAATGAGGAGCTGTATCGGAAGGTGAGGTCAGCTGCATTTTTTACTGTAATTTTTTTCGCTTTGAGACCAAAAAAATTGAGAATTTTTTTTTTTGAATTTGAGATTTTTGTACCACCAAAAAATAATCAAATCCAAAAAATGTTCTATTTTAGTGTTCTAGAATGTTCCAATTTCGGTTCCTGATTACAAATAATTTTTAATTAATTAATTAATTCAAAGAAATTGGTTCCTTCATTTCAAAATTTTTTATGAATTATGTATTTCGGTAAAACATACAACATTTTTTATATTCTAGTAGAATTTCTACGTCATTTTCTTCCGTGTTCTTGCGATTTGTCAATTTTTCGAATTTTCACTTGATTCCTTTGCCAAAAGTATCTATCAGTTTGTCGGGAAAATAAGGAGCATAATGTCGCTGGGCCAATCGCGTCGCTGACGTAAAAAATAATTTGATTTTGCCCCGACCCAATTCATTTTCTCGGCGGCGATGCTATTTTCGATGCGACAGAGTGCTCATTATTTTCCCGACAAAGCGAAAAAATCTAACGGTGAAAGAGCTACAAGTGCGATGCTCAAATTTGATGAGGCTTGATCAAATTTAAAGCAGTTTTTTAAGTTATATGCTAAACTCCGTAGCTCGGGCAGAAACCGGCGAGATTTTTAGGGTGCAATTTGGAAAAAATATCGCAGCCTTTGCGCATAATTCTCCTTGATTTTTATGCTAGAACATCTCGACTTTCCCAGAAAAGATCGGGCTAAAATTCTCAGACATTGCTATGGCACATTCTCGAAATATATGTAAAATTAAAGCGCAAAATTTCAGATCTTCTACCGGAAACGGACATGGTACTGGATGGGCGGGTTTCTTTGTTACACTGCAACTTTTGCTTGTCTCATATTCCTGAGTCCAGCTGTGTATGTGCCAAATGAGTTCAATGGGTTGACACAGAAACTTACAAGGTAAATTTCGTGTATTTCTCATTGCAAGATTTGCTTTCACATGATATGCGACGTAAATTTTCAAATCTCAATCTGTCGGGAAAATAATGTGGATTTCTTCGCGCCTTGGATCGCTCATAATCTTTGCGGCGGCTAGCCGCGGCTGGAAATTTGTAAAAAATTGGCCTGAAATTTTGCCGCGACAAAAACCACATTATTTTCCCGACAGACTGATATGCGACTTCTTTCATCTTTCACTTACAGCAACATTTTGTTGGGCGGAATGTTCCTCTCGACCGGGACAATAATGTTCGGGTGTTGCATTGGGATCGGCTACATGTATTTTGAAGTTTTCAACGAGCTGCGCTCCGTTGACAGCGTGATGTTGAATCGTCGCCAATTCCAACGAAAGCCCGAGATCAACTTGTTGTTGATCTCGGTGGTTGTTTGTGTCATCTTCTTTTTTTCGGCATGCTACATTGTCTCGAAGTCGTTGTTCGGTTTCGATAGGGGCGCAACGATGTATAATCTGGTAAAGTAAGTGGATTTCTGAATGTCTGTTGTTCTCCAACGTCTGGAAAGTAAACAAGAGCCTAATAAGTTTGTATCACAGCCAAAAACGACGTATTTTTCATTTCATTTCAAGCGTATTTTGCATTCCATTTCAGCACCATCTGCAGCTGCGCCAATCCATATCTTTTGGTTGGGTTCAGCGATAATGTTCGCCAACGATTCTCGGCTATGTTCTGCTGCGACAAGATCAATTGTCAGTGCTGTTTGAAGATCGACGAGCGGCCTGTAACTCCGACTAACAATCAGTACTCTTCTGGAGTTCATAGCAATGGATATGGCCCTGATCAGACTGTTGTCTAGTCATCAATCTGCCAGGTTTTAAAACAGTGGCTGAAAGTTGAGATGGTTAACTTGTGGAGGCTTTTCTTTGCCAACATTTGGCAGACGGTGGCCAAATCCCAGGCCGGGGCGAACGAAACAAAAAAAATTTGCAAAGCGAAAATAATGGTGATTTTAAGGCCCAGCAAATCCACATTATTTTCCAGACAGACCGATATAATTTTTCTGTCCTCTTATGTCGCAAAATTGAGGCTTCACTGTATTCCGTTCGGAGATCTCATCATCTGCACACTCTCCCGTTTATGCCGCTTCTAGTCCTTGACTGTTAAGCCACAAAATCTATGATTTTTATTGCCCTAAAAATCCTCTTACCTTTACAACAATAATTTCCTCTCTTCCATTTTGGGTATAAATTTAATTTCAATAAACTTCCGATTATCTATTTGCTCTTCCTCCGGCGATTAATCTATTTTTATGACATTCCACGCCGATAACTTTTAATCACCCCTGCATGTTCGGCCAACAAATTGTAATCTCGACGATAACAGTGCAAGAAGTCGGTTTATCTCTTCCCGATTGACGTCATTGCTGATAAAGAAGTTCGTGGTCTTGTGGAGTGAAGGCTGAATAAAATTTGACGTTACATTCCTGCTGTTTGTATGTTGGAATTGCATGGAGCGCGACAGAGGCTTTGTGGGAAATTTCGTTGACGGCTTTATCCGATTTCCTTTGGCGTGGGAACTCAGTTGTAGCGCGAGACTTTCAGAGAAAAAATGGCTTTGTTTTTTGGGGGAATGAACTACGGAATACATGGATTACGCGGTTATGTATATTGGGTTGATGCATAAACATCCGGCGTTTTTTCTACAAGTTTTTGTTGACTAAATAACCAAGATAATTTTTACATGAAAATATGAGCAAAACGCCAATTTTCACTAACAAAAAACGCGCCAGTATAAACGCCGGATAATTATGCATCAACCCAATAGAAGAACGGATATTATGAGTTGGAAAATTGAGACTTTTTTTACTATCAATGCTTTTTATTCGAGTTTTCTACATGAATATGCAGAACAAAAGCTTCAGCAAAGATCCAGGACTTTATGAAGCCGCCTCAGCCTTTTATTTAGCCTCACCGCCTTCCAAAGCCGGCATCCAAATGTCAAGATGACCTTCAAACTTTGCCACACCCCTCTTCCACCAAAATTTCTGACCTTTTCACCTCTTTGTACGCTCCCTTATCTCCCCCATCCGGCCCGTGGGCTCTCCGCGCTTCGACGCCGTATTTTGGCACACTTGAAGCCGGCACACTTGAAAGGTTTTCTCATTGGTATTCATTGTGTGCCGGAACGACTTCTTCAATTTTCTCGGGGCCGGAAGGTCCTTCAACGCTCCTCCACTTTCCTCTCCGTTCCCACGCCGCACACTTTTTTGCGAATGTTGTTTTAGTACGTTTGGCGCTTAAATCGAGAGTCCACCGCCGGCTGGAGGTCGTCGGTCTTTGTCCGCTCCTTATCAGCGTGTTCATCTCGGCGCGGCCGCACGCCGATGCGGTGTTTGGGGGAAGTGTTAGCGGGATTTTGGTGTTTTCCTTTGTTGTCGGCTGGAAGGGCGAGGGCAACGGCCGGAGAACAGGTTTAACAGGGCACCTTGAAATTTCAGAGTTGTAATGGTCGTGGGAAATTGGTTTTTATGATGAAATTTTTGGTTCCTAGGGCCTTCTAGGTTGCAGAGGAATTTCAGAAAATTTTAGAGAATGCTACGTATGCCCGGGGTATTCTATGATGTTTATTGTTCTGTCGGGAAAATAATGTGGATTTGTCGCAGAAAAGTTTATCGCCTCGTCGCAGTGGCATATCAAATATTCAGCCGCGTCTAGCCGTCGCAAAGCAGCAATATTCCCAAGGCGCGACGAAATCACATTATTTTTCCGACAAAATGATACAAAAAAACAAAAATAAAGCAAGACTAAGTAGTCTAAATTTTAGCCTTTTCAATGAAAAATATGGCTTTTTGTGCATGACAAATGTCGAAAGGAAGTCTTAAGAAATTTATTCCTTTGGTCTTTGATTACCTCCTCAGACTATTCATCTTTTGATAAATTTTTTTTGTTTCTCTATCATTCCAAATTCTCATTTCGTCCAAACCAGACGGACCTTGTCACGGAGACGTCTCAAGGGGCCATTGAACATCTTGAAGCCCCTGCAGCGTCCACAGCGACGAAACTGAAGCCTTTGGTTTCGTCGAGACGGCCGAAATTTTGCTTGAAGATTATGAAAAGTCTTTGACTTAGTACTCTCAGAATGTGACAAAAAATGGAAAAAATATTTATTCCGTTCCGTCGTGTGTATTTGCGAGCACAATTTCCCACCAAATCCGATTCTGACGTCACAGCGGGCCGCAGGGCCTTATGAGCGATTCCGGAAGACGGATGAGGACTTGAGGGTGGTCGGGGGGCCGTCTGGGGACGTGTTTGATGCAGTGCGGCTTACAATTAGCACGGAAAACTTCTCGCTTTGTGCAAAAGTGCCAGTGGCGGAGGGTGTTTTGGACTCTTGGAGTTGGCGACATAATATTTCTGGGGGCTTTGCGGACTCCGGGATTTTCACTTTTTGGGGCTGAATTTTGTATAATATTTCTCAGAGTGGAAATTTTCGTTTGTCAGGTCTGTCGGGAAAATAATATGGATTCTTCGCAGCAAAATAATGGCCTCGCCGCAATCGCATACAAAATCCCCAGCGGCGGCTAGTATTTGCAAAGCAATTCTAAGATGCGACAAATCCACATTATTTTTCCGACAGACTGATATTAAGATTCCGGCTGAAGATTCTGGACTTTTTTTGAAGTCTGGTCACGAGGTTTAGCAATAGCTCATGTTAGAAAACCGTTGAGATTTGTGGGACAAAATAAACTGGGAATCTCTTGTAAATTTTTAGCACATCTCTTGTAAATTTTGAGATCAAAGTTTTGACTGTCTATTTTAAGTCAGCAGCATGATGTTGTCCCAGAAGATTGGATTTTTCCTTCAGCCGATATAGGAAGATAAGACATCATGTTTTTCTTCGGCTACCTTTCTTTATTTTCCACAGTTTTTGATCTGCAAAGGCCGTTGAAAATTTTGGACGTTCCTCAAAAAATATAATCAAATTATTCTCAAATTGATAAACAGCAAGGGTGACTTTCAAACCCTTTTAATAAACAAATTTTAACCCTATTCCTGACTAGTAAACTTGACTTTGAACCTTCCAAATTAAACATCATTTGGCACGTTGCAAGATAATAATAATAATTTTTTTCCTTTCAAACTTTCAACTTTCTGACAAACTGAGTTGGACTTGCAACAATCCTGCCACATTTCCGGCCTTGTCCTCCGAAACGGCCAAGAGTTCCTGTGTCCGTTTGAAGCGAAAGAACGGAGTTTGAGTGTTATAAAAAGACGTCAGAACTTGTCCAATTTTTATTGCTCCTTTGAGTTCTTTGCTCTCGCCCAAGAACATGGGCTTTCCACCGTTGTGGACAGCGGTTCGAAAGATGGTGTTGCAACTTTTTTTTCGTTTCTATGACAAGAGGACCGTGTCATCAAACGTATGAAAAATTTAGTGCCCGGCTCAGTTGGATAAATTTTAAATTTGATGCATAATTCTTGACGGGATTTTTCGCCGGATGTTGGGTACGTAATGATGACGTATCGATAATTTATGCAAACAATTGCAAGTTTAAGACTTTCGATGCCAGTTTCTATGGCTTCTGTCGGAGATCTTAGGCCGCAACGTGACGCTGGAAAAACCTTTTTAAAGGAGGATGACATAAAGGACAGTTTTTCAAAATTTAAAAACTTTTTTATGACCATTCTTCCGGGGCAGCAGGTCAGTTTCTCTATGTTTTAGGCTACATTTTCTCGCGCAAACAGGATAGATAAGTATTATACCCCTGCCGACTAGTTAGAATAGGAGAATTAGGATAGGGAAAAGAGAAAAAAAAGCCTTGCTATCCGCCTGTCGGGAAAATAATGTGGATTATTCGCAGTAAAATATTTCGCCTCGTCGCAGTTACAGACCAAATCTCCAACCGTGGCTACGCTTCGCAAAACCATAATGAGCGATTTTGAGAATCCACATTATTTTCCCGACAGAATGACATACGTATGTACCATTGCCATTTTCGAGCAGGAGAGGTATTTTTTCGGCATCAAGGTCTTGAAAAATTCTAAAAAAACAAAGCTATTGATCTTTCAAACCTCTTAAGAATTTTGAATCTTTACTTGTTGCGAGTTTCCTCACAATCCTATTGTTAGCATAGCACTTCAGGCGCTTTCTTGTTACTCCTTTAACCTTGCCTTTTACGCATTTGATTTTACTCTCTGTAAGTCGTCGATGAAACACCAATTATTTCATATCCAATCATCTATTCTTCCTATCTCGATCTAAATACCTAATCAGTAATCCTTACGCTTCCTGCACTTTGACGTCAATAACTTCCAAATTTCTAAAAAAAACCCCTCCAAAGCGCACTTGAACCTGAATTTTCGGTTCAACAATAATTGCCGAAACCTTGTTTGCGTCGTGCCGGCTCTTCGTATCGTGCGGCGAAACGAAATACGTCCGGGGGATTCCGCGGTTTTGCATAGGTCCTTGGTCCCGCAAGGAGTTTGCTGAGCTCTCAGTTCGTTTAAGAGGTTTCCCTCCCGACCCGCACTTTTGTTGGCTATTGTATCGAATATCGGCCCGGAATGGGGCTGGGATATCGGCGTTGTCCGGGAGAAGCGGAGGTGAAGCGGTCTTCTGGAGGAGGTCGTATATAGAGTTTTTGGGATATTGTGGTCGTATAAGGTTGTCAATTTTTGGGTCCTATTGTTAGTGGAGGTGTTTTTTTATGAGTTGTTTTGTTGGCGCAAACAAGAGGTCTTTGCTAGAATAGAGGTGACTGTTCAAGGCTCACATATAAAGTGAGCCTTGAACAAGATTTGAGCATCTTCTTCGTCAATGAAATTGTGGTTACGTGAGGTCTCGGAGCCCACCCTT